TTTTTAACGATAACTGTTTGTTATTTGTTGTGTCGTGGAGACTGAATGACTGAAACAGCGTGACAGGGAATAAAGAAATTAAATGAATAGGTAAAAACAGATACCTCACAGTTCTAGAGCAAAAAGTACTATTTCCAAAACCAGACTCTTAACGTATCTCCATTGCAACCAAAAACCTAAATTTTCAGAACAACCAAACGAAATGTACCCCCAGACGGCCAACGGGATCGAATTCCGCGATGTCATTGGGCAATCCATGGCCAGAGGAAGCATCTTTCCGTCCTATCCCGCCCCTCCACCCATTGGTCATCCTACTGTACCAGGGGCGTGGCCTCGTAATCCACACCTCCCTTCCTTTTCCACCGGCCCGCACAATTCCGGCTATTCGCCCCCCCTTGTCCCGCCCCATCCATTCTACAACCCACTTCACCAGTCCATAAAAATTTTATAATCCCTGCTCGTTTTACCCCCCTCGCCGAGAGTGGTTGGGGGAAGGGCTGTTGCTTTAGATTAATTACCCTATTGCCCCCATCCATAGCACCCCATTAGTTTCTTTTTATTGACAAACAAATTAATTGGGCTGTCGACGGGGTATGGGTGGGGGTGAAGCCTCGCTGTTGACCAATGTTTCGCCGAGGGGTTTTTATGTCGGAATGTTATGGATACTAAAGGGTCGTATAAGTTTTAGATGGTTGTTGGAAGGGTTGTAAAGATATTTTAATGGTTAAGAGCTATTTGGAAAGCCATTCAGGGAGATTTATGCATTTGTAATAAGCTTGCTTGGCTTGTAACCCAATTTTAAGCCTATTCGTCAATTTTTCAAGGGCTATATCGGTGCACTCCTCTTGATTTTTCCAATTTCATAAAATTACTCACTTCCTGCTCATTATCTCATTTCCTTCAAAAGATCTCTACCGAATCTCGGCGGCTTCTTAGAAGTGCAAGAAGACATGCCATCGGAATGTCGGGCCCTTTGATAAAAACACGGGAGCAAATATGTCGATTGTAAACGCGTAGCGCGGCGCCATCGGGTGGTAGTGATACTATTTTTGACGGAGGGCATGGCCCTATTTGTCACTTTTTAGGGATTGAGGAGGGTTGTTGAAGAAGAAGAAGAAGCAGTAGAAGAGGAGGAGGACACCACCCTCACACGCTATTCTTTGACTTTCTTTTTTTGAGGGAGAGGGGAGAAGGCAGAGTGTATTTTAGTTGGTTCTTTTGAATCACTTTTAGCTTTTGAATTTCGAATTTAACTTACATGAATTTATGCTCTTTTAGCGTGTTAAGCCATCCACTTGCATTCGTTTTCAGGCCGCGCTTTTCTTTTACTTCCTTTTCCATCTGAATTTTCTTGTTTTCAATTTCCATGATAATTTTCCAAAACCCCCTACTCCACTTCAATCATAAATACAACCGGTTCCGGTCAATGCCAGACCCCCCGGCGGCTATTGCCCAAATTAAGGGCCAGCCGACCATAAACTTTTAGGGCCCCCAGGGCTTAATTAGTCGGATCCGGGTAACCGCCTGGCGGTTAGTGGATAAACAGCACGTCGGGAGAGCTTGTGCATAGCTCAGCTGAAACTAGCGAAATATTCGCATTTTCTTGGCGATTTTTGCAAAAGGTTGTAAAAGGTAATAATTAACACCCGTGAATCGGGTTATATGGCTTGGCGGAGGAGACAAAATGGCACCATCTATTGTTGACTCCCATTTGAACAGCCGATTGTTTTAAAGCTTTCTGTGATAATGTAGTTTCTTTGCCTTGTATAGAAGAAATGCCTTAAAACTTCTAATAACCGTTGATAATCACTTAAAAGAGGTTAGTGCTAATACGTTAATGTTATAGCCGCAATATTCGATGATCCTTGATCCATTATTGCTCGCCAAAAATCATATAATATTTCTGGGGACTTGTCCTCAACCTGGCAGTCCTTGCCGAACCGTCAGTTGAGGTCAAGGTGTGCACGGTGGTCGGGCGGTAATTGGTGGTGATAGGGGGGGGGGCGACGTCGATTGGTCGGTCAGAGGATTCTAGCGGAATCGATAACTTTGAGCGGGAGACTTAGTTATATTTTAATTTACTGATTAGATCTTTCTTAAGCTTGTCGTTGATATTCTTGAACTATTGGGTTTACCAGAATTGTAGCTATGAGACTCCTGATTTGGAATTAGGCAAAGGCCTGAATTCGGCCTTTTAAAAATTTCTTTTTCCCTTTGAAATAATTTCGATCCAAGATCTCCATAGGTAAATCGACTTCTCGAACAAAGAAGCCAGGTCTCAAACAAATTTCAGGGGTCTCGAAAAGCCCTACTTATGACCAAAACCTACCCCTCAAGCTCCCCCTCCCGAACGAACCGTATGGCCACAAAGACAAAGCCCCAACCCCGAACCGCTTCGTCCCAGCCGCCGCCTAGCTCCGGTGCGAAGAACTAGGCAGGGAAAGACGGGGATCGATGTGGCTCGGAAAAAGCGGCGGGACCCTGGGTGCGGAGCCGTCGTAAAGCGGCCGCCGCCGCGCTTTACGGTTCCCCCCGAACGGACGGAGCGGCTTTCATCCGTGCCGCCACCCACCGGTGGTAGTCGTCGTGGTAGTGGTGATGGTGTAGAGGGAGAGGTGGAAGTGGTGGCCACTGTTGAGTCACGTCTTCAGCTAGTCTAGGTGCTCCCACGCTCGTGGCCGGAAAGTAATTGGCTCATCACACAGACCGCCCAAGCCGCGCGACCACTATTTAGGGGGCAGTGCATGCATGGTGGGTGGATGAAAAAGCGTGCGGACAAGGTTGAAAAAGACGGTTTACTAGGACGAGAGCTGGTTGACGATCATAAACCCATATTTGCGTGGAGGGGGAAGGTACACGGGCTATGTTTAGGCTTAACAAGGGATTAGGAATGTAGCTTGAAGATATGTTTGGCGATTACTAATGCTGGACTGGATGAGGACAATGACTAAGAGATCCACGGAATTTGGAAAATGCGTCTCTTGCAATGGGGCGGGATTTAGAGGAGTTTCAGCAGATCTCGCCCTTTTTGCAACAGAACTGCCTAAACTTTTCGATAAACGCGTCTGAATTTAGCCTAATTTCTTCTCAAATATTCTAATCCTAACATCCTAATACCCAATTTTCCTAGTCCTCACGTTTTCGGCCAATTTCAATCACCCCCCCTTCCACCCCCCGGATAAACAACTGACGCCACAGATTTCCTTTCATGTGAGCCCACCCGTTGGCATACGGTAGCCAAGACTTATGGGAGTTTGGTGATAAAGGGAGCCGACAAGTTGGATATCTGCCCGCCGGTCGGGATAAGCTCTTCCTTGAGAAAATGGCTTCTGATTTAACCTCCAGAGAACTGCAAAGAAAATGGTAATATTGCCTTTTCCTCGAGTGACAAGAATTTCCAAACAGGCAAAACCGCTGGTGAAGACGGTTTGAATGATCGATAGGATGGCACCAGCCATGTATGTATCTCCCTGTTATGTTAGGGTCATAAAGCTGCGCGGCTATCGATCACACTCGTTTTGTAGCCAGAGGCCGTAAAAGTGTCGTTGCCCGGGGCAGGCTTGGCCTCACAAATTGATCGATTTAAGCTGACAAATTGCGTGGTAAGAGTGGTTGCTGTCGTTGATCACCTGTAATGATGCTTTGTAGATATTATCCCTTGAGATGATTGTATACTGGGGTCTAGAGAAAACGGAAGTAAGAAGGCTTTGGCTTTATATTTGGGTAATTTTCATTTTGATACTAAATCATGGGTGGAACCGGTTATGGGCTTCAACCGATCAACAATAAGGTCATGTCGGTAACTTAGCGTTGTTTACGGCGATGGAGGGTAGTTTTTAGTGACGGAGTGTCGCGGAAATTTTCGAATTTAGGTTGCACAATCGATTAACCGGTAAAAGATAGGTTGCCTGTAATCTAGATGCGGTTAAAGAGGAATGTTATATAAGAAAAGCGCAAAACCACTTTAAAGAGAAAATTTTAAAGTCTAAGGCACTCTCTCTCTCTCTCTCATTCTAACCTCTCAGTCTCATCCAAGCTTCAGCTGCTAATTTGCAACACTATATCGAAGACACTAAATCTGTCAAGCTCCAGCTCTCGAAGAATGAATTCACAGTTCCTACCCTCCCAAAACCCCTTTAAAAATCATCCCGCAAAAGAATCGACCATTCTGAATGGCGTTTAGTAGCAATTAGGCAATTTTAGCGCACCTCCCGGTCCCCCCGGTCCGCCCCGTTAGCCCCCCGGGAATAGCCCATTCGATGCGCCCATTCTGGGGGGCGATGGCCAATAAATCCAAATAATATTTGCAAATAACGACTCGAACCCCCCTAGCCTATCTAAATACACTAGTAACATCTAAATACCTTTAAACCTTTTCATTTTCAATGCGCTGGGATTTCGGGGGATTTGTGGGGCTGGCTGGCCCGTAGGCTACCGTATACCGGACTCGGGGGAAATGGGCGTTACACCGCGGTGGTAGGTCCGGGACCATTGACGCCGCTATCCCCCCTCTCCTTCTCCCTCTCTTTCATTCGTTCGTTTCCCCAACACCTAAGGTTACGGTAGCAGAGGTCATTTTGGCTTTGACTTTTACTGTTGTGTTGGGTTGATTAATTTTTGAGGGAGGAAACCCAGAAAAATTGTTAGGGAGTAAAAACGTGTATTTTCTCGATAAGGTTTTGATATTCCGTTTGCTACTCCTTACGCCAGAGTTTTTATTCATGACGGTGCTTTTTAACTTACATGCATTTTAATTTAATCTCTCGACCATTGCTTTGTCCTTTGCAATTTTTGGTCTCCCTTTAACTCCGATTCCAGCAATTTCAAGGTAATTTTAGTGTCAACCATTCCCGACAAAGTGGAGAAAGAATTTACCCTCGAGGACCAGCACCGGATGCTACAGGTTTAGATTTTACGATATCCAAAATTTAAATATATACATGTGAATTCATTTAACTAACTCTTAACAATTGTTTCACTTCACCGTGAACGTCTAGGTGATGACGTCCGGGGTCCCGCAGCCGCCCGTTCCAACCGGGGTGCAAACACCCACCAATCCAGCCTTACCAACCCATGGCTTTAATTTAAATCCCGCCTATCGGTGAGTTCAACTACGATTTAAAGTTTTAATATAGTTTCATATTGATTATTTTTTTAATAAAAATAACCCTCTCCAGACCGGGCTTCTGGCACGCGAACCAAATGAACGGACAGCACCAGCCGAACGGCCAATCGGAAGGCGCCCAGCAGACCGAGAGCCGCCAATCAGATGGCACCCCGCCAGCCACGTAAATTGCACACACCGCGAGAAATTGGATCGAAAACCGTTTTCAGCGCCGCCGCCCAGGTGCAGTCGTACAACCTGCAAGCCCAGTCGTATTGGCACGCGCATGCCGCCAAATTCGCCCAGGTGAGGCGGGGTGCAAATTACAAGTAAATCGAATGGGGCACCAAATTTCAAGATTAAAATTTACGTTGAAAGGATTAGAAAACGTGAGAATAAGTTTTTGCAGCGGTTGGTTTGAAAAAAACTGTCCAGTCTTAATAGATGAGATAGATGTACACACTTCCTGATTCCTTAAGATAACCTAGAAGCTAAATTCCCTGTCATTAAGACTGAGAAACTACCTCCCCCCCTTACTTCCGACCCTTTACAACCCAAGAACCAAAACATATTGGCGCACCGTTGACTCTCGCCCTCCTCGCCACCCTAAACGAGTCACTCACCTGGCCAGGCTGTAAAAACCGCGCGGCAGGCTTTACTGTTTTACGGTCCTCCCCACGGTAAATCTGGGCCCAACGCCGGCTGCCCCCGCGCGTATTAACAAAAAATGCCGAGCAGCTCGTAACCCCGGGCTTAGCGCATTGTTGCCCGAGATTTGGGCAACTTTTGGGGGCCTATATCTGAAAGATGAAGTTGCGAAAAAGCTAAAAATCTGTTTAGCAAGCCAACAACGGCGATACGAAGCCCTTCGTTGCTGCAGCCGCAGCAGTGGCGGCAAATGGTAAATAGAGATTTGATAAAGAAATTCAAGGGTTTTTAGGTTTTGACATGATGTCGATGCAAAACGCCGAATCTCTGGTTAATTATGGATTTACGCCGTATGCGTATCCGGCCGCCTATCAACATCATGCAGCTTTTGGTTATGGGTATCCGGCAGCGATGACCGGACTGGATATGAGTCATCTTGGTTGGTTTTTAGCTGGTTACTTCTGGGAGATCTGCAAATTACCCTTTATAAATTCATCTTTTTATTTTCGACGGGGTGTTTAGAAATAGATTTTGTTAGTTAGTAATATTCCACAGTTAAATAAACCGGATAGGATAAAAATAGCAAAACTAAATCCATAAAATAATGATCTTTTGCGAGCCCCTTTAAATTTTCATTTTCTGTTCCCTTCTCATTCCTTTCTCAACCATCTCCCAAACCCATTTTCTCAACTCTAAAATCAGCAAATCACGTCCATTGCCAACACTGGCACCTGATAAAACAAACCATGGCTTCTTCCCCCCCCCCTTACCTCAGCTACCGTAACCCCCACTCAATTCCGTTGCCGATCTCATGCCAACCGCTCTTCCCCCTCCCCTGATAAAAGGTGTGAAATCTCTCAGCTCCAGCTCCAATCAATCGATCCATCCAATTTCTCATGATGCCGTCCCTCCCCGGAATGGGCGACGCCCCGTTGGCGCGGTAGCTTCAAAAAGGGGGTGGCTTCGACTTCGTGCTGATAATTTTTATAGGCCCCCACGGCGGCGGCTTTCATCAGGCCGCGCGCAGAAAGGGGCCCACGGGCCGCCGGCGGATCGTAAAAATGTTCTGGCAGGGGGGAATGTTTGTGTCGGAGTGGAGGTATTTGGAAGAAGGGGGGAAAAGAGATGAGAAGAGGTGAGGGGGGGAAGGGATGGGCTAATAAATGGGCCATCTAGGGTTTGTGTGGGGGGATGAAGTGTTTTTCTATTGCCCTAGTCGATTTATGAAGAGGTTAATTGATGGAGTGAGGTGTGAAAGGTTGTAAAATCGGGTTGTTTTGATGGTTTATGGGGTTGGCTACTTGATTTAAGAAAGAGGGGCTGTTAGAAATAACAAGGTTTCATTTGATATAGGAAGTTTTGCACCGCGCATTTGTAAAAAATTTACATGGGAAAAACTCGTTTGAATAAGAAATTAGTGCCTTTTTCTACTGTAGCCTTGGCTTTCGGGATGAGGCCTATTTCGTTTGTTTCTATCGCTCCCTCACGTTCTATCTCTCAGTCTTACTCTCGCTCTCTCCCACTCTCTCTCTCTCTCTCTCTCTCTCTCTCTCTGGCTTTCTGTATCTGTCCGTCTCTTTACCGTTTCGCTACGCTTCCATAAAACGAAATTCTATCTTTTGCTTTTGATAAATCCCTGTAATCGGAGCGTAACCATCAAAATCAAAGTTACAAAATTATTCACCTTTTTTCTTTTTTTTTCCGAGCCACTATTCCCTGAAGGACGATTCGCTAGCCTTTCTCAGCGACTGCCTGGGTGCAGGTCGATGGATTGGAGGGATGCGGCTATCGCTACACATCTCCTCACCCCCCTACCGTATCCTCCCTCCCCTTTCCGATTCCATCCTCCTTCCGCCATCCCATCCCCCTCCACTCTGGCTTATCTCCGTGTAAATACCGTCCCCATCGTCTCTCCACCTCCCCCCATCCAACCACCCCAGCCCACCACGCATTTAATCCCGGGTTCCTGCCCCCGAAATTTTCACGCACTCGACAGCAACGGGATTTATGGGGGTGGATTACGGGGGAAATGGATTTTGACTGTAAATCGATTGTCAAAAAGTTGCTGCCTGCACAGGGCTTTCAAAAAACCGCATGGTCGCGACGGAGAAGGATCGGATCGGCGTGGTAGCTATCGCAATCGAAAGCCCTGGAAACGGCAAGTTAGAAGATGCCTTCATAACACAACTGCCTAAAGACTAAAGGCCAGTTTGTAAAATTTCCCAGTTCTTTAAACAAAATTCTAGAAACCTCCCTGAAAACCGTTTAGCTACCGTAGCCAATCTCAACCATAGTTCCCACGCCGTGGGATTGTTTGGCGATGAATATTCATTTTGGGGGCTGGTCTGGCGTATGGTTGTGGAGGGATGGCAAGGGGCAGCCAGATTTGGAGGGGCCAAGCGGACTGATAGGGCTTACACAAACAGACCCGTCGGCTCCTCTGATTTCGTGGGTAGCTACGGTGGTGGGGGCTTTGGAAAGTGCAAAATGTTTAGGCAAACAATTAGTTATCGTATTATAACGCTTTTTAAAAAGTATTTAAATTTGTGTTGGAAATTCAGTAAGCGAAAACCAACTGCACATCTAATTTGCAATATACCAAAAATTATGGCCGGTTTTTGGAGCCTTTTCCCGCATAGGAATATTTAATAACGAGTCAACTCTTTGTATATAATGGAATTACGGACTACTGGAATTTCTGTGTAAGGGATTTTGATAATGATTGTCTGCGTGTAATGGTGTTCGGTTTGTATTTCTGCGTCCGAATTTTTGATGTAATGCTAAAAAGTCCTTTTAAGGACGGTAGTAATTCTTCAAACCCGTTAAAATACACCTTTTAATACCTTAGTAACCGCACCTATCGATCACCCCAGGCGTTGACAGGCCCTCATTCACCCTAAAATGTGTCCATCGTAGTCGGGAGCGACAAGTCCATCTATCCTCCATATTCCCCCCGAATGAAGACAAATGCCCCATTGCCCTCCCTCTCTTGCGGCTAGGCACTAAATCGACGTGTGGAGGACAGATAGTGTGTCGGATCTAGCGTCGCGGACGGACTCTCCTCCCGATCGGCGTACCGTCCTTTGAGGCGTTACATCGTAAAAGTTGCGCTATCCACTTTCTTGCGGCTCTCGACCCGGTTGTAGGCTGTCGATCTGTTTGTACACTGATACATGCGCCGCGGCTGAGGATCGACACATCGCATTTTGGCGTCGAGTGATAAGGTGTGAAAGGGTGGACATGGGGGATGTTGTACCTGCGGTTTTCTGGGGGGCTATTTTTTTTAGTCGTTTTAATAGCTCAACCGATAGAGAACAAAATTATGAACAGGGACTTTTAAAAAAAATTACGGGCTGCTTACGGCACTCTTAAAAAATCAAAACAATCAAATTTGTTAGAGCCCGTAAAATTAAAATTTTTGGAAACTCGATTATTTATACCAAATCGATGGCTTTATTCGAGATTCTATGAGCTTACAAGGTTTAGTAGCTTTTTTACATTCATAGCTCGTTTAGCTATTGTTACCTTTACCAAATTTCAAAATCACTCAAGCTTGAAAAATTCAATCGAAGAGCTCATTCCCTAGCTGATTGTATCAGAGATCTACAAGTATCGCTTAAAAGTATCGGTTCGCTTTATTTTCATTTGACAGGATAGCTACCGTACCCCCGACATAAGCTCTTATTAAGCCATCACTACCCCTCCCACCCCCTTACATCATCGCCCTCATTGTTGGCTGCTAGGGCCAAATGCAAAGATGGATACCCCTGATAGTGTACCGTTTGACAGATGCCGATCGCCTCCCCCCCTATCCGAATATGGTAGAGACAATCGATTCGTGTACATGCGCCACCTGCCGCATTTTACGATGAGAGGATGTGCGTGTGGCGCGGCTGGGCACCTAAATCCGGCCCGTTGTATCGCACAAAAACCACGTTGCTTGCGTACGGCGACGAAACAATTGGGTTTGAATGGATGGGGGGGGGGGGGGTGAGGAAGGGTTGATAGTTGCGTTTGGATTAGGAAATTTGTATATTTTCAAGGTCCATTTTCAGTCCGCAGCACGTTTGGTCTCGAAAAACTCCAATAAGCCCTATAGTAGCAAACAGAAAAAACCATTTAGGAAAAAACTCCCTGATTTTCCAAAAGTCCTACTAGTTGAGTTCAAACCCTTCATCCACCTGCAACACCCAATAAGATAAGATCTTCCCCCGTTCCACTCACCCAGTTCAAAAGAACTCCTCCGATGCCAATGCCATAAAACCTACACACCAGAGATCCACCTAGATCTTCCTGATAATTCGAAAAATTCTCCTCCTCCCCACCCTTCACCATCTGCCAATTCATCCAAACAAGCTGCCCGCCTCCGATGGTGTTGCCATGACACCAATTATACCCCTTCCACCCCTCTGGGGTTACCGTATCTCACGATGAAGTGGAGCCGGAAGCACAAGACGCTTGGTACCTCCCTCCTCCTCCTCCTCCTCCCCTTCCCCACTCACCCCACAGCCAATTTGTTTCGGCTTCTGTTTGGGGGCGCAGGTTTTAGTGTCGGTATAAAATTTTACGAGAAGCCGGCAGCCGCCACGGGCCCCGCTGCGGGATCCAGGCTGAAAGCCCCCGGGCCGCCGCCCCAATTAGAAGATGCAAGGGGAGCACCAGCTGCCCTCCCCCCTCCCGCCGGGTTGGCCAGCAGTAAAAGCTCTCGAACTCCTCGGGGTTGGGCCAGGGGAACGGCATTAAAGTTGGGTGGAAAGGTTTAGTTGAATTGGGAGTGACATTCGTGGCTTCTTCTGCAGCTGTTGGAGCTGAAAAAGCCTTATTCTTTTATTTTTGAAATTCAAAATAACCAAAAAATTGCAGCAATTTTTAGTATTTTGACTCTTCCAATTAAAGCGTTATAAAGAACCCATCACGGTTGCTCAGACATTTCAGATGCCTCGGGCCTCGATTGGACGGGAAACCACTCACAACGCAAGAAGCGAAAGCCCTATACAAAATATCAGGTAATCTACTCGCTGTAATAAATAATACAAAAATTTCAGACGCTCGAGCTCGAAAAGGAATTCCTCTACAACACCTACGTGAGCAAGCAAAAGCGCTGGGAATTGGCGCGGAATTTACAGTTGACGGAGCGGCAAGTGAAGATCTGGTTCCAGGTTCGTTCAAATAGCTCGTATCCAGCATATTAGTATTAAAATCATCGAAAAACTTTCACGATAATTATACCAATTTTTAGAACCGACGGATGAAGGAAAAGAAACAAAAACATCGAAGCCAAATGGACGGTGTTGTATCCCAATTGTGCCCAAGCCCTGATTAAGACCATTAGCTATCCAAAACCCCATTAAAATATATCGTAGGCATTGTTAAGGAAACGCTACAGGAATCGTTACGATACCACTTTCAAAACCTCCCGATTTCCGAGCGTTTTTTAAACAATTTTTTAGTGTTCGAGGGGTTTCCTCGAACCATCTAGCCACTTACTCGTCGCGCATCGAGTAAAAATAATGATTTGCATTAAACATTTCCATAAGCTTTTCCTATCCCCCACTATGCACCTAATTTCTGTCGTGATCCCTGCGAATATCACAATTTTGAGAGGGGCGACTGCCTGGGATCAATTCGAATTTCTAAAAGCTGGATGCTAAAGTTTGTCTAGTTGGTACCCGATTATTGCCGCCCTCTCAAAACCCACAATCCATTACAGGTAAGCCACGTTTTTGTATTGAATTAGCATAGCCCAGACTGTCTGTCCAATTCTTACCCGGAAATGTGCACAATTCTTGTTTGTGAGTTTGCTCCCTGAAGTTTTCATTGTTTTTATTCTTCGCATTTTGTCTTGTACCCAATCATTCTCACGTCATCAGTATTCCCAATTTTATCGTCACGTGTTTCTCTCAGTTCAGTTTTTGGTTTATCATTCATATTTTTCAACTATTTCAAGCGTTTTGTAGGTGGCTTTGGCCATATTCAGCCTTTGAACACATTTCTCCACAGCTACACCAATGAAATTATTCGTTCTTGATAAAGTCGTATGCCGTCCCTTTTGATATTTTGCCGAGCTGTGTTGATGTCTTGCCTTTTGTCATTCATTGATAAAAGGAATTATGATAAAAACGGATTTTAAAGTTTATGTTTTCAACACGAAATAATTACAATCAAGAAAACTAATGGGATCACAATCACAGCAGGGTAGACCAAAAACAGTGCTCTGCACATTCATAAGACAAGTGAACGAAAAAATGGGTGAGAATGCCAAGTGCTGGCTGGCCTTCCTTGGAAAGAAGTTTTTTAAAAGAAACAGACAATCAACATCTTAATTAAATCAGTGAGTCTTAAACAGTGCGAGCTAAATCGGAAAAGGTAAATTATTGGCTAGCAAAGTTATGATAGGTTACGGAAAATATAACTCGGTCTACACTCGAATGAAGCGCAAGAAAAGGAAAATTACAAAGATTATACTACAGAGTTAAACAGTTTTAAACTAAGATGAACCATCACAGTTAAACGCAAGAAAAGGTTACTTGAGCAATTCTTGCAGGGTCGAAGCACCTTCTTGCGTAGAGTTCAACCGTTCGGCTTCTCGTGGCGGCTGACTTTTTGGAACCGGGAGGGTCGGAACGGCGGTCGGCTTCTCGCTGGAAAACATCAAGTCAAATTGCGTACAAGCAAAACACACAAACCTTTCGGTCTCGAGGAAATTGACGAACTGCTTGGCGAGACTTTGACCGGGATCCCGTTTCCCCGAAGCGCCGTAGTCTTTTCCGATAGCATCGCGAATCTAAAGAAAACATCAACCCCAATAAATATCGTTTACCGTATTCAAGTCTTTCGGCTCATATCCGAGGATGCTAGCAAGTATTGCGGCTGCTTCGGCACGCTTCCCAATCGGACACGTGAAAAAGTTGAGGAATAACTGAAATTAGCATAAAATGTTAATATCGAAAATCGGCTTACACTTCGCAACGTGTCATCATCCAAGCTGAACTCGCGGCTGTTGTTCGTCTTCTGGGCGCTAGTTCCAACTTGACTTTCCGCTTCTTCCAAGGCGACACGGCAGGCAGCGAGGCTCGACCTTAGAAAAATCGTCACTATCATGTAAAAAAACTCACTCCGATGCCTGGAGAGCCTCTTCCAATGCACACTTGTCCAAGGTCAAATTTCCGAATTCGGTCTCAAGCTCCTGGCACTTCTTAGCAGCTTCTTGATATTTGGTCTGAAATTGAACCTTGTTGTTATAATTCGTACTGCTTACCTGAATTTGAAAGACCCGCGCGGCGTCTTTCTCGGAATCGTTGAGGATGTCTTGGAATACTCCCTTTTGCGTATCCAAGGCTTCCTCAGCACTCTTCCGTTGCAAAGTTTCCTAAAAAAAACCTTTCCAGTAAAAGCAAGGTATTACCGATTCGACTCTCTTCAACAGCTCGGCATTGACCTCGGAGAGCGTGTTGAGCTTTTGCGTAAGAGCTTCGATCTCATGCTATAGCTGGGTGATCAACCACTTGAAGCAAATGTACCTCCTTGTCATATCGATAATCGTGAGATGAATTTCGATCATAGTCGCGCTCATGTTGCATGGAGTTGAGAAGAAGCTGTAGCTCTTCGTTCTCCTATAAACCACGCATTAGTAAGTAGTAAAAACACGCAAAAGGTTTTGCAAGGTCATAAACAAGTGAAATTTACCCTTCGCAACTCGCTCATATCCTCATTATGCGAAGCCTCGATCCCAGCCAGATGTTGCTTAAGGCGCTGATTATCTTGGCGATATTGTCCAATTGTATCTTCCAATTCAACCACGTGGTTCCTAGCCTTCTGCAGTTCAGCTCCATGTGTGGGAATTTGTTGGGCCGCCTAAAAGAAGAGATAAAATTAACAAAATGAATTCACCAATTCAACTTGTTGCTGCAAGGAAGCGTTTCTTTCGGTGGCCGCTTTCAGCTCCTCGGTGACAGAGAGCGATTGTTGCTAAAAAACAGATTTTTATTGCGATCATAAACTAAGATTTTCGGCCTGTATATTAAAGGGATGCCGACGGCATAGTCAATCGGTTACGCGCGGAAAAGAAAATGTCCCCTGGGCGCGCTCTCTCCCCTGCTGGCTACTTGCCAATTTGTTGATGAGGGGGGGATCGACACATGCCGTCGGCAGCCCTTTAACAAAACTTCTCATTTACCTGTGCTTCCGCTAGGAGATTCCTTACAAGACGGCTGTCTTCTTGGAATGCGGCGTTGTTGGCTTCAAGTGCCGCCATGCGTTCTTGCACTTGGGCCATAATAATCCCCGCTTCTTGCTCCCTCGCCTCGGCCTGAAAAAGGGGAGCATGGTGTCTACAAGCGAAAATACAAGAAGGTATGAATGAAAGAACCATTTGTTTCGAAGCAATTATAATAATGCGCTCACCTCCGCCATCTTTTGACGCAAAGATCATTTTCGTTGTTCAGTGCTGTGTTTTGTAACATGTAATTGTTGAGCTGACTCTGAAAAATTACCAGTTGTGTATCTATGCGTATTGTACCTCCAATTCAGCAATCTGATTAGCTTGTGCATCGCATCCAATTATTGTCTCCTGGGAGTGTGACTAAAAAAAATTCAGATAGAGTTCTATGAACGTACGCTATCCAAAACCAATTCTGCGATCTTGTTCTTAGCCTCTTCGTGTTCTTCGCGTAGCCCTTGATGCTCCGCTTCCAGGATCGACATTGTCGTAAGAGACTCTTGCAGTTTTTGGAGATTCTGGCGTTCAGTGGTGCCAAGCTAAAACAGAGATGTAGCACCCTACTCTCAATTACCTCTTCGATGCGATTCTTGAATCCCTCGATCTCAGCCTCCGCGTCACGAAGCATGGACAGCAACATTTCTGCCTCCTTCTAGAGAATGTATTGAGAAATTGATTCACATTGGATACCTTCTGAGATTCGTGAGCCAATAGCAGTTCATTCAATTTCTGCTGATTGCTTGAAAACTCGAGCGACAACTGAGCATTCTCGGCGACCAGTTGCTCAATCTTGGTTTTAGCATCGGTCAATTCGTTGAGCGTTTCTTTTTCGGCGGGTGCATCCTTAAACAAGTTAAATGAAATCAGACTCATCAAGTACCATCACATCAGCATCACGCCAAGATGATGTCGTTGCTGAGGTCACAGACAAAGCGACGGGCATCACGATGTGGTGGGCCATCACGGCTGTCTAAACAATTTCAAGGTAATCATCTCCAACTGCCAATGTAATAACGCACCTGTGTATTTGAGTTGCTGGCCGAGGACGGTACAGCGGTAGGCTCCCCTGAAGACGGTTCAGTCTCTGCATTAATCTAAAAATATTAATATAGTGGGATAAAAGTTACAACCGCCATTACTTTTTCCCATGGATCGTGTTGGCTCTGAGATGGAGAAGAACTAACCGACACCACTTCAAACAATTTCGATAGAATCTCGAGCTAAAAATCCAGTCACAGGAGAATTTGAAAACGTACGAGATATTGCTCCCCATCATCAAGATTCGCTTGTTGGGCTCTGAAGTCCTCGAGGGCCTCCAAAATTTTGATGCGGCGGCCGTGATTATTTTCGGAAGGCTCGATTTCGGTGATCAATCGCTGGATGAAGGGGGTCACCTCGCTTGGTCGTACAAAGTTTTCGACTAGACGAACCTAAGAACGAGATTAATTGAGGGACTGGAAAATAACCTCCTCCGTCAACTCGGCCACCTTCAAAGCCTGCTCAGCCGCAAGCTGACGGCTTCTTTGCTCTCTGGCGGCCAAATCAGCCATCTCCTGCTCTTTTTTCTAAAGATCTTTCAGCGGCAAATAGCTTAATAGCACCTGTAAAACTTCTTGGTGTTCGCCCTCTAGCGTCTGCATGTCCGCTGCCAATTCCCTCAGTTGGGCCTTCAACATGACTATCTGAATCCAGATACAACAATCTCAAGAAAAGGTTAACCTCTTCTTGATAATTGGTAGCTGTGGGTTCGGCCGAGGTCGTGGCGTCGATTGCTTCCCCATCATTACCGATCTCGGCGATCGCTTCGCTGGCCAGATCCACGAATTGGTTCTGAATTAATCCATTACGTTTATAATATCCAACTCTTACCTTGGCCTGGACAAGTTTGCCCATCCAGTCCATCTTGCCGCAAGTCGAAGCAAATACTGAAACATAGAAATAGGGCTGCCGTGAAAGGAAAACAGTCGAATCGGAATCCCCGAACAACCAGCGTAAATCGCAAATTAATCCAGTAACTTTGAATAGCTAAAACAACACAAATAATAGTAAAATATCGCTCAAAACTTAGTCAAAAAGATCACGTGGAAGTTAGAAAAAGCATTAGGCCTGGTAAGTGCGTTGGGTGGCGTTCGCGTCTGTCGGAAGTGGGCGGAAAAGAGGTGTCAACTGTATCCTGGCGGAAAATGCTTCCATATGTTTTGTTTAGCGGAACTGTAGGAATCAAATAAATTCTATAGAAAAAAGGATATGCAAGTAAAACATAACGCCTTGAATGTCTGAAAGTTAGCAATTTACAAGCACTAATTTCGATTCGATAGTTCCGCTAGTCGGTGTCTAAATCTGCTAGATCGCGGACTTCTAGACACCCGGGAAAGCGAAAGTTCAACGTTTTGTTACAAGAAGGGGATAAAAAGAAGCTTCATTTGCCTAGTTTTGGAACGCTGTTTGAATTTCCTTTTTTTGCGCGTTCGTGGGCTGAGATGGGCGGTGATATATGTGGCCTTCATCCATTTGATAAGGGAATCGTCAGTCCCGGCCGTCAATCATTCAGCAGATTGACTCTGCACACCGCAACTTTACTGCTCAAAAATGGTCACTGAATTTACGCCAAGTAAGTGAAAGTCGGGTTGTAAAAATCCCGATCTGGCTGGTTGGTTTAGTTGTTTGAAATCCAGATATAAGTAAGTATCGCAATTATCAAATTAAGGCTCTAACCGTCGCAAGGTCGACATCCATGCCCACGTTTTGCCAAGGGACATCCCGAATTTTGAAAAGGTTTGGCATGGACGTGTAGACCTAACAGCTTCTTCAAGAAATTCGGTTATGGTGGCTTCGTGCATTTGGATCATAGGGATGACGGAACGACACACATGATCAAGGATGGGAAGCTTTTCAGGTAAGAAGTTAAAAAATGTAGCTAGAACGGCAATCACCATTCCTCGTTCAGAGTCGTCGAGCCAAACTGTTTCGATACTGAGCGTCGAATTCGGGATATGGACAAAGCCCACGTGAATGTTCAGTGCATCAGTACTGTCCCTGTTATGTTTTCGTACTGGGTAGGTCATGTAACGTTGAGATGGGGAGCGTTTTGTTAAGTCAGCTTCCGTTGATAAGTTTTGCTTTTTTTTAAGGCCAAGCCAGCTGATGCCGAAATCGTAGCGCGCTTCATAAATGATGATCTCGTTGCCGAATGCGCAAAATATCCAGATCGGCTTGTTCCGCTTGGCACGTTGCCTATGAATGACATCCCGCGGGCCATTCAGGTTTGGTCTTTGATTTCTTGAGGCCTTTAAATCTTACGTTTGAAATTTTATTTATTTTCTTCTCCAAGAAAATCATATAAATCTCTAGAGAAACCAAAGAAATCACAACGGGCTTTTATCGTGGGGAAATAAGTGAACGACTCCCAAAACAAATTCAGAAACATCAGAGATACTTCTCGGAAAGAGATCAAGAAATGGTCTATGGCATGCGCACGAATTTCGGTAGCTTTAGAAGCTTCTGGCACCCGGGGTACGGCTAAATATCATAGGGGAAGCTAAGGCCGGTCAATAAATAAATTAAAATTTTTAATTAAAGTTATCTTCTAGAAAACATATGAAAATATTATAAGGGTGGCTTGGTCGTTAGGGTTCTTGGTCGGGTTGAGCAGCATTTTCATACCAGTATTAGGATGAGGAGGAGCACGTGAATTGCTCAGCTTCCGTCTGTCATAACGATTGTTGAAGGTTTTTAGAGGGAACCAACCTTTCTTTTCTTCAATATTCCAGTCCTTGAGCACGTAGTACCACCAATAAACAATGTTGAAAATCGCGAATAAAAATGGGAAGCCCATCGCCGAGAATTTATCAATTTTTAGGGCTAGTTGATCGCGTTGTTGGCGTCTGAAAGTAAGGATTGTGGGTGTGGTTTTTTGATTACTTTGATGGTCGGCCAGGCTCTATCATCAAAGATGGGACCCGATCCCCACGATTCTCCTCCATGTGGCTAAAATGAGTTTAGGGGATGACGATTGGGGAACTACCGATCAAAGTCGACATTCAGCGGTTGTGTTTCTCGGCTTTCACACGCACAACTTGTGCTGAATGTTCGGCTCATTGCTAGAAATGATGGCATTGGCTTTTATTGTTTTAATACCTCGGGCTAGCGTTCCATTTAACCCGAAACCAGGTGGTATATAGCCATAATCATTGTGAAGGAGGGCTTCTTCTTCACTAGCTTTCTGCTTCTTACTGTAATTTGACCAATATGGGAAATGTAAGGTTAGATACCGTTGGAACGTGGTTGTGGCTGATGTTAGATGGACGGGTGTTGATGGTTGTTCTCTATATGTTGGTGGAGCAGCTGATGGGCATTCTACCGATGATGATTTGGGTGGTGGCTAAAGCAACTCGTAAATTTATCGTATTTATTTCAGTGTTTATTTCACTTCTAGCTCTCTTAAAACCTACCGCTTCCTCATCCCGTGACAAATACCCAACCCAGGCCAACTCTAGCAATGAGCAAAACACAAATGTCATACATGAGAGCATCCAGACATCAATAGCCTATTGATTAAAATGGATTTTTATAGTTTTAATTTATTACCTTGACGTAAGATACTCTGGGGAGATTCCTGATGATATTTCCGAATTGGAAAGTCATGGCTAGCAATGAATTGACACCAAGCATTGTTCGTGCGGGGATGGCCTTCGAGCCGAGGGCGAATGAGATCCATGCTGTAATTTTGATTTATTTTAGATTGCTTTCCCCGGCCGACTTCCGATTTTTTATCCATTTCCCCAAGGGCATCCCAAAATTCCATTGCTTTCCCCCGAGCTGCCAATCTCTGGGCCCCAAAAATGGCTTCAGTTCCTCTTTTTATCCCTCGAGGCCGTTTATTATTTGTTTGGAAGAGGGGCGAAGGGCAGAGAAAGGGAGAGAGAGAGAGTTTTTGGTTTGTTTGTTTGTTTGCGCGTGTGTGAGACGAGTAAGTGATATGCGGTGCGCGAGACTCTGGGTGGTGGTGAGGGTCCCATGGGGCCCTCGGTGGCCCTCGTCTAACCGAGGCTAGAGGGGGAGGTCTCCGGATCTCCCCACGATTTATCACCACTTTTGATCTATGACGGAACCCGAAGGAAAAACGGGGGGTGGGGAAGGAGGGAGAAAAGCCAATCCTAGGCACCAGCACCACGCCATCCGGTTTAATGAAGTTTCGGAAGGAGGGAGAAGCGCTGCAGGATGGGGGTGAAAAGTGCGTTTTAGATGGAAGGGTGGATTGCGGCTGGGGTTTTGGAAGTACGGGAGCAATACCGTACCTTGCAGTGGTTGAGGGAGAATTTAAGTAACCGATTATTAAAAAAGTATTTGAACTATTTACGCTATTTTTTTTAAAGTTATCCCTTTTATAGTACAAAAACGTCACTTGAAAATCGGTTGATGTTCGGAAACAAAGAATCTCTCCGTCCCCCCTATGTGCAGTCGAATCAAATTCTTGCCCCTCGCTCCGCGATGTCCCCCCGTGATGCCTCCCTAACCAAATTTCGAACAAACAGCCAGCCGTTCCGGCTTCTTTTTGAAGCCCACCCCTCAAAATCGGCTACAGCTTTATGGAATCGTGAACCGGAACTGTTCAAAAACTTACAAATACATATGGTAAGATAGGTGGGTAGATAGGCTTGCAAGATATACCAGCCAGCTCGCCGCTTAAATTGGAACATCATCGTCAATTCGTGCCAGAATCCAGCTGGGTAGACCTGAGTTTTTATTTAACTTCTATATAAAATTTGTTTACTAACCTCTGTATTCCTAACAAATAATATATCCGTTAACTCATAGTCGGCAAGCTCAATTTTATCCCTCATTTTTGAGACTCCGGTGGCACTCCAATTCATCTCTACCTCGTCTGTGTTATAACTAAAACAAGGAAGATCCCATTTTCTAGCCTGAATTTTGATTACTTGAAGCTTTCAAAAGTAAGTGAGCATGTGACGTTGTCGAACGGGAATCGTGTCAAATCCATTTGACATGGTCCTTGCAGTTTAAGGCGATAATTGGTCCATACTAAAAAAATTGTTTCGACTTTGAAATTACGGAAATTGCGTACCTGAGCCATTCGAATATATCAACAGGAAAATATTGTCAAAGGGTGACTTGTGGATATCGGCCGTTTTTGAGTTGATAAAACAAGAATTCGGGGTCCAGAGGTCGCCCAATTTTTTGCTAAAAATATTTAAAATCGATGTTTTTGGAATGTTGATACCCATTGAGGGACAAGTTCTGTTTGCAGGGGTTCATGTCTTCAAAGTAGAGGGCTGGATCTGTCCACATTTCTGAGATGTAGATGTCAAGCTGAAAAGGGGAAGATATGGCGGTGAAATGATTTTAAAGAGATTAGAAGGTGGGAAAAGCAACTCGGCAAGTTGAAAACTACGGGTCACGCCAAGTAACAGGATTTCTTTTAATTCCACATGGAAACCAATTTTGGGAAGAACAAATTATTTTAGCCGTGTTTTGCAGTAGTACGTAGTTGTCATTGCCCCTTTAAACTAAACCATAGTTCTCATTTATGACATTATCTTCTAACTACTTTCTCTTTCCTCTTCAACTACCCCGGCCCTCCCCTCCCCTCTGGTTTTTAGATAATCGAATATGAGCACCTGGGCCCAATTCTAAATTCAAAAAGTGAAAAGAAGCCGGGGCGCCGAGGCAGGCGATGAGCGAGCAAATGCTAAATAATTTACCCCGGCCTTGGTGGCTCCCCCAATAGGGATCACCAAACACCTTGAATTTTTTCGGGGGTTTTCGACGGCGGTGAAAGACTAATGGGAAGCGAGCCAGAAAACGTACTTGGAAATCTGACGTGATATCGGAGATTGTGGTGATTTCTTGGACCCAAACCTCCACCGTGACGAACACCTAAAAATAATAGAAATAGTTTAGAACACTTTTCCCCCACCTTTCCACCCGGGATTTTGTGCTGATTATAGACATCTTTATCAAGTAACGTTTTCAAGATATGACTATCATTAGTGCATTGACGGGTTGATCGTATGACCTAATTTAAAAAGGGTTGAGCCTAAAAATATGAATTCTGACTTTGGTGGGGTCGGTGATAGGGCGTAGGCCTCCTCGCTCATCGAGTTCCCAGTCATAATTTCGGCTTAATCGCTTCAGATGTCGTGAGTTACGTCGGTAGACGGCTTTTCTGAAAAAATAATGAAATTTCGAGGGGTTTTTTTGCAAGGTCTGCCTTAGAATAGTCTTCTGCCCTTTGTCCTTCAATATGCATGTCCGACCGTGGACGTTAACGAAAAACGTTAACGTTTTTGGGTGAATTTTAATGAATTCTAAAAATAGTCTTTTGTCTGAACCATCTAACTTTTTATTCCAGTTAAAATTGAACCCCCGGTCTCTCTTCCCCATCCATCCAGACATTTCGACTTTTGATGTCCGGAAGCGTCCCTTTCCATCCGACTTCTCCCCCCTTCCCCTTCGATCCCCCGTTTCCTTCCGTTCTTCCATCTGGTGTCTATAGTAGTGCTTTGTGGTGGCCCCTAGGGGGTGCGAGGCAATGTGTATTCCCTGCAATCGAGAATATCGAATTTCGGAGCCGTTGGGGTGGGCCCTTCTCCATAGCACATTCCCGTGGCCCCCGAAGGGAGGAGGAGACTGACTTGACTTGGGCCAAAAAAAGTTAGGGTCCATTTTTGGCCAGGGTGTGTTGGGATGCCTTTTGGGTATGTCCTTCCAGGGGGGGGCTAATTGGTTTCAGTTTTCTGTCGTGACACTTGAAAAAATTGGGGGAGGCCCAAAATGGAGGGTCAACGTGAGGAGTCGGAAGAATGATGAGGAGGGTAATTTTTTTGGGGGCGGGTAACCTACTATACCTAAAAATGTCTTCTACTAAGCTTTGTAAGCGTCGATTTGAACATGGTATTTCCGGGCGTAGTGGCTAAGGACAAGTATTTTTGGGCATGGAGCAAAAGAACACGTTTAAAAATTTATTTAATAGGTTTATGTAAATTCACCATCCCGATTTAATCCCATCCAAACCCCCCTCCACCCTCAATGCCAACTAATGACCATCTGGGCGGCTCGAAACGAGTTATAAGACCCACCCCATCCCCCTCAACACGACCCAAAGTAAAATGAAGCCAATTAGGTTTTGCTAGTGGCTCAGCGTATGGCTTATGAGATGAGGGTTAACCGGGATATGCTAACCAATGCGGTCAAATCCGAAGATGTATTCCGGATCCTGGAGCCAACCTGGATTCGACGACTTCAAAGAGTATGGCGAGTCCGAGAATTGTGGCCAGAAGGCGCATAGTCGACGGCGTCTGGAGCTGTGCCCGTCTACCCACTCATCGCCTTCATTCCGTGCCACCGTACCTCTAGAAAAATACCATAGATTTGCATAAGATTAAAGAATTGATGGGCAGGAGAAGACAAAATTTTTTTGAAAGCTATTCGGAATCTAAAACGGTACATGTAAGTTAGCGGGGGGGGGGAAATAACGGAGGAAACATGGTTGATCTGGAAAAACCGTAATTTAAATATGGTTTTCCAGCTTGCCAAATTGGAGGAGATGTTCAAAATATTGAAAATGTTTAAAAACCCGAAGATCGCCCCCCCGGTCATTTTTCGTGGCCATAAATTTGAACCAAATTGATATGCAATAATACCTCTAAATTACCATTAGTTCGGGCTAAAATTCTGTTCTTAATGGTATTTTTCAACGCACGACCATTAGCATTTGCAAAAAAATAGCATTTAAAAATAGTACGAAAAATACTAGCGTCCTCGCCCTGATCTTATCCCTGTGTGCCGCTATATACTAACCCCCTTCAAATCCAGTATTGCCAACACGACACTAATAACCAATTCCCGTCAAAGCCTCCAATCTTTTTCCAAATTCCTGAGATTGCGTGTGTCTCCTGTACAGCCGCCACCAGACCCCCACCAGAAAAATTTGGAACGCACACACACGCCAACCAAGCGCCTCTCCCCCTCTCTACGTCGCTATAGCGATTTCCGAGACACACCAACAAAAGCCAAAAAACTGCGGGCCAATCTCTAATGTCTACCAGAATACGGGGAAAGCCATCATTTTAAATAATGTGAACGGGGGAGCCTCGGGGCGAATGGAAATGGAATCGAGAAAACGGGAGTGGGGTGGACGGGGGGTTCTTCGGAGGGTGAAGTACCCATTGAAATCACGGGTGCTGGATTAGGTGGTGGAAGAAGCGGAAGACGGGGAGTGGAGGAAGAGATGGAGCAAGAGGCTGACCTGGAGCGCGCGGATCAGACCTTCTTGAAAGCAAGGGATTGGCTTTATGTCTTTAGTATCGTTTAGTATAGTTATAGTTATCGCTTGAAATTTAGCGTCGATCAAATACGTACGCCTTCCTAGCCTCTTAAAGCTACGAAATTTGACCAGTTTAGTGTATTCACAATCGGATACTTGCGTCTTTTTCTGTGAATCGGACAAATTTAAGGTCATTGCTGTATCAAAAATTCATCCATCAGGTTTCTGACTTCACAAGCCCTTTAAAGTCACCAGAAAAATCTTAGATCCTTAATGCCACCAGAACCCTGCACGGTGCAAGCCTAAAAACCTGCAAAACATTTCCCAACCCGCTCTAACGTTTTCTCAACGACCCACCAATTTCCAATTCTAGAACGAAGCCGTTCGCCCATCCGGGATTCCAAGCAAATCGGAAATTCGGGGGAATGGGAAGGGAATAATGGGGTTTGCCGTGGATGCGTTTCCGGGCCCAACAAAAAAGGGGTTGTGATTTAGAGCTGGAGAAATTCAGGAGACTGGTGGTGATCATCCTAGGGCTGAAGTTTTGGTATAAAAGCTCTGGCTTCGGCGTTTCAAGACGGTGCATTTCGGTAGTAATAGTAGTTTAGAAGTATTAGATATATCGGCACTATGGTTTAAAATTTTTCAAGGAGGTGGTGCTTTTGCATAAACCAGGGAAAACAGCATAGAAAACTCACCTCCCCGGCTAAAAAGGCAAGTAGCTTTACCGTAGTATCCTACAGAATAGTATACCTATAAAGGTAAACCACCAATACACCGACTCAACCCCCAGAAAAAAAAAGAAAAGAAGACGTCGGGAAGAGGGACGAAGAATGGGAAGTGGAGCATCACGACGAAGAATAGAGCCCCGCCCCGACTCTGGCCATCTCTGGAGAAGCAGCCCATCCCTACCCCTTCTTCTTCCTGCTGCTGCGCAATTGATCCCACACCACCACACCACCCCTTTTCTAGACCAAAAAAAAAGGAAAAAAAGACCAGTGTGGCTCCAAAAAGACCCACCGCACCACCACCACATATTACTGGGGAGGGGAGATCCTTATTTTTGGAAGCAGAGGAGGACGAGGTAGGGCAGGGTGCCCAAATTTTAGGGGAGGAAGCCGGATGCAAACTCGATTTCGGGGCCTTTAGCGAAGTCTGGGTACGCGGCCAGGCCGGGCACAGGGTACCACGCCCATAGATGTGTAGACATGTGGGGAGAGAGAGCGAACGAGGGAGAGGGAGAGAGATAGAGAGATTGAGAAATGCGTAGAATATCCTGTAGGTGCAATAATTTCGCGGTACCGACTTCTAGAATGATAATTTCCTTTTCTTAAAGTATAGGTTATAGTATGTTAGCGTACTGTTCTCAACGTTACCAGGGCTTTAATAGTCAACCAGCCATCAATTTGACGAAGAGTCATACCGCTTAAAAATCGCTAAATTGCTTACCCCTTGTTGACCTTTTCCTAGTGGTAGATGGATGCAATGTTTTTGAAATATTGTCATTCTCTCTCCCTCACTATCTCTATCGCTCTCTCTCTCTCGCTCTCTCTCGCTCTAATAATATAAATAAAATACATACTGATTCACTAAAAGTATTTGAATACTTTTTAACACAAGCATCTCGGAAATTTTCAACCAAGTAAGATCTAGATGTCCCTTCAAACGGCAAATAAGTCAAGCCGCCGGAAAATTCAATGACCCTGAACTTTGAAAGTTTAAAATTAGCTCTCCTTTAAAAGTCGCTGACCAGCTCTAACCCCCTTTCCTTCCGTCAGGCAATATACTCGTAACCAGCAGGCAGCCAGTGGTTAGTGACGAATTTCTGGGGAGGGATGGGCCAAGGCGGTTAGTTTGCCCCTAATATGCATGGGTAGGAAAAGGGGCAAAAGGGGTGACTGGTAACGAGTTTTAGAGACAACCGACCGTGCTGGAAGGCATATCTGTAACTAGGCACAACCAGTACTTTAACCAAAGAACTAGAGGGTTTTTTGAAAGAGTTATAACAAAAAGTTAAATTGCTATAACTAGGGTATGTCTCTGATTTTTTAATCACTCAAGAAAATAGCAAATGCCTTTCGAGAAGGTTCCAAAAAATATGCTAACAGAGCGTCAAGAAAAATATAGTTCTCGCTTTTCGTTAGTTAAAACTATCACCAAATCTCCTGTAAATTAAGAAAACTTGAAAACTACGATAAATCCACTTCAAAACAGCTGTATACAAAATTTCACCACCTTCCCTCTACCCACTATAGCCAAATAATAACCACTTCTTACCCGCGGCTTCTCCCACATTCCCAGGGCCCCAATTTGAAGGCTCGTGGGCAAAAAACTGGCGGTTAGATGTAGTCAATTAGTTGAGCGTGGGATGTTGCCAACGCTAATAAAGGCCTGGGCCTTATTAAAAGCGACTGGCATAAAAGGAGTAGAAATTGGTCTCACTTCGTGAGTTTCTACGGTAGGGGGATGCAAATTAAGAGTCGCGAAGAAGAGTCGCTGCACAGTTTTGAAATGGCAACCAGAAGTTTTAGGAAGTGAAGCGGTGCGTGCAGATGGGGATCAGCGGATTTGAGATTGGATCGCATATAGGGGAGAAGAGCCTGAGCGATAAGGATTTTGATCCACTGTATAAGGTATACGAGCCCTTTCAGAATTTCCATAATCATAAACGGGCAAAATGAGAATCTGGAATTTTCGCATCGTCTCGAAATTGGACTAGAGGTGGTGTCTATGACAATTTCTAGACGCTGAAAATTTGAGATTATGACAATTCGATATTCTGAGAACGTAAGATTTTTATTTTCGAGATTCTGATTGGAAATCAGGTTAAAAAAGACTTCACGCATATTCGCACGATGCCTAATTCGGGAGGGTTTAGGTGTGTGAAGATCTGAACGTGGCCCTATTCATCCATCCATGGGATATGCACATGTGGGATGGACGTCTCCAGAAATACTGGATGCCCTGGCTCGTCGGTGGGAATTTCGCTTTCACGGCATTTTTTGGCGGAGAAAGCCGGATTTGAAACATTTTGAGGAAGTGGCGCATGGGAATTTTTTGGTTAGGTGAAAGGAAAGTGTAGTTTTCTTCAAAATCGGGAAAAGTAAAAAAGGAATTGAATCAAAGAACCAGCTTGGACCCGAAGCGTGCAAGTCAAGAGTCTGGGTTTTTGGCTATGGATATACGCTCCGCAACGTGCTCCGTACGCATAGGCGTATTACGTAATCTATTAAAACGTAGGCTATATCCCGCGTTGCGTACCGCTGCACAGAAAAATAGAGAGACAATGCGTACCCCAAAATACAACAGCATAACTTCAAAGCCCTTTTAAATCCAAAAAAAAACATAGAATTTTATACATTTATCAATTCCAGGAATGCCTTCTGAAACTGCCCAAGCCATTGTTAGCGTCCTAATGGGCGGCGTCCTGGAACGCTTCCCAAAACTACGACTCTGTTTCGCGCACGGTGGAGGATCTTACCCCCAAATCCGTGCCAGATGCGGCCATGGGTATTTTAATCCACCTTTTATCTAAATAACCGTATCGCCAGCTATCGCGTCCGTCCCGATCTTTGTGCCATGGATTCGACCTTGGCGCCGGATCACCAAGATAAGCTGATCTGGGCTGATTCGTTGGTGCACGATCCGAATGCGTTGCAGCTGTTGCTGTCGTTTTTGCCTAAGGTGAAGCGGATATACAAAATTCAAAGATTATATTCAAAATTTCAGGACCAAGTCTGTCTCGGAACTGACTACCCATTTCCATTAGGGGAACTGGAAGTTGGAAAGGTCAGTAGGCAGTATAAAGATTCTAATTATCAAAAATGATTATAGGTAATTGAAGACAGCCCATTCCTCTCCGACACCGACCGCGATACCCTTCTTTGGGGAAGTGCCGTCAAACTGTTCAACCTCGACGAAAACAAACTATCCAACAAACCCTTCTGAACAAAATATCTTTATTAAGTTGCAAATGTCGGCTTATACTGGACCAATTTGAATACTAATTCACTTCCACATCCTCTTTCACGACCTCCATCACAGAATCGTCAGTCTGGACCTGCACACCTGTTAGAAATTGCTCAGAATAAAGGTGTGAGGACTAAATAATACCTTTAGTGTCCTTTGGATCTGCCACTTCTTCCACATATTCAATCGTTTCCTCCGCCTATGTAAATTGTAGAAAAAAGGTAAAAATACATACGGGTCCATCGTCATTAGCATCAACGTACTCGACAATTTCTTCCATTTCGCTACCACTGTCGGAATTCGGAGCTAAAGTACAGGAGATAATTTTTGAAAAAAAAAAACATTAGAGAAAACCTTTCGAGGTTTTTGATGTTGATGGTTTTCCAGCGGTCGGTCTTTTCCTGGTGGTTGTTGGTTTGGGATGCCTAAATTTAATTCATTCTTTTTTAGATTGTTGTAATGCGAATGTGGATGTAAAATTTGTGAATTTATAAGCTTTGTGACAGTGACGATAATGGTCCATTTTAGCATCTATAAATGTGTTAATCGTGCCGGATTTGATATTAAAATGAAAACAAACTCTGTAGTGGTTGTTGGCGTGGTAGTGGTGGTGGTGATCAAAACCGTGGTTGTAGTCATAATAGGGCTCGTAGTTTCAACAGGTTCAATTGGTTTTTCTAATGGTTCCGTCGGTTCCATATCTTCGATAAATCCCCCAGCCGGTTCAACTTCGGGAACAATTTCATTTTGTGTCTCATCCATCAGAATTTTCTCCGGTTCAACCGTCGTTGTCGAGCTTGCTGTCGATTTATTGGTGGTTGTAGTAGTGGTGGTAGATGTGATTTCATCAGTGCTACACACAAGTTAAAGAGTTATTGAAGTCAAAAGAAGTTTTATTTACCTGACTCTCTCCTGTTTGTCGACTTCTGGTCTTGACGTCGTTGTGATTAAGATATTCTAAAGGTACAATTGCGCACATGCTCTCTCTCTCGCGCTCTCTCTTTCTCCCTCGCTCTCGCTCTATCGAAATGTGGTTGTTTTGATGACGGGCGGAAGTAGGGAGAAAAATTTGCCGAGGTGACGGGACGACCACCACCCGCGAAATTCAATTTTTTTTCTTTGCTGTCCCGTGGCAGGATGCCAAAAGGGCAGACAACCACCAATTTCGAAGAGCCCAAACTCACTTGTTCTTCCGGGATGGAGGAATCAGGTCGTTTCGAAACGTATTCGCGGACCTCATGCCTAAAAGGGGCGAACTGACGTTGAAAAGTTGGATACCTAAAATCGACAATTTCCGCTGGTGTCAACGAATGATCCCCATCAACGTCGACCTTTTGGAAAATGGTTGCGGAAACTTCTGGGGGTAGACTAAATTTTTATGTTTTTCATAAGGGTATAGGTTCTGACCTGTATTTAGCTGTAATCAAATCAGATAGTTCATCGATCGTAACCTGGGCATCTTGATTGTTGTCGAATTCCTAGAAAGCGCTTGCTCAAACTGCGTAAGGTAAATCACCTTGAAATGATCAGCCGCAAATTTGATGGCCGAAAGTCTGGCCAGTCTAAGGAAATCGGCAAGCTCAACTTTGTCAAGTTTTCCAGATTTGTTCTAGAGGTTGCATGCATACAGCAATTAAAATAGAACATACCTGATCAGCAATTGTAAATAGCGAATTTGTAACTGATGGTTCTAAGTCATCTTCACGATGTGTTTTCTCCTCAGCTTCCAATCTGGACACAAAACCATCACCATCCAAATCGGCTGCCTACAAATATTATTTTACCTAAAACGGTTTAATTTATACAACCTTTAAAGCCTCGATCGCGTTCAAAACCGCCCTGGCCCGGATCACGGATCGGAATCCGGCAAATTCCACGGCATTCAATTGTCCATCTTCGTTTTCGTCGGCTTGCGCAAAGAATTGGGACAGCAACTAGAAGATCAAAGGCATCATAAAATTGAAAGCTTTTACTTTATCACCAAATCCATAATGTTCAAATGCAATTTGTCGGGCTTCATTTAGGGTGATAGTTCCTGTGTTGTCAACGTCCATTAGCTAAAAGGCTATAGTATTTAGGTGTTTCTCTACCTTTAAAGCTTTCTCGCTGGTTCCAACAGCTCTTGCTCGGACGATTCTCTCAAAATCGGCGAATTCCGGTGCGTTCAGCTCGTTATCTCCATTATCATCAACAGACATGAAGATTTGGTTTACATCGCCGGCTCCGATCCCTTCCTACGAACAAAAGGTGTAGTTTTCGGGCTCGGTTTAATGAATAATATTATGCATTGATTTTTAATGCATATATTAGTAGTTAATATCACTGCTCTCTCTCTCTCTCTCTCTTTCGCTCTCTCTCTCTACCTGTTCAAAAGCGATAGCTTGCGCTTCTTCCCTAGAGATATGGCCATCACTATTCAAATCCGCCGTCTAAAAGTTGCCCCATTGAGATGGACGTATATTTTGTTACTCTGCCTTCATGACCTGACGTGCCAGCCGGATACTCATCCCACGAATTCGACGACGCAACTTCGAAAATGTCGCAGCAGCCATTTCAGCCTCCGGATCCGTTTCCACCATTTTCCATACCCTCTCCACATCTCTAAAAAAACAAAATAAACCCTCCAAAATTTACCACCTCCCCACCTAGCCCCAATACCGTACTCCTTCAAAATATAGGCTTGTGCTTCCTTTAAAGATAACATCGAATTACGGTCGGTATCGACGTTCTGAATATTATGAAGATATAGAATGTGGGCTTGTTTTACCTGCATATAATGTGCAGCTGCGTTTTCCGCTTTTGCCAACACCAATGGCTTTATAGAATTGAATTCCTCAGCATCCAGAAATTTATTCTGGTTTCTATCTGCCTATAATATCAATTTAAACCTATAAACTAGATTAAATTCTTAGACCTGCTTAAACAGGTCTTCAACGACAGTTCCACCAAGTCCGTGATGTACAAATGCAGCGTATTGGACCTAGGCTTTTTTATTAACATTTTTGACCACTGCCTTACTTCCGATAAGCTCATTTCCCCATCACCATTTAAATCGACCGTCAATTCGATAGCTTTATTGTTTCCTAAATATTGTCCAGAGTACAGTAATATCTTGAGGAAAATACCATTTTTCTCGGCTATTGGAAGCGCAACGGCAATGCCAATAAGCAAGGCAAATATTCGGGGCCGCATTCTGGAATGGATTGCCTGTTTTTGGCGGCCAAAGAAAAAGAGCATGTCGGGAAAGATGAGAAATTGGCTAAGGCCCGGGGGAGTGGACTGAAATTCGTGAGGACCGGTTTAGAGATGCAACATTAAGAACCTTCTCAATTCCCAGAAATCCAAGAAGATAATAATCACATCATAAAACTTTCCGTTTTCGGTGGATCTAATGTTTTTGGTTATAAAGTAACCGTTTAAGGGAGCAGCTGGTGGTGAAAAGGGAAAATGTGGGAAAATGAATGGAGTGACCGAAAGTGAGCGGTTGACCCAGATCGTAGATAGGCGGGAATGGGCGAGAGCTGGATGTTTAGCATCCTTATGCTCCATCTGCTGCTCCACCTCCTCCTCGTTCTCAACCTCCTTTTACAAGCGACTTTTTCGTCTTGATCTCTGGGTATAGGGGTGTATCTCGAGGTCATAATTGACTGGCTCGTTTATGTGTAGGTAGGTAGATGGAACTGGTAGGGCAGCGGGATTTAACATATATGCTAATCGAATCTTATTGAGTTGGGCATTAAAGGGGGATCGACCCCTTCTAGCGGTTAGATCTAGACAGCTACGCGAGACTACAAAATGACGCTTGGGAAAAAGAAGCACATTAGACTCTTCCCCATATTGTGGCGCATAATTATATTTTCTTACTTCTCTGTCTTTATTGTACCTTGTAAACTACCTTGCATCCTAATTTGCACCATTTATTTCATATCATCAAAGAAATCTTCAAACACCCATATCGATTAAATTAAAAATTGCAAATAAAAGCGTAAATAAGAGATAACACGGACATTCCCCCGAGTGCTGAGTTCATCGCGAAAACCATTCTTCTTCTACATTGCCAATCGATCCCTACCAGTTATCGAGTGAGCAGGAGGGGGAAAATGCAACTCATTCTTGAAACAGATAAATATCACATTGAAAACCGTATGTCATTTCTTGGGGGGTTGCGAGAATTTAGAGTTCAGTCTTCTTGAAGGACTTCTTTGCGTGCTTGGCCATGAATTTCTTCAGATCTTCGAGGTCTCGGTTGCCGCGGTATTGTATTGGTGTCTGAAACAGAAATAAAAATTTCCATACAGGTTTTTTCTAAATAACTTTTTCGAAAATTTGAAAATTTGATTTGGAAGCATGGCCTCGATACAAAATTTGGAAATATACCTTTTCTCCAGCAGGCAAAAACATGATCGTTGGGAATCCTTCGACCTTGTATTCGGCTGGCGGATCATTGGCGGTGGCATCCATTTTGGTGAGCACGAGGTTCGGCTCGGTTTTCTTGAGGGCCTTTGCCAATTCATCGTATTTTGGCTCGAAGTTCTAAATATCATTGTGTCAGAAATCCTCAAACAAATTGTGATTAATTGATTATTTAACAATTGACAGAAAGGTGATGACTAAAATAATGTTTACCTTGCAATGCCCACACCACGGTGCGTAGAATTCAATCAAAGCATCCTTCGTGCCATCAATGACCTAAAAAGCTGTTAGAAAACTACTATTTCCAAGACCTTGTTGAAGTTGGCGCCAACCAGCGTCTTCACATCTCCCTTATCGTTCTTCGGAATCGGAGCCGACTTCACGTAAGGCTTGATTTGACCTGGAAAAAAACCGCTACCAGAAACTGAGCATCCGACTTACCCTGGCTGAGCTTCTTCATAAAGTTCTCGAGGTTTTCATCAAGTTCGCCATCAAAGGCCTCAGGGTCCATCGGGTATTTCTTGCCATCATATCCGAAGGCGATCACATTGTGTTCAAGACCAGAATCTCCGAGGCCGACTTGGGCCAGTTCAGTGGCCATTTCTTCTTCGTCAGCCACGGCAAAGTTGTACTTGTCCTTTTGGTACTAAAAAGACATTATGGACCTGGTTTTTTTGGATGTTAGCCGGGGAATAAATTTTAATTGGATCAAGAATAGCCAGAATGAAAAAGCTACAAACCTTGTTGGCGATGTGCAACACCTTCTGCCTCCAATATTCGCTACCCTCGCGATATTGGGCGGAGAAATCAGCGTTGTAGTAAACGACAACAAGAGGCAGTTTGGTATACCTAAAAAGATATTTGGGAATTGATATGTTAAATAGTTAAAATTATTTGATAATCATAATCATGCTTTACCTGGTTGCATGGTTATCCTTGGTCAACTTTCCAACGAGAGGTGTCGAATGATCTTTCAGGAATTGGATCATCTCCTCGACGGTTGCGCCGGCCTATAAAGTATCAATTTCGATTTATTTTAAATTTAGATCACATTTATATATTGAAGAGAAGGAAAAAAAAGCTAAATTAAAGATTTTACTGCCAAATTCACCTTGTTGAATGTGCGGCTCTTCGGCTCAAACTTCGAATGGAAAACGGCTGGATAGAAGATGATAATGTCTCCCTCCTTGGCGTCATACTTCTTGAACAGCTCGGCGTTGCTGGTGTAGCCCAGGCTGAAGATCTAAAAAATCCAAGCCATTGATATTTTTGTTGTCACATACATCACGCAGTTTCTCGGCAGTCTCGACGAACGTGTTCGGACCGTCGGCGGTTTTGTAGAAGCCGAGAATGGTGGTATCCATCTAACAATTGGATTTAACGCTGAATTTGAAGAATCTACCTTGCTGACGAATTTCTCCCAATCCTTGAGGCTATCAATCTTTTTCGCGGCCGGTTCGGCGAGTTTGAGCATGTGATTGACGAGTCCTGTAAAAAATTGAAAAATTATTTTAAACAAAAATTTAAGTTTTTAAGCTATTAGGATGATATTACTCACCAGCAGCATCTCTAGGTCCCGAATAAGGCGATCGTTTCGCATTTCGGAAGACCATCAGAGTGGGATAGCCCTCAACTCCATAGCTTTTGCCCAGCTCCTTTTCGATCGTAGCATCAACTTTTCCAAGTCGGATGCCTTTCGTCTAAAATAACGAGATGAACCCTACTTTTTATAGCAGTTCCCAAAAATTATAATTTTTTTGTTTACGGAATTTGGGTGTTTGGACTAACCTTCAACGTCGCGGCGGCCTTCTCAAAATCTGGTGCCATTTTCTTGCAATGCCCACACCATGGGGCGTAGAATTTAACGAGAACCATTTCATTATTTGTGATGAAGGCATCAAAGTTTTTTTCTGTCAGCACTTCCGCCTGAGAAAAATGAGGGGGTGAAATAGCAAAAGTTCAACATACATCTCCGACGGGTTCGGCCGGTTCAGCTGGTGGCTCGGCCGTCGGTTCGGCTTCTTCGGCATATGCCAATGAAAGAAGAAGGAGAACACCCACGAGGGCTCGTCGCATTTTGTCGAAAACCTGTGGTTGATTTTTAAATGGATTTTTAATTTTCTAAAGACAAATGGAGAAAAACAACAAAAAACATCTGAAAATTGAAGTTTTTAGTGTATACGTAACATTGAGTTAAAGAAATTAAATAAGTCTATTGAAATCTATTCACAAGAGCTCAAAATTATCCCAAGTTCTAATCAATGCAGTGAAAGGCTTCTTCACTGGGGTACAGATAAGGCGGAAGGAAGTGAATGGAGCCGACTGCAATGGGGGGTCTTGGGTGTCGACTGTATTCCTATGTGTGCACTAGAGGTAGAGGTGGTCATTTGAAGAGTTTCGGATCGTAGAGCTTGGGTTAGAAGGTAGAGGAAGGTAGAGGAAGACGTGGAGGAGGAGAAGGAGAAGAGGGGGAGGGGAGGAAGAAGGTTAGAGGGGGAATTGGCACGGACCGTCCCCGGACAAATACGGACTGGGCGAACTGTTTGCCCGCAGGGGGGAGGGCCCAACCTAGCCACTCCTCTCTTTTGGGCCCTTTGACCTAAAAGATAGTCCCAAATAGACGTTGTGGGTATGGGAGGGCCAACCTTACCCTTCAATACCTGATCTGCCAGTTGATGGGAGGGAGGGGAGGTTCGAAGGGAGCGGGAAGGCATGTTTAGGGATTTTGTTGGGTGTGGAATAGCTATGGATTGATCTTGACCGCTTTACCGTCATGAACTAGTCATAATCCATTACACTTGTGCGTTACGCATGGTGGTTGCGAAAAAATATCAAAATCAATAAGGTATCCCCTGTCAACTAATTCCATTACCTTACCCTGCCTGTCTTAAAAAACAACAATAACACTAGAAAACTAAAAAGCATTTGTTACAACTATACGACCCTTAATATAAAGTACGGCTTCCAGCGCTTTTCTAGCCCAATATTGGCGCAGCTGGCGAATCGGGCCCGCTTTTTCCACCCAAACATCTACCGATTTTTGCATGACAAACGGGGGTGTGTAAAGAAAAAATTCGGCGCGTGGGGAAATGGTTGTGGTCGAATGGGGGCCGGTCAATCGCTTCGATCGGTATGACCTTTATGGCAAACGGGGAGGCCATCGACACTGTTGGTGAGTGCCCCAGATGGTAGCAAAATACATAGCACGGGTTTCATGTATTGAATAGGAAACAATCGCCGTGGTTTTGTGAAGATTTTTTATTCTAAGGACTTGGAATTCCATACTTTTTGGTTAAAAAGGCGTTCGTGCAAAAAATTGGATATTTCTCCCCATTCTTACGTTTCTGATTATTTCCTCGCTCTCTCTCTCTCGCTCTCTCTCTCTCTCTCACCCTCTCTCTCTCTCACTAGCTCTCGCGCTCTCTCTCTCGCTCTCTCTCTCGCTCTCTCTCTCTCTCTCCATAACTGCCGGATGCCACTTTCTTTTTGCCATTGCTACGGACAGCCGTTTGGGGCAGTTGGGATGGTGGAAGAGTGCTGGGGGATCCTATCGATTGATAGAACAGCCGGCGGGCCACCTTAACCCTCCCTTCCCCTCACTCCCACTCCTCCCTTCCATTCCCTCTTTCCCTAAACAACACTAGACCTACGAACGTTCATTAATGACGCTCGACTTTATGCAGGAACTTTTGCCGGTTTTCCGCAATTGTACGGGCCCGATGTGCAATTTTTTGAACATTTACCTCCAGTCTCTCTCTCCGGGCTGGACCCTCTAAACTCTATGACACTTCTAGAAAGTTGTTCTATTCTTTATAAATTTCTTGGATTACCCAAAATAATCCGGAGCCAGGGAAATAATGGAATCAACCGAATCACCATAGTTTGGCAATTTTTATCTACGTTGTTTTGCGTCAGTGACTCATTTCCGGTCGGGAAATCTTGTGCTTTAGTAAATCCACATGTACCGAATCTTATTTTTATTTTACAGTATTCACCTAATAATAAATATGTAAAGACTATGTTCATAATCTAAATAGTTTCATACATCGTTTCTATAAAACAACTGTTTTAGCGCTACTGATTGCTTTTTTCTGGTCTTTGAAAGGATTTATTTCAAAGAAGGATCTGGAAGAATGTTATTTCAAAGATCTCACCTGGGCCTATCAAGCTCTAAAAACCGCAATTGCATCATAGCAATTCGATGCAACCTTGAATCTAGAGCATTTTCTTCATAGTTTCAACTTCCGATCCCTTTAATTCACCCGATAGTGCTAAATGGTGCCCTCCAAAAACCGGAAAATCTCCGGTTGTCGCTACATGTGTGCATCGAATTTTGGGGGGAATTTGTTGGGCGTAGGGCCGATGGCCGGGGGGTCCTCCCGGTTGGGCCTCGACATTACACTCTTTTGGTGCCTCTCCCCACGCTCTCCTCTTTCCTTAGGACCCTCCGGCTCCCGTTTGGCTTGCGGCCAAAAAGCTGCTACATCGCGGTAAAGGGTAGGATTGGTTAGTATTATGGAAATTTTGAGGTGTCTACCTTTAATTGTAGGGCAAAAATCTTTCTTTTCTTTTCTTTTTCTATCAAAATAAAGATTAGTTACGTATCAGAATCATGAAAATTAATAGGGACTTCCTAACTGTAAGTGTTGGACTTATTTTTATTACTCAAAAAGTAAGATCAATTTGCTAAGTTGTATATATTTATATATTTAGGCGCAATTTGTATGAGTCTCTTGCTCGAAATTTATTGAAGGATGGTTAGTCTGCCTTTCGGAAATTTTCAGGTATCAGGTTGATTTAGTATAAAATCTGCTTTCCTTTTACAAAAAGCAGAGGACAATTCGAAATTTCTATTCCGCCTTAATCCTTATTGTCTAAAACCTATTTCCCACCAAAAATCGCGTGCCAAATACCGTTAGTAATATCTAATGACTCAGGGATCGATGCGAAACCCCCCAGCCCCACATCGGTCGCTCACGATGCATCATCGTCGTCCATGTTCCTTTCTCGAATTTCTTGCTCCCTTGTTTTCCCCAAATATTAGGGATTTTGCTTTTTGTATTTAATTTGAATTCTTAATAATTCTGAATTAGGGTGAACCAGGATGGCGCTTTCCGCGCGCTATCATCAGCACAAACCGAATGTGCCCATCATACAAGAAGACGTATTCGGATGGGTGCGCGAGAATAACGCATTCCAGGTATGCAAAACGAGCCCGAGACCATCGTTGTATGATACTCAAGATGATTTTAATCGCTACTTGTTGCAGGTTCGTGTTTGGTTGGACGACCATGAGCACGACCTGAATGTCGGAGATGATCACGCTTTCTCACTGCTCCACTGGGCCGCCAAGGGTGGACAGGTTGCAATTGGTAGGTCCAAGAAGAGAAAGAAAGAATCGTGAAACGTTATATTCATTTTAGCGGATATGCTTTTGGCCCGGGGCGCGAGGGTGAATAGCACGAATATGGGAGATGATACTCCGCTCCATCTTGCTGCTTCTCATGGCCATCGTGCGATTGTTCAGGTTTGTAATTTTCCAAAAAAACCCCATCATTATTGCGCGAATTGTAGAAGCTGATGAACCGGAAGGCGGATCTGAACGCCGTGAATGAGCATGGGAACACCCCGCTTCATTATGCATGCTTTTTCGGACATCAGGATATCGCTGAGGTGAGGATTTTCCAGGTTTTTATGATTTCTTACATAACTTTTATAAATTTTCATATTTTTTAGGACCTCATTCAAAATGGTGCCTTGGTTTCCCAGTGCAACAAACTCGGCCATACCCCCATCGACTATTCGCCCCCGAAAATTCGACCCGTCATCGAGGGTTGGTTTATTTCACTTTCATCACAACCCTTTCTTCAATTTTACTACATTTTATCCACTTTCAATGCCATTTACCATTGCAGAAATTGCCCAAGAAAACGGACAAAACCCACGAGAGCGCGTCTCATTCCGCCACGACCAGACATGGAAGAACACGAAAAGTCGAACAAGGGATGCCACCCTTTCCCGGTTTACTGGTGTCGACATTGGCAGCCTGAACCTTGTTTCCAAGGTACGAGCATTCGCCTAAAAATCCATTCAACGGATTTTCTAGATCGCCGAGTCGCACTCGGGCGAGCTTTGGCGCGGCAAGTGGCAAGGAAATGACATTGTTGCTCGAGTAGGTTTTATACTAATTAACAATTGGATGGTGATTAAGGTTAAAGATTAAAATGTAGAATAATATAATCCAAGAAACCTGCTTAAGCTGACGCTTTTTAGGTGCTTGCAATCCCGGAAGTCACTGCCAGGATCAGCAGAGATTTCCAAACTGAATGCCCCAACCTCAGGTTTGTGAATAGAGACAGTAATTGATAGCATTTTCAATAACAAAAAAATAACTATTTTTAGAGTGTTCGCACACGCGAATATCTGCCCGGTGCTCGCCTTCTCAAATGCGCCTCCGTCACTGGTCGTCATTAGTCAGTACATGGAATTGGGCAGTCTTTTCAATGTCCTTCACGGCCAGACATGTAAGTTACAGAGTAGATTTTAATTATATTTAATAAGATGGCTTAGCTACAATCGAAAATAAAGCTCGTCGTCGTCTATTCTGATCTATTTTTAGCTGTGGTAATCGACAATGCGCAAGCCCTGCGATTTGCATTGGATGTTGCGCGTGGGATGAGCTACCTGCACTCCCTGGACCCGCTTATTTTGAGGTTGAACCTTGTTCCATTTGCCTAATATTACGTGTAATGTAGATATTATCTCTCCTCAAAGCACGTGGTCGTTGATGACGAGTTGACGGCCCGGATTAGCATGGCTGATACGAAATTCTCGTTCCAAGAGGTCGGACGCATCTATTCGCCGGCATGGTTGAGCCCGGAAGGTTGGACAACTTAAATCAAGCGGATATCAATATTAATGCCAGTGTTTAGAAACCCTCAGCCTGTGCGAATATGTCAAAGTTAGTAACAGTTTGACGTTACAGCATTGCAACGTGCCCCCGATCAGCTAAATGTGCGAGCGGCTGATATGTGGTCGTTCGGTATTCTACTCTGGGAGCTGAACACACGCGAAGTGCCGCTGGCCGATTTGAGCCCGATGGAATGCGGAATGAAGGTGGGTGGGGGTTGAGAAACAGCTGGGGCTTCTGCTCGTGCTGCGGACACGCCTCTTGTTGCACTCCATCCAGAGGTCCTTGGTAGAAAGCACAGCAGTTTGGGTACAGGATAGAATCTACGGCAGCAAAGCAAAAGCGGATATCCAGGGTTTTTAAGAACCGAACAATAATTAGATATTACCCCATCTAAACCATGCCCTTGCAGATCGCCTTGGAAGGCCTTCGCGTCTCGATTCCTCCTGGAATCTCCCGAGCCATGGCCCGACTGCTCTCAATTTGCCTGAACGAAGACCCAGGCCGTCGGCCGATGTTCGATCAGATCATCCCGATCCTCGAGAAAATGAATCAGTAACTATTCCTCGTATATTCCCTATTCTGGTCAACCCTTTCACACTGCCAAATACTCGTCTTTTCTTTTTGCATTTTGATTTGCCTGTTCTAAAGAATGGCCAACAATCCCCACACCGCTCACTCGCCTTGCCTGACTGCTCCATTGTGCAATTTCAATGCCTTCTAAACCTTTTCACACGACTTCCATAATAAGCTATGCATAAATTTGGAACATTTCGAAGGTCGTCCAGAAAAACAGCTATAAAATTGATACGCCGTTGAAAGCGCAGCAAATGGCGTCAAAAAGTGAGATGTAAACACGTGGCCAACGCGCGTCTACTTATCCCCGTTCATTTATAATTCGGAGAAACATAACAAAGCAGAAAGCACTTCCATTCGATTCGCGTGCCGTTCCTGTATGTGCCGTGTACCTGGTTGGTGTGTTCTCTACCTGGATGTTTGGTAGAGGATACAGCGGGTCGAAAAGAGGCGGGGCTGCCCGAGCCCACACCACAAATAATTTGAGCCCGAGCCCACACCATAAATGAGCGATGTCCAATCCCACCCCCAAAAAGACCACAACACTCTCCTGCGATTGATTTAACGGCGATGCTCAAAAACTAAGATTTTTATTCACCAATTTGAAATAGAGATCAACGGGAAATCGCCCTTACGGGCCGCAATGTGAAAACGTAAAACGATGACAACAAGTTAGGGGGATATATGTGCGCTAGGCACTTGTCTGTATATTTTCCCGATTTAATATTAAAACAGGCACGTTACAAAGTAGCCAAATTGGGGTGGGGGGCGGGTACTAGGTTATTGGTAGGCATTATCATGCAAAAAAAAACCAGGGGTATGTGCCTGCTGCATCCTAGCTTGGCACAGGATTCGAGCAATCCACACTAGGGGCGGACGGGAGGGAGGGGGGGGGAGGGAGCAAGGGGGGGACATCTAAGCGAGCGTGAGGTAACTTTTGTAAAGCTAAAATTTCAATATAGACCTTGTGCGATCGGCTTAATCGTTTAATCCTTGGCTTTTTGAGGGGTGGCCGCCGCAACCTTCTCCACCACTTCCTCGATCGAACCTCCAACAAGTTCCAGCTCTTCGTCGGGAATATTTTGAAGAGATCCGGTAAGACTCTAAAATGCAATTATCAAAATAATGTTCTTAAAAACTCACATTGACCATGTCCAGTAAGCGTTGTTTCTTGCCGCTCGGCTGTACCAGAGTCTCAGTCTCTTCATCCATGATCAGCTCGCCGTTCTGCATCATCTGCTCGACCAACTAAAAAAACATCTTATTTCAATGAAAACTGGTTAGGATAGGAGAGTGCTCAGCATTATTCCAAAAACAACCCACCTCCGCCTGATCAAACGCAAGGACGATCTCCTCTTCGACGACTTCTTCAATGATCTCCGGCTTCTCGCTCATCATAGCATCCTCTTTCGACAACGAGTTTTCAAGGTCCTCGTGAATTTGCTGTGAGTCGCGCATCAAGTAGTTCCTAAAAAGTGTTCCATTTATCTTGCGGAAAATAATATCCTGGATGCAATGCCAATTATTATAGCTAAATTTACCTGCGCTCCTCAATGCCCAAGAATCGAGGCTGCGGCTCTCCATCGGGTACGGTGCCTTGGAACTCCCACTCTTCGTCGTCGTCATCAACCAGCTCGTGGCGCACGGCCGGACCCGTCATCTCGCACCCATCCAAGGCCTAAATGTTTGTAATATAACAAACCCAACAAAAAAAATTACCATCTCAATGTAGTTCTGAGGCAGCTCGCGGGGAGGATCCGGTTCACGTGTGTTCTCAATCGGGAAGAGCTGAAAAAAAATATTGTATAGAACAATCAATTGAAATGTCGAAACCCAACGTTGGCCTCTAATAATCGTGCCGTAAGTGTATTTACGTACCGGGCTTCCATTGTATTCAACGACACGAGCAACGAGGTAGCCAAGGTATTCATCAATGCGCGAACACTGTTCGCAGGAAATGTACCGCTCGCGGAGCATCCTGAAAAAAACATGCTATGTAAACACTAGTGTTTGGAAAGTATACCTGCATGCGAATTCTAGATTCGGATTGCTGTGCTCGGTGAGAGGGTTGCGTTCGTTTGGCGACCAACGTTTAAGGAAAGATGGCTCGAGCTGGTTGTCAACGAACTGGGCAACCTAAACATGAGATTTTAAGTAAATCTGGCCAGGTGGCGAAAAATCAAGTTAAGAAACCAGGACAAACCTCATCAAGCTGCATCTCACGAAGCGCTTCGAAAAGTTCGTTGATCGTCTGCTCAAATACACGATTGTCGGCTGTTCTCAGGAGCCTTCGCATTGCGCACATGATGCCGTACTTGTCCACTCGGTTCACCACCAACTGGTCGACACTATTGGACCACTCGGATAAGAGATGCCATTCAGCAAATTGCAAGTCCAGCATGCCTTCCTAAAAAAAGTAATTGGATCCATATATGAAAACATAGCCCGATTGTTACATTAACGAAAAACCATACCGGTTGATACTCGCCAAAGTAGCGGTCCAGTAAGGCTGGGTAGTCGTCGGAGCAATCGGTGACGAAAGTTTGCACTTCGCCAGACCAACTGAAGAAAGTCAGTTGGAGCTAACGTTGAAAATCCTTACATTTGGGTGAGCTTGTCGAACAGAGGTCGCTTATCCGGTGAGTCGTTGATGTAAAGAGCGGCGACCCGAACGTATTGCTCTTCATCGAACACAAGGACTAGGGTCACGCGCAGATCCCATTCACCCAGCATCAGGCGCACCTGAGGTAGTGAGAAAGTGACATAATAAAATCAAGGAATTACCTCATCAATGCAAACACCCTTGTGGGCATACGTTTTCCAGTTGTTCGCCATTTGTTCATCAATGTAGCCAAAAGTGAAAGTCCATTGGCCTTCACGGGGTGGATTGACGGCAAATACCGAGCTGGCGGGGTATGTCTAAAAATCATTCATTGGAAGGGTACGATAACTCTTACCTCCTGGTCAACCAGCAACTTTTGCAATGATTCGTGTTCTCGGTCAGCCCTGACGAACTGTCTGCCGAAGTCAGCGCTCCTTTGCTGCGGCTCGTAGCACTCGTTCGCCGTCAAGCCTTCGATCTCTGAAAAGTAAATAGTAATAAAGAAGCTCGAGTGAGCAATTTAGTCGTGCTACTCGACCGAAAATTCTGCTAACGGAAAGAAAGGCATATGTACCTCTAAGCCGCTCGATAATGAGCTCCAGCGGCGTACTCTCCTCCATCATGTAAAGATATTCGTCCATGGCTTCGCGCTCGATCGGCGACAGCCTGAGAAGCGCCGTTCCAAGACGGTGACCAGTGTGCTCGACACAGCCGATAATCGATAGGCGGCCATCGTTCCAATGCATCACCTAAACAAAGGATAAATCAGTGAATAAAAAGACATACCCTTAGGAATGCCGCGCAGTTACGGCCGCATTTGTCGCGACGACGAAGGTGTTTGGCATAACGGGGCTCATAAATGCCCATGGGGTCCAACTTCTTATCGTATCCATTAGTCGGACAATAGCCACCGGAACGAGCGCAGTAGAGGTAGAGGATCTGTAAGCATACATTGATAGTTTAGACGGTAATGCTTACTTGGTAGTTTGGTCCGTTTTTCATACCCATCTTCTTAATGAAGTCGATCGAGAAGGAATCTTGGACCGCTTCGAACCAATCCTAAAAGGCGTAATTATCGACGGAAAACGCTACAAATTAGCTAAAAATAAAATTTGCCCACAAATTTATCAAAGTACAAGATTGCATCAAGAAAGTAAGTTCTATAAGTTACCTCATATTCCCGAACGTCGAGGAACTCGCGCTGCACGATTCCACCAATCCTATGGTCCACGACCATGTGATCCACGAAAAGCTTGTGAGACGTCATTGAACTTCCACAGTCAGTACATGGGATCTAAATCAATACATGATAATAATATCCATCAAGTAAAAAAACTCACATTTCTCGGTGTGTATATCGGATTAACGAATCCGGGGTGTTCGCGTTTCATATGCACGGCACGGGTCGAGCGACTCATTCCGCGCCAGCCACATTCCTCCACATGACAACTGTAGCGTCCGTTAGCGACGAATCCGCCCTAAAAAGAAAGCGTTGGATAAGGATTTGCGCAAGAGAACCAATAGCCACGTTAACTGTTGAAATCTTACATTGGCCGCCCTGGTTCGCTTCGGGATCCATCCCTTGTGCTGTGTTTTCATGTGGTTGGATCGGCTGGCCCTGTAAAAAGAAAGGTTTCGTTGTGTCTTTTCTTAAAGCTGTCACAAAAACAGTGTTTAATAAAAAAGTGGGCACGAGGGTGCGTCCTTGCAATCCAAAATTCTATCGCGAAGCCCCTTACCGATAGTTTCCACGCCACGGGCATCCATCAATGAAGCAAGAATAGCGGGCGCTTGCGTCGTTCGCCTGCAGCACGGTGCCATCTCGAGCAATGCGCTACAAAAGAACAACTTATAACAATCAATTTAGCACTTACGTTCAAGACAAAACGAGGAGGGCGTACCCAATCAGGGTGGGCGTTGCGCATATGAGTGCACCTGAAACAAGATGAATCTCCGAGGTGTCCAAAACAACTGACCTAACGGAGCGAAAGTTTCCGCGCCATTTACACGTCTCAATGTAACAGGGGTAACGGCCGTTCGGGTCACCAAGCGGGTTGTGCCTTGACGGGCGAGCCCGATTGCCCTAAACATGCTCTATTCAAGGCAACCAAAAACAAACTCACTCCCAAGCCCTCCATATGGTACATGGCTTCCTCTTTGGCATAAATCTCGTCATTTTGGCCCTCCACGTCGATCACATCATAATCATCGCCGTAGTCACCGAGCACCGCTACGCGCATGGGCATCATTGTCGTATACCGAGCATCGCCAACTAAAAGATAAGCCATTGGGAAAAGAATTCATACCATTATTGACTAACTCGTAACATTAATTGTAAGGTTCTTGAATCAAATAAGCGGGTGGTGGGGAAAATGTGAAAAGCATACCATAACGATTCTCATCGCCGTGTGGCTGCTTAATACCACTGGACATTTCTTCCACATATTCTTCAGTGATCATTTCTTCATCAACATATTCTTCAGTGATTTCCTGCTCATCAATCACGGTGTTTTCGTCCACGACGTCGATATGGACTTGGCGAACGTACGGCTGCTGAGAGCGAGGACCGGTCGTCCGACTAAATTTCAACGTTATCAATGCTCAAATAACAATAAACACGGCAAATAAAATCATGATAGATAGCTTAAGACAGTCAAAACCTACATGTCATCGATGTACATACGCGAAGTTGACGTTTGGGGCGCTAGAGGCTGCTCAGCAACGACGTCAAGCTCCTCCCAGTTTTCGCCAATTGGAATCTGAGCCAATACTATGTTTGAAAAACAATGACCCACCGGTGTCATGGCAGCTTCTGCATTCATCGGCGGCGGCTTTTTCGGACGGGTGGCTTTAATCGGAGGCACCTTCTTCTCTGGTGTAGGAAGGGTGACATTCGGAACATCAGCAACTACTACGGCTTTTGGTTCGGCCGGTGCCGCGGATTTCTTCGGGCCGTTGCGAAGAATAGCTGGAGTATTGGGCGCCTATAAAAAAATGTAGAGGAAAAACTGGGTCTTCTTACGACTTTCTTGGCCGCCGGTGGAGAGGAATCGAGGAGCTGGTCCACAGGGTCACCGTCAGCTTCGAAGATCTTCTTCTTCTTATGGCGGGGCGGCCGTTTGACTGGAGATGGAGTGACGTCAATCTGTTCAGGCTGAGCTCCAGCGGCGGCCTCGTCGACATCAACAGGTTCGCGCTTGACAGCCTAAAAACATTCGTCATAAAAAAACCCGTGTAGATTTGCCTTCAAGCCCGGATGATCGTTCCGCAAGTGTGCCAGCAAGAGAGCAGGGGTGTTGTGAGCATTGAAAGGGCAGTACGGACACAGGTTGCTGAAAAAAAAGTACCATTCAATGAAAAAACGGACCCCTCAGTTCCGCGCGAGCGTCGCGAACGTCCAGAAGTGGGCGGCTCTGTGCTTGAAGATACGACAGGCTCGTGAATAACATCAGGAGTCGCAGTCAAGTCATCCCCTAAAAATTACATTTCAGTTCGCAAACAGCCGTCGAACACGACATCATAAATGGTGTTTGATAATAAGCATACCTTCAACGACCAGCGACTTTTTGGGTCGTCCGCGCTTTGGGAGCTGCACTTCCGTAGATTTTACCGGAGACGACACAACCGAAGAAGATTCCTCAATCGGTGGGCCTTCTGCCTCAGCATTTCCACGTCGACGTGGACGCATGCTAAAAAGAAAGCATTGAACAAATCCAATCAACAATAGGCGATGAATCGAATGTAGCTTAATTCGGACCCAATGGCCGAATAGAAACTATGCAACCCACAAAACAGCTAAAAAGGAAATAAGCCGCCTTATAATTTTGATTGGCTCCACTAAATCGACAATCAAAAATATATTTCAATCCCATCCCGTTTGAAATCAAGATAGCAGCTGGCTTCCGAAAACCAGCCGGCAAAAAAGCTCCCGCCAAATAGGGAATTACATAGCGTAATGGAGAGAAGCGAGGTGCCAAAGTCTAAGCAGAAAAGGGTTATTACCGGACAGATAGCTGATATAACAAGGCATTAATGGAAACTAATTTAAAAAATCAATAGACAGATTGTCAATCGGCTCCAAGCGGAGCGTCAATGGTGTTTTAGGGGAAGCGGGCGTTTTGAAAGCACGCGCACGGATGGGCGACGCGACGCTCCGCTACAGTACACCACTGGGGCACCTATTCACGAAACAGCCCAAGAACCGACCTGGGTAAGATATCGTTGTCGTGAAAAACATCGCAGAGTTAGTTGAAATCATTAGTGGTATATTTATATGTCGTATGGGGGTCTTGGAATAGTTAGTACAAAGCTTCCTGACGACGGAGCAGAGCGGGGAACCAGGGTGTCGATGGGACTTTCGTAAGCGGGAATAGGCCAGCGAAGGACGCTATTGGTACAGAGACTAAGAACTGGAAAAAAATAATTGTGGTGCAAGAAAAACAGTTTACATTCATGGGAATACGATAAGAAAACCTATGGGGGATCAATTCCCGTTTGTTGATTGCAGAATTCAACCTGGTGTTTGTTGTCCACTACGGTTTTTTGACCGAACGTTTATTTCGTCCATACAATTTCGTCGATATTTGAGCTCAAACAAACTTTAAAAACATTTTAAAAAAAAGCAATTTTGGCCATTTTCGGCGGAAAAGTCTGTTTTTCTTGCGAAATTTTGTAGTTTTTAGACGCCATTTCCTGCCGATTTCGTGGAGATGTGGGATTTTAAAGGTGTTCTTACTTTTTAAAAACCGCCAATCTGGGAGCGATAATTCGCAGAAATCGATAACTTCGACTCTAACGCTAATATTCGAAGAAAACGACGTTTCCTAAAAAATCGTGGCTCGCTTGCTCATTTCATAGATCTCGAAAAGCTCTTTTCCGGTCGTCTTCATCAAAATAATGGGATTTTAAAGGTTTTCTTACTTTTGGAAAATCAAACAATCTAGCTCGGTTCGGAAAATTCTAGGTTATACAAAAGATTTGTGAGCCAATTGGTGCTGCCGGTGTGCATTTCGCGTAATTAGGAAGTGATTTATCGCGGAAACACTTGTTGTGAAAAATTCGGGGAGACATTTGACTTCAATGTAAATATAATTTCGACTGCAGAAACTAATTATGTGCATTATCTGGTCGAAAAAATACATATGTAGAGATGAGGGGGGGGGGGGACACGAACGTTTGATTATAGGGAGTAAGTGCACGGGACAAGATTTCAATATACGGGGATGACGCTAGAATCACAAATCACAATGTTGAGGGAGTAGTTGCTTGCTAATAGAGTTATCATTATTTTTGGTCTAATGTCAGGGCATATAATTGTGGACTAAATTGAGAGCGATGCGGTAACGAAAAACTAAGACAGCCGGTGATGTAACTGGAAGCAGATAAGTTCAAGGTTCATTACGACCATAATTTTGTTCGAGTCACCTTACCGGCACGCCCAGTTCATAAAAAATTAAAACACACTATGAACAGGGAGACCGCGTAATCACAACGCAACATGTTGGCGGTTTTCAAAGGGCTGAGACCAGCGATGGGATACTATCGAGAGTAGATACCCAAGAAATCTAGAGAAATCTAGCGAAAATGCAAAAATCAGAAAATAAAAAGGTACCCCAAGCTAAATAATAAATTGTCTAACAAAGATTTCAAATATCAATTGGTTGTGCGGTCAAATCTGTAATGTGGTCGATAGGTCCGCCGCGCTCCGTCCTAAAATGATGAATGTAATTTATTATGGATATCTTCTTACCGCTGCCACATGACTTTGTAAAGCGATTCAAGGTCCATGCAGTATTGTCTAACGTCGAAAAGTGTAGATGTGGTCCGCGCCTTCCAAACCTTCGTCCGCAGCATAGCGAGGCTAAAATTGACAGGTATATTTGAAAACATGCCACGCTTACTATTTCCTGTTACATCCCAACTGGACAGCAATATCCACATAGTGGGCTCGATCCTTCGCGACCAATTCGGGCACGCCAAGAGCACATAGCTAGAAAGTAGACTAATGCGAGCAGTGAAGAACAAACATACTTGTGATGAAGCGACTCGTGAAGCCAAAGTTTCCAGAGGCATCGTGATCATTGGTGTTCCAGTCCAGAGGATATCCATGCCTTAATATTCAACATTATTTCTTTAGTACACAAAAAGAGAAATAGTTTCGTTTCGAGTACCAACCTGTAGTATGTCCATTGCATAACGGCGTATCCAAACAGACATCGGCAAGTTGTCCGCGACGCACATGCTCTTCCTTGGCGGCCACATTGCTAGAGAGCGAATTTCATGTAAGACTTATGCTATATATACCTGAATACGATGCGCTTTTGCTCGATTCCCCGATCCGTGCAATACTTTAGCACATTTGGCTCGCCATGGTAGGGGAAGCGCAGCAGCCAAAGAATGGAATTGGGCACCTATAGCAATTCTCCCGCATGAGATGATTTGATGTAATCACCGCACCTTTTTCAAGATCTCTATCCACATATCAAGCGTTGAAGGATCTATTTTGTACAATTGATTGAAGTTGCAGTAGACGATCGCATCTTCCGGCAAGCTAAAAAGACATTAGGACGATTGGCGAAAGAAAGGATACTTGTATTGTTGGCGGCTTGTTACCATGATAGCTTGAGGTACTTCTTCGCCAGTGGCAGCCTTCGTATGCGGCTAAATGCTTCGAATATTCGGAGCCGTAAAACGCTAACCGGGGCAACTCCATTCTGCACAGGAATTCCTTCAACGACCGAAAAGTTTATGCCTTGGCCGATCATTTGCTTCAGAGGCTCGGTGGTTGGAACCTTAAAAATACAATGAAAACCAGTCAATAAACATAGCCTTAAAAAATGCTATAGCGGAAAGTAACCAACCTCCACAACCGGTACTACCACCTCGGTCTTGATCAGCTCCTTATCCGGGCCGTGAACAACCTCGACCACGTGAGTTTGTTCCTAAAAATGATGTAAGAAAAAGCCGTAAAAATCACCTTCACTTCCACTTTATTGAGCAATGGTTCTAGGTTATGGGCAGTAGCATTGACCACAGTCAAATTGTCTTTTTCAAACTTGTCGCTTTTCTCTTTCACGATAAGGCGCTCCGTTAGATGTTTTAGCATTTGCGCATGGTCACCTAAACACGAGGCATAAAAAAAGAGAAAACTTCTTGTTAAAACTTTTTCGGTAATTTAGCGCTCACCGATAAAGAATGTATGTGGCATATAGGCGAATTTTTCGGTATACGAATGTGCTAATCGTACCGGTGATGTGACTTGGTCAGTGATGATATAATCCATAAAGGGCGCTCCCGAGGTTCCAGGATAACCGAGCCACATAACCTTAAAGAAATCAATATTGAATAGCTTAAAAATCCATACCTGGACCGGGGCTGGCCGTAGAGCAAAGATTTCGTTACGAGCTCCTTTCGTGTATCCGTTCATATTGACGAGGATATGGATATTATCCTCATAGATTCGATCGGCAGCTCGTCCATTACACGCCACCTCAAACAGTTTCTTCTACTGACGAACGCAAAAACCATACCCCCGATAGATCTATGAAGTGCTCGGATTCTTCAATCAACTTTTGTCGGAAATTAGTTCCATCATTTGGAGAAAGGGCGTAGCAGAAAATCTAAGAGAATTAACTCTACACACTCTAAAGTAGTACCTCAACATTGTCCCTATTATGCATTCCTGGGATCGATTGCATTAGGTGGCTGGTGGGATGGTTGCCGAAATCGCTGGACACGTAGCCAATCCGCAGACGTTGTCCAGGTTTTACTTCCTGAATTTCCCGGGTTGATTTGTGCCAATATAATCCTGATCATCTCATCTCTCATCGGATAACATACCCTCCTTTCCGGCGGATGTTGGAACTGGGCTCGACCAATCATTGCCACCTTCTCCATACACAAAAGAGCATGCTTCGCCGCAATGTCGATACGGGCCTTAAAGAAATACATATAATAAGGAAAGGCGGTAAGTTTAGCTCTTATCCTAATCGTTTACCTGATGGGACAGTGGGTATAGCATCGAATGGTGAGGATGAACCGAGGGCAAACGCTTCTTCTGGAGTTGTTCCTCAACGATCGAAACTAACCGTTTCATTCTAAAATGCATTTTAGCCCGTTTACCTTTAATAATACCAACCGGTTATCGTAGTCTGTCCAATCACAAATTATTTGTAGGCAGTGGGCAAGGTTGCAGAAAGCATCGGGGAAATCTGGCTTCAGCTTCAGGGCGGTGGTATAACATTGAATGGCCTCGGGAACATTTCCGGAGTCCTAAAATAGAATTATGAGGTGCAAGGCCGTATTCGGGTTTTACCTTGTGAATGCTGGCAAGGTTCGAATGAGCATCGGCAAAAGCAGGGTTGATTTGGATCGCTCGCGTATAGCATTGGAGTGCGTTTACCACATCCCCCATTTCCTTCAAGGTATTTCCCATATTCGAATAGGCATCGGCAAATGTTGGCGCGATCCGAATGGCTTCCTGAGGATGGTCTATATAATAATAGGCGAAATTAGACCTTATAATGCAGCAACGCTTCCTGAAGCTTGCCTTGCTGCTGCAGAATGGAAGCCAAGTTGCTGTGCGCGGCAGCGAATTCGGGGTAGATCTGGAGGAAACTTTATTTATCGCGCCGAGTAAAATCGCCTCAGAAAAAAAAAGGAAGAAAAAGGCTACCTCCAGGGCTTTCAAATAAAGCCTCGTCGCTTCTTCGATTTTGCCTTGTTCCCTTTTGATATTCGCCAAGTTATTCTGGGAATCGGCATGAGTCGGGCACAACTAAAAGAACCTGCATAGCCAAAACAAAAGCGGAACTCTACCTGAAGAGCTGTGAGATAATTCTTTTCCGCCTCGTCAACATATCCTTTTTCTTTTAACGCATTTGCCAAGTTGCAATACGCGTCTGGGAAATTTGGCTGAAGTTCGATAGCCCGTCGGTAGGTGTCGATCGCCAAGTCGATTAGCCTGAAAATATGACTCTTAAGAATGCAAATAAAAAGATTGGTAAGATGCATAAGATTCCGTTGACTTTTTCCGGGAAACCGTAGCCAAAACTTGTTGCACGAATTGTTCAAACACCAACCCTTGCTCGTAGTAGACACATGCCAAATTTCCATGTACAATTGCGTGGTTATTGGCCAGATTTAAAGCCCGAAGGTAGGCAGCAACAGCACTAAAAACGATTCAAAATGGACTCGACAATATATACCGATCAAAAATCCTCGCTTCCTTCAAAACGTTTCCAAGGTTGATATAGGCATCCAAAAAATTCGGATCCAACTGTACGGCTTTTTCAAAATGATGGATTGCCAGCCAGAGTTCCCCCTAAATCTCGAATATATCGTACAAGGCCGACGTACCTGGAAATTAAAGATGCAGCCCAAATTCGACCAAGCGACAGCAAATTGGGGCTGTGTCTCGATGGCTCGTAGGTAACAAGATTTTGCTTCCTCGAGTCGACCCATCGCTTTCAATAGATTGCCAAGATCACTACGAACGCAGTAGAGATCCTAAAGGCACGTATAGAAAAAACCCGAAGAGCAACAAACCGGATTGTGTTGCAAAGCACTACAATAAGCAGTGACAGCTTGGTCCAAGTCACCGCTTGCCACCAGAGCCGAAGCCAGATTGATGTATCTAAAAAGACGCACTTTTAATGTTTTTGTTTATGTGGAAGGAAATAGTATAGATTATGAACGCACCCATCGATGAATTCCGGCTTCAGCCGAACTGCATGGCGGTAATTGTCCAGCGCTTCTTGAAGCTGTCCTCGTTCCTGAAACCACAATAGAAATAAATAATAATTTACAACCTTAAAAACGTTTCCCAGGTTTGAATAAGCCTCCGCACAGTGCTGATTTAGCCGGATCGCCATCGAAGAATACTTCATCGACCTGAAAGAAGTTTAATAAAATTAGAGGATCTCCTACTTGTCGAGGTTCTTCATCTGAAAATGGATCGAGGAGAGAAGTAGTAGGACCGGCACATTATTCGGGTCTAAAAGGCAACTAAATTAGATAGCAATCGAATATCTGACCTTCTTGGACAATTATGTGACAATGGCGTTCGGCGCTCGTGTAATCGCCGGCTTGATATTCTCGATGAGCAAGATCAGCGAGGGCGGCTATGCCTAAAATGGATAAATTGTTGTAGCATATAGATTTTGACAATGTTTCTCTAATATAATCATATAATTTTTTAAGTGGCCGGCCAACGGTGGAATTTAAAAATACAAACACAAAGACGGCGCTTTTCTTTTTAAAAATGTCTTTCTAAAAGGGAGATCCTAGCTAATTTTAAGCACCTATTACTCACCGTTATAATCTTGTGGCGGAGCATTATTAATAGCAGCTGCCTGTGTTGGTAATGGGACCACCAACGGTGTGGCAGAGGTTGATGGCGATGCGGTGGAGAGCGTCTAAAAACAGATATAAATGCATCCAGGATTTAAAGTGAGTGCTAGGGTCAACGCGAACCAAAACCATACCTGAAGCGGATTGATAGGATTGCTGCTTGAGTAGATGACTCCAGGAACGGCGGCCGGGTTCTGTTGAAGCTGTTGAAGCTTTTGCATTGCAGTGAGCATCGTCGCCTTAAAATTGCAGGGTTTAATGGGAGAGCAAATGGGTAGTGCGGGGGCGAGTACCCCATCAGCCGCCCACGGATGAGACCCGGTGGTATATAATTTAGGGCTTGGATAGCTTGATAAATAGCTTTTTTGCAAAAAAATCAGGAATAGCTATAAAAAGCGAAAACAAAACAAACAAAAACCAAATCATACCTGTTCCAAGATGTTGTATGGCTGAGCATGGAATCCTAGAGGAGCCCCACCGGTTAGAGATGCCTGGGCCAGGATCGGCGGGCCGGAAGCCATCTGGGACGACGGGAGCGAAGAATTCCCCGACGCCGCAGACTGCATCTGAAATCCTGTACCATATAATCGGGCATCATGTAGTGCAAGTAAATCGTCGGAAAGCGAAAATAAGTAATTTGAGGGTAGCTTACGCTGGTAAACGCGCGAATGGTACATCCTCCGAAAATATCATTTAGCAACACCCAATTATTTCAGATTCAGAAACAGAATGATCGAGAGTGTGACCCCGAAAGACCAGGAAAGGGGGGAGCTTTAGCTACATGAAACCATATTTTTCAAATATACAAATCAGAGCACGATTCTTGGCTTTCTAGTCCATTTAAAAACATTCATATGGCAAACTTTTCAGTTTTATACTGAAACTCTACGTGTCGGAAACCCAAGAAAGGACCGGGATGGTTTATCCTTCGCCCGAGACGACAAATCTCCCCAAGCAATCCCTCAATAAGCCGATGGAGGGCGAGGACATTAGAGGGATGCTATTTCGGCCCAACCTCAAATATCGTCTCTCTAATGCCCCCACTTTTAATCTCTAGAAAGAAGCACGAATTTGGTCTGTCCTGAAATCGTACAATCCGGCAGTAAGAATTCATGGATTTTCACAGCGCGGATCAAAGTGGTTTTTGTTTACCAAAACAAGAAATTCGGGCCAAAGGCTATGAACTAACCAGAACAGACTGAAAACAAAATATTTTGCTTCCTAATACGCCTCGGTATTCGGTGTGAAAATGGAGCAAGCTGCCCATTGAGAGGCGACGCAAAAGGAAAACATTGGAGAATCTGCTCGCTAATAAATATGCAAGGACCGGCGAGAGCTCAACAAAAGTCGATATTTGTGAAAATCTACTGAATTCAGGCGCGAAAGGAGCCCGAAAGGCTTCGCTGGAGCCAAGGGATTAGGGGGTGATATCCTGGGGCAATTGGAGGCGGGACATCGGGCTGCTGCCCTCTTCGCTCCTCTTGGCCCTCTCGTTTCCTTCTCTTTTTCTCTTTTCCACTTCAAGAGAGAAGAGAGAAAGGACATTACGGGCTCTTTGCCAGCCACCACCTTCCACAGAGACCCCCGTACACAGGAAAGTCGCGTACGGAGCGCGTCTTCGAATACACGAGAGGATATTTTAGGGTGAAGTTCGAGGGTCAACCAATGCTCCTCCTTGAATTTCGTGGCTTCCATGCTGCCTTAGAAAAACTTACAAAATTGCAATCAGTAGAACAGCTCGTTAAATGGGCTTTTAGACGTTTTACGGTGGTATAACTAAACAAGAAAAGGCAGATCTTTTGGGAAAGACCCAAGAGAGTCGTAGAATCAGTTTTCGGATGGGTATCACATGAATGCATGCAAAGCTTGGTTCTATCAGTTGTGCAGGTGACTTGATCACTACCGATTTTTACGCAAGATCTCAAATCAGAAGAAACAATCGGTCAGCAAAGGTAACGCAAAGGGGACGATCCGCGCGATGCCCTGTGACTTGGATCCAAGGAAGTGTGCGCTCTTTTTATCAAGTTCTGAGCATTATTTCACGTCCTGATTTCGTACCTCACCCAACATATTGTTTAGAATGGAAGATGAAGAAGACGGGCTAAAAATCGTTGGCTACAGTTCTTCAATTTTCCCCCCAGATGAAGCATCACAAAGGATTGCCGATGAGAAACACCTTCGAAACTGGCTGGATACTGATATTAAAATAGATCGGTGAGTTTTAAAAAGGATTTTAGTTCATGGGTCCTCGCAAAAAATTATTGCCACGTGGATCTCGAGTTTTCAGTTATGATGTACGGTTATTCTTCAATTCTATTACTGATGTGCGGGTCGATCATAATTCAAGCTTTGAAAATTGTTCTTCGGAAGCCCTGGAAGAAGAAATGTGCGACGTTGACCGATATATGGACTTGAATAGCAAGCCAGGCAAATTATTGTTATTCCGATTATTAAGCCGTCTTTAGAAAGAGCTATTTTTGAAGAGGATGTGGCAAAACCCAAAAGGGCCGAAATCGGCTTTTCGTATGACGAACCAATGGAGAGTGCAGTTGACAAGATTGATAATCCGGATAGTGATAGTGAGGATGAAGCTTTTGAAGCGCCGGAGGGGATCAAACTTCCAATGGGACTGGTTTGTGTAAGTTTTGTAATTTCTCAGCATGCCTTGTTTAGATCTGAATTGAATTGCAACGAATTATCGTTTTCCGACCATTTCCTAAATAATCCTATCACCCGCATAATGGCTATTTTGCAGCCAGCCAACCAAAAGCAAAATCACATAATTCTTCGGACGGCTGGCTTTGTTGTCGAGAAAGGAGCACAAATGGAGATCGTCATCAAGGCGAAGCAGAGAGACAACAATGAGCACGTGCGTTTTTCCCCTAGATGATTTTATGCAAAATTTTAGTTTGGCTTTCTTCAATTCGACAACCAGCTTCACCCGTACTATAAATATATGATGAAGATGATCCGAGAGAAGAAATACAAAGTGCCGGATTTCGACCGCGAGAAGATGATGAGGAGGAAGTTGGGGAAGAACCCTCCGACGACTACAGTCCCTACTGCTTCCGAATCCTTGAAGACGTCAAATTCTACCCATTCGTTAGGTTTAGAATATGGTAACTGTCCCCATTTTACACTAACGAAAGGCACATTTTTAGACGATGATTCCGATTCTGACTATGAACTACATCCTCTTCTGTCTGTGAGCTCTGTCCCAGCAGCTCCCGTGCAACAGGCCCCACCTGTCAGTGTCCAAAAGTAACTGACGATATTTTTCCTGAAATCCCTTTTTTTACAGAAGTCGCAACGATTTGTTGAAGAATCTGAAGAGCACTGATACCCATGTAAGCGTCCTCTTTGGCAAGCATACTTTTTCAGTACACCTCTCTCTTCCGGAATCTCGTCGAATTGAAAGTAAAAAGCGCAACGGAAGAAGATGATAAAGGCCAACCGATCGCAAACGCCGGGCCGGATTTGGAGTTTCAAAAATGGTCGGTTTTAGTGGCTGCTTTTTTCAAGGACAGATGATTTAGGTGGAGTTTCTTCTATGAAGCGCCCTGCCCGATTTCAAAGCCAGCTCCAATCAAGGAGCCCCCGGCTGAACAACTGGAAGTGATCGAGCATTGCGCTGAGTATTCTGCTAAATATGGAGCAGAAGGGGAGCGGATGCTGAGAGGTAACTTTTTTTTCACCTTTGTTTCACGTTCGGTCGAGGCGATTAATAGCAAAAATATTTAGAACAGCACGTGCTTGACGGTGCGCAAGGCAAATACACATTTAATCTTGGTTTCCTCAACCTGCACTCCCCATATCATTCATACTACCAGCAAAAGGTAAAAGGATGTTTATTTGATTTAATTAATGCGTGCCGATTTAGGTAAAAGCACATCAAGAGGAGCTCGGCTATTATCCGCCTGAACCGGCGCCTCTGTTAATGACTGTCGAACCTCCACCCGGTTTTGTTCCCGAGGTAGTGATAGTTTTCACATGCGAATCAAAGAATTTCCAGTATCAATCGCTCGCTGACGCCATTCAAGTCTCTGCGCCCTCCCCTCCCCTAAATCGAAAGCAGAGAAGGCGGCTACAGGTATATTTGTTTTTTACCTCCCACTCTTGTTCCCTCTTCTGCAAAAACATCCGATTTCAGGATGCCCCGAAAGCTGACATTGTAGTTCCGGTTTCTGTCATTGATCCATGTACCTCACAGGTATTGATTGAGTTTCTAAATACTAGTCAAATTATAGACAGTTGATCCGGGTCAGTCGCAGGTCTCCTTTCATATCGCTGCGAATTCTAGTAAATTGTAAGTTGTTTCGCATAGCCCTTCATTTTGATAAATTCAGAACAGCGCCTCAGCCAACCGTGACGGCACTCGATGAGGATGTAACGGACGCGTACAAGGTATAGATATCACCTGACCTGAAAATAATGGTTGAAAGATAAAATAATTCATGGAAAATATGCTTACAGGCGCCCATTCCGAAGCCGCCTACACCTCCGACGATCCAAACTGATCTTCAACTAGAAAGAAAAGAAAAGGTATGATGCGAAGTATAAGATTACTTTTTAAATCTAGGCGAGGCAGTTCATGGAGCGGATACTTCGTGATAAGCAACAACGAGCACGCGAGGCGGCCCAGGAGAAAGAAAGCGAGACTGTCAAAGTCGAAAATGGGAAATGCGTGTTACCTTCAGTGTGCAAGGAAGAGGTCGGTCAGCTAGAAAAAGTCCGCTGAGTTGTTATCCCGTGTAACAACGGTTGTTATTTTCGACATTTTTTCAGCGCGAGCGTAAAGAATCTCGGCGGCACTCGAGGGACCGTAGTAGGAGTCGCGATCGGCGCCATAGAGACCGAAGTCGAAATCGAAGTAGGATGCGCAGTAGAGAACGAAGTCGTGATCGGAAGGACAGACGGTACTTTGATCAGTATTTCGAAATCCTGCTAAAAGGGCTTTTCCTTCATTGAACCGGCCTTGGCCATTTGAATCAATTTTTGGACAAAATTCCTTTTTACAGGCGCAGGTCTGGTTCACGATCGAAAGCAAAGAAACGTCGATCGCGCAGTCGATCAAGCTCGGAATCAGGCAAAGAAAAGTAAGTGATCGGGATCCGTTGCTTCATTTTTAGACCATCCAAATACGGGCGAAGCCACAAATCGTCAAAGCGGCGGCGGGAATAAAACAAATTAAAAAGCTGTGATATTGTTGATAAATGTTTGTTATTACGATTCAATTGCACGCGCAACAAAAGTTGAAATTTTTTCTAAGCCATTGCCAAGAACCTTCCAAGAACCCAACGGATAGTTTATTTCGGCCACGGTCATCACCACATGACTGAGCAAGAAAGTGGCTTTGTAAACACATCGGCTTCTTCTAGGCATTTCCTTTCTGCGGGTAAGATTATATAAACGGGCGGCTAAAGAAACGAGTCATTACTCTCAGACGATGATGCAGCCGATATTATTATCGTTCTTAGTTCCGCTGGTATTTTGTGTTTCTAAGCAACATCGAGCTATTCTGAAAGATGCAAAAGACTTCAAGGTTAGTTTGACGGTGGATCACTCGTCGAACCTCCTTATTTAATTGTATTCCGTATAATATTCTATTATTGTTACCATAAATCCCATGAAACCGTTCCAGGACCTAAGCCGGCGGCTAAACATAATGGCGCCCCACAAAGAAAAAGCTGGACATCATGTAAAAGTTGAACACACGGAGGGTAACAAATATTCAGAAAACCGCAGAAGAAGTTTCAGATATAAAAGCAGCCGCGGCAATGTCTTTGAAACATCAAAACCGGAAGGTCCAGACGGCGTCTGCCGAGTTTTTGGAGGCTCTTCCTGAACGCGGTTCGTGGGCCAACATTTATCATCTACTATCTACTAGACCACAACGTCAACCTACATTTCTTGGAGAACTTGAAACAAGGCAACGACACTTGTGAGGCAAGTAGAAGCCAACGAAACTCTATTTCAGAATTTTAGATACAAACCATCTGTGTGCCAGTCCCCTTTATTCCGCAAGACAACAGTATGGTGATCTGGCCGACCTGTATCGAGGTAATACTGAAGTTTTCATGGCTTCACTTTAGATGTTGAAACGGTTTTCAGATACCGCGTTGTATTGGGTCGTGCTGCGATAGCACCGACAACTGCAAGTCTTCATATACAATCCTCCAAAACTTTACGGTGCACACAAAATGTCGGCCGAGTAACTTAAGGTTTAGGTTGCCGTCATGAAATACATGGGTGGCGATGACTTTGCCTATCATGGTGTGGAGGTGGTGGCGATGGAAAAGCATCTAGCTTGCAATTGTCACAATTGTGAAGTGAATTTTGAAGCAAATTAGAGGCCAGCATTTTTTTCGCTAGGGTTTTCTTGATGGCCAAATGCGATTCTAGAATCAACAATGCGGTCATGAAAATAAAATCGTCGACGGCAGCTGTGAATGCGTCTGTGATCCAGCAAAACGAGAAAAATGTCAAGGTTGATTGATAACCCGGTCAATCATATTCCTAGTTACCTTCAGGTGCCTGGGATGACGAAGAATGCCTGTGTAAATGCAACAATGAATTATTGTGTGCCGGGTATGTTCGCCAATAGGAATACTTTATTAAGATCAGTGGATCCTTTGACCGAGCCCATTGCATCTGCCACGCAACACTGAATCAAGTCCGGTCACGGCACAGTGGACGAATGGGGAAAGCGGTAAAGAAATCAAAATATGAAGTTAGAACAAAAGGATTTGACAGATGAACAGAAGAGATAGTAGTTGGGACAGCATCGTCGAAGTTCCCGCTATTAATTAATTACTGCCTCGAATCAGGGTATTCGATTGAGCAAATAAAAAATGTTCTACAGAAGCTCATGTATATTCGCAGAGATTTGCTAGACGCAACATGGCTACCCGGTACTCGGAATAAATATTCTAGGCTACCCATTTGGCATAATAAATGGCCCCGCAGGCGCTATGCACAGCAGAGCGATGGAATGGCTACAACGAAAGAAAAATCACTCAGATATCAAATACAAAAATACACAGAAAAATGAACTGACTTAGTGTATGGACTATTCCTTCGGCTGTTTGGGGTGCAACGGGTAGCTGACGATGGTGTTGCTGAAAAAAAAGTTGAGTGAAATCGAAAATAGATTTCAAGTTTAGTAATACGCTGTCTTTGAGGGTTCTCGGCGTGGACTGGAGATTTTTAGAATGCAAAAACCGGGGTTCATGCGACGTTTCGTGCACGCAAGTTAACATAGGTGGTGCCTCAACTCACTTGCAATACGAGGGTTTTTGGTACTGCCTAATAATAAAACAGGTCGTTAGGTTCGAAATTCACCGGTGGTGGAGGGACCAGTTAAAAAAAATCACCTTCGACCTTCCGGAACAAAAGGCCCTGGGCCAAAGCTTCCGTCTTCGCGGAAGACGAATTCAGGCAATGAATGGTACGATGACGATCTGGAGAACCGTCCACTGGGCCTGAAATCCAATAAATTAATAGTTTTTCAATGATCCTGACCGATTGATCTCCTCCGGCAAATCGTCATGTAAATCACCATGTAGCTCGGCTTCTTTCAAATCCTCCAATACCTTTCGTACCTCCTCTTCCTAAACCGAGGTTTGCTAAGAAAGTAGGAAGTCCAAACCTTCTTCCGGATTAATTCCGGATGACTGGATTCCTGGACGGATTCGAGAAGTTTGTTCAGATACCGCTGCTTCACCTGAAAAACACAAATGTCCTTCTGCATCGACTATAAATAATATACCTTGTATTGTCTCATCACACGAAGTCGTTGTTGTAATGTGAACATCCTCATCCTGTTCATTTGGCGTTCGTAACTCTCCATGAGCATCTCTGCACGTCGACTGCCGTACTCGCGAATGCGGTGCATTTGTTGCCCATAGTTTTCTCTGTAAAGGCAAAAATGCTTCGAAGACTTTAAGATTGTCATACCGCATATTATCCCAGTGAGCGGTCACATTTTCCATCTTGGCATCGCGGAAATCTCGGAATTTCAGTGTTTGATTGGTGTATGATTGCCGAAGTTGTTCCACCTGGAAAAAAACATCGACGGCCCAAAAAAGCCTACCTGAGCATGGTAGTTTTCTCGGACATTTTCCACCTTCCGACTGTATGCCTCGTGTAAAGCCTCCATTTGCCTTGTTCTGAAAGGCGAAACTTCCGCTACATCCTGCGAAACAACAAACCTGTATTTTTCCATGGCTTCGACCATTTTTCTGACACGCGACAAGCGTTCCGCTCGTTTAATCCACCTAAAGACTTATTGCCCGCTAACGAAAATCGGCTCTGTACCGATATAAGGGATTTCTGCCGATATAAGGGATCACCGCCGATATAAGGGATCGCTGCCGATATAAGGGATCACTGCCGATAAAAGGGATCACCGCCGATATAAGGGATCGGGAAAAACCCGAAAATGGCGGGTACCGATATAAGAGATCACGAAACCGGATTTCGGCCAAAATGTCGATATAAGGGATCAGAAGAAGAATTTTGCGCAATATATTATTACATTGATGTAAAGAGCTATTTATTTAGGTCGATTTCGAAAGAAATTACAGAGAAGTTGATAAAAACTAATGTTTTACGGAAGTATTATTCGATTTTCAGTATACTGGGGCAGTTTGTAAAGCTCGAGCCCAGGGAACCCAGGGAGCCGGGAGCCCTAAGAGCTCGGGGCGCTTCCGGAGGTATATTAAAGTATCATTAACATCAGTTTTGGACTGTTATACTAGTATTAGTGCATTACTACAAGATTTAATAGCTTTACTAAATGCCGTAGACTGGTGGGGGCCGGAAGGAAGCTGATTGGAACGCCGAAGAATTGATGGCAGTGGTCGTACTAAAGCAGATAGAGGTAAGGGATCGAAATAGCTGCAGCACCGAGTTAGTCCATTGGTTTAAATACCAGTCCAATAAGTCCTGGCAGAGGTTAACGCGGGAGTCGCAGAAAACTAAATAAGGTGGATGAGGGAAAAGGAAAGGCGGAGGCACCACGATCACGAACTGGCAAAGGCATCGGATTGAACAATGCTCCCGTAAAACATTAGTTTTTATCAACTTCTCTGTAATTTCTTTCGAAATCGACCTAAATAAATAGCTCTTTACATCAATGTAATAATATATCGCGCAAAATTCTTCTTCTGATCCCTTATATCGACATTTTGGCCGAAATCCGGTTTCGTGATCCCTTATATCGGTACCCGCCATTTTCGGGTTTTTTCCGATCCCTTATATCGGCGGTGATCCCTTTTATCGGCAGTGATCCCTTTTATCGGCAGTGATCCCTTATATCGACGGTCCGAGGCCCTGATCCCTTATATCGGCGGTGATCCCTTATATCGGCAGAAATCCCTTATATCGGTACAGAGCCCGAAAATCACCATAGAATCGATTCCCGGGATGCGATCCACAGCACATTGAAGATCAAGCTAATCAGTACAGCAGCCAAAGAAGCCAATAGGGAGCCCCAGATAACCGAAGTAAAGAGGCCAGTGTACCAACTCGAATAGTTCAATCGCAGACTAAAAGAAGAAATTATCTGCTCAATCCTAGCCTTACCTAGAAATGTGATAGGTGACGGGTTTCTTCGGATTTTTGAGAACGCAGACGTATCTCTCAATCAGTGCGCGTTCCGCTTTAGGGAAAAGTAGGCCGTAGGGTAGAATCTAAAAAAACAATGGGCTTTACAAAAAAAATCGGTCAGTATGCCAGTAACCAGCAAGCAACTAGTAACAAACCTTAAACAAGCCCTCCAATTTCGTTGCATTCTTAATAGGTGGGTACGTCGTTTTTCCAGTTGCCGGGTCGAAGCTTCCGAGTAGTGTTCGTGGTCGATAAAGATACCATTCGTGGACAACATCCGGGGAGGCATGACATCCGCAGTGAAGCAGCACGTGATCACCATACCTAGAATACGTAAATAGATTCGTGACCATCACTTCTAGCTTTGAGAAACTACGGCTTTTAAGGGCCAAAGAAATCGTCAATGAATCCAGAATCAAGTTCTCACGTGATACTGTAGTTTGTTCGTGTGGCACTGCATCCATAATCGCAATTGTGATCCGGCTTCGTAACCTTTGAACAGAATGGAGCCAGGCCTAAAGCTTTCCGTTGGATTGAAAAGCTTAAAACCTTTGATATTTTTCAGCTGACTGGTCCATCTGTAGCTGCAAGCGTCGCAATTCCAGTTATTTGAGCTCAACTCGAAGTTTACCAGTTGATTGCTGCAAATTACGATGAACGTCGGAATAATGAAACAAACTTCTTAAAAAAGTTCCGGGGCATTTGTGTGAGCTTCGAGTCGGCGATAGATAGGTCTTTGAGCCCTTTTGGCAGTGAACCGTAGACCTGAAATACATAACAATCCTAGTAAGGTCAATTACCAGTTCTAACTTTGGAGATTCGCCGAATAGAAGCGATCGAAGTTTTGGAGTTATGAAACTGAAAAACACACACCGTATTTTCCACGGAAAAGTATTTGCTTACTTAGTTAAATCCACATAAATCAGTTGGTTGTCCTGCATTACGAATTGTTCCAACTTTGGAGCATTCAGAGTCGGAAGACTTTCCATTCCGATGGAAGATAGGTCAATTGTAGTCAGGTTCTGAAAAATCTTTTATCAATTGAAATGTGATACCGTTAGGGTCGCTGGTCCCAACTTCATCAATGGATTGAACGCCAGGTTGACTTTGACAATCTGTTCAGGTATGACAACTTCCGTTATCAAATTCTCCGAAAGATCAAGCTCTTGCAGGCTTGCCGGGAAACTGCGAAGAGCCGTCAGCTAAAAATCACTTGGTAGTAACTCGACATTTGATTGCTAAAAACTGATCAAACTGATGGCATATCCACAACCAAATTTTCGAAAAATTAACCTGATTTTGGCTCAGCCGTAGAATGCGGATCGTATTATTGGCAATACATTCGGGGATGACAGTGAGTTGTAATTTAGTTAGCTCGAGAACGTCCAATTCGGGCGTCACGCGCAATATATTGCACAGGAGAGTCGGTTCATCCAAAGGCGAGTCGTAGAAGGTCAAATTCTAAAACAGTTTCACCGAAAGTAATCAAACAACCTTCAAGCTTGGCCACGTTTCCGCCCCGCTGATCACATCGGTAAATTTGGATCGAAGAAAAACGAGCTCTTCCAACTTCGTCATGCGTATGAAGTAAGGAAAATACAGTCGGTCTTCGTTCCATTGTTGAATAGTAATTCTCTTGAGATCCGGGTAGTGAGTGACTATTTCAACTGAAGAATGTTCTTATTAAATAAATGCAACGGTACTCACGTATGTGAAAATGGCTAATTCTATCGCAAGCAAGGGAAGTGGGGTCTGTGTTGTTTTCACAGTAGCAGCCGAGGATCTGAAAACAAAACATACGGCTGCATCAGAAAAAAAAATCGGTTTCAAAGAAACAATTCTTACCTGCGGACATGGAGAATTCTCAAAATCTATGATGCTTTCAGACGCAGAAACATTCGAAGGAGGTGAGGAAGGGACATCAGATGACGGTATACTAAAAAAATCTTGAAGAAAAACTCATAAACAACTTACCTTTCTATTAGACCAAAAGCGAAGGCAGCCAGTACAATGCATTGCAGGTCTTTGAATCGTATTCTGTTTGGATAGCTAGTCCAGGCCATACACAAGCTGAAAAAAGGCAATGGGTATGGCACAAAATCAAGAAACAATGGAAAAATATTCCGATATACAACTAAACAGGCAATGGAAGGTGTATAAATCGTAATTTGAGATGTAAGTAGGTGCGCTTTGGAATATAAAACTATTTTCACTGCAAATCGAACATAAAAACTGAGTTGGAAAGGATTTCACTGCCAGAGATTGCATTGTTGTGTAGACATTCATTCGGTCTGCCATGAATTGAGTGACGGCTCGCTCCTATCGACGCCGCATGCCCCTTGGCACTTTCCAATTAACATGAAGGGTCCCCCAAATAGATGTTTCCAGATTCCCGGCAAATCAAAGCTCATTCGTTCAAACAAAAAAATATAGCAACTTCGGGGAAAGTTGAAAGATTTTAGGAATTGTTTCTCTGGAAAATATCTTGTTATTCTCACCTGGCTGTGAAGCCCATTTCCATTTCCTTTCAAAGTATTAGGAATAGACTTTACCCATGCAAAAAGGAATGGGATTTCATAGTTTACCAAGGACAGAAGGTATTCCGGAGAAGGCGATACGGTCATGCATTTGCATAAATGCAAATCACGTCTAGAAGTAACCTAGGCCCTGGGGCGGAAAAGATAAAGGGCTTTGATGTGTGTATAGGAAGAGAAAGAGAGAGGGAAAGAGAGAGAGAGAACGAGACAGAGAGAACAAGAGAAAGAACGAGAGAGAGGCAGAGTGCAGAGAAAACAGTGCCATCAAACAGCTGGTCTCAATCGTGGCTGCCCAGTCAGCTGGATGAGCCATCGTCCACATTGGGCGCTTTTATCGCCCGATCTTTGAGAATGTCCGGCTTTGGAGCTTGTCCGGATGGTCTCTAAAATGGATAAAAACTTATAGTACGTGCTTATAATTAGCAGCTAAATAAGATTTATGTTCCCGTGTGTAATGCATGCTATATTTTCGATTGTTTTCTCTTTATAAGGGTTACGGTAGCTTTTTGACCTACGAGGGTTGGAAAGAATGCGATCCAGCTTTCCCAAAATCGGATAAAATACATTTAACTGGATTCGGAAACACCGAAAAGCGCCCAGCAATTTGGTTTTCGCTTTTTTCAGAAGGGTCTGCAAAAATCATGGACATTTTTCGATAAACGCTCCGCCCAGCGTGATTTGCATAATTTTATAAAACTGCCTGAAATATACTATATCTGCACCCTTTATTTAATAGGATTTAAGGCAACGGATAAAATAATTTTATGAGATCGCCCAGATTTAGCCTGATAAAATAATCGGTCTATTTTTTAATCGGCTTCAGCTTTATAACTTTAATCCCTCGTAAATCAGGTTCCCAGCTGAAATTCTACCACAATTAGGGCCCGGTGTCGCCTAACAAACCGGGGTCTCCTGTGGGTGTAAATTTGCGTGCGTTGAGGAATTCTGGGCTTTGGGAGGCTATTTCGCAACAGAATGCGGGTCCCCCCGGCGGTCGTCGGGCCCCCCGAGTCTCCGATTTCGCAAGCTGAGCAAAGAATCGAACTTCCGACGAGCTTCCAGCTTCAACATCCACCACTGCCCTTCCTATCCCAGGCCTCGGCTAACCATTTTTCTCTTCTCTGATGGGGGAGCACCACTGAACATCGTTTGCGTCTTCTCTCTACCAGCTTGCCATCATTTTCTACGCTGTTCTTTTTCCTTTGGGACGTAAATGTTATTTCTGAAGCTTTGGGGCCAAAGTAAAACATCAGAGACCGTTGGATTGGATTTTTTGTAGTTTGTAAAATTTTGTGTGAGGTTTGGGTCGGGTTGAAAAGTGTGATCAGAGTTAGGCTACCGTAGTCTGAAACGGAATGCGGCGGAGGAAAACCATTGTTGTTGGTTTTTTTAAGTGTTTTTAAATGTGGAGTGGCGTTAGAGAGTGTTATTCCAGGAGCTGGGCATGGACTGAATTTTGTGGCATTGGGTTGTTTTTTGGAGGGAAACACTACTAAAATAGAGTTTAAGAGTTCGTGTACTCCAGGTTACTGTACTTTTATGTTCTATTTTCTTTGCATTTACTTTTTTGAAGGGATCAGGAAGGCATGGATAATTAAGCATAATCCCGGTTTTAACTGCAAAATTAGCATACATAGTTATTCTCTGCTCCCTCTGGCATGGGCCCACACTGTACCCCGCATTTTGCGTTAGCATTTCCGGTTGGCAACTTGCATTGTACATGTGCCCTGATCTACGTGGGCCTTCCTTATCCCTTTAAAGTATCTAGTTAGGACATCTAAGCTACTTGAAATATCCGAATTTATTGTACGCAATATGCCGAGTATGCCTGCTACTTACTATTTTTTAATTATTGGTTTGCTTACCGAATTTTTTGTGTAGTATTTCAACGTATAATTTTAGCAGGAAATTTCCAGGCGTTTGAAATTTCAGGGTTTATTGTACGCAACATTTCGGTAGGCATCCATCCGGAACCAATTACCCTGTGGGGGTTGAATGCGTCGGTGATCGTTTTTGTACCCCCGGCTAGGCCCGCATAAATTATCGGACTGGTTTGAAGGGATGGGGAGGAGGAAGGCGGGGAAGAGAGGTCGAGTAGACCAGCTGTATGTATGTAGAGCTAAAGGGCAGAGGCGCGTCGCGTGCCGCGTGTCGCGTCACGTCAGTTGTGCACATAGGAAAGAGAGGACGGGGGCTGACGAGAGACACGATCGAACAACCACCGCCCCTTACCCCTCTCTCTCTCTTCTCTATAGGGTAGATACACCAATGCATACCCACTCAATACACCATTTCCAAAACCATTTGTTGGAGATGGACTATTAATTAAGCTAGACTAAACTATGCCTTGAAAACGGTCGCTTCCCTTGACCACTATCAGCCATTCTGGCGCTAAATCAACATTTGCTTAGTCAGGCGATGAGTCATCCCTTTGAAGCTGACCGCTCAATAATTTTGTCCGAAACGTGCGGAAATATAGATTTTTGCTGATGAGGTGATTACCCAGAATTCTCCGCGTTTCAAATTGTAATTTAACCTCAAATACTGGAATCCAAGATGTCGAAATAATTTTGATGACTTTGGGGTCGAGGCCGAGATGCGGCAATTCGGCCTAATTCTATCGAAAATTACTAATGCCAGATTTAATGCCAACTATTGCGGTAAAAATTCAACGCAGTTGCTACTGCAAAACAGATAGATAATAATTAAATATGGATTTTGGGCTTATATAGATTTTTGTCAAGGTATCTTCATATCTTATCATATTGATTTTCTTATTATACTTTTTGCGTCCTGCTCTTTAATTTATTGCAATTCATAATTAGGGCTCTCCAATCCGTCGACCTCATCCGGGTTCGTCGGCTTGTAAACCTTCAAAGATGGCTGCGCCGGCAGAATGCGGCGTCCAGGTTTGTATCACTTAATTTGACAATCATAATACTTATACAACTACTTGAAAAATAAAAGAAATAACGATACAAATTTAAGGTGTTCTGCCGTATTCGGCCTATGAACAGAAAGGAGGAGGATTCCAAAGAAAAATTTTTGCCGAAATTCACCCCCGGAACTGAGGACCAGGTTTCCGTTGCCGTAAGTTTTTCCACGATTATATTAACAACAAACAATGGCTGATTATACACAGTGACCAAGGAAACAAACATAAGAGTGTTTTTAGGGGAAAGTCTACCTTTTCGACAAGGTTTTCAAGCCGAATTCAACTCAGGAGCAGGTTTACAAGGGCGCTGCTTCTCATATCGTCCAGGATGTGCTTGAAGGGTTTGTGGCACGAAAATCATACCGTTACTATCGACGATTTTCAGCTATAACGGAACGGTATTTGCGTACGGTCAGACTTCATCCGGAAAGACACATACAATGGAGGTGGGTGCGACATGTCTTTAGAAAAATCTTATTTCCCTGTTTATATTTGAGTTTTAATTATAGTTTTTAGTTACTATAGCATAATATACGTTTAGGGAGTCTTCGCTGACCACGAACTCCGTGGTATCATCCCTCGTATCGTCGACGATATCTTCACCCACATTTATGGGATGGACGTGAAGCTCGAGTTCCAGATCAAGGTCTCCTATTTTGAAATCTACAATGAGAAGATCCGTGATTTACTGGATGGTAGGCTTGCTGTACACAACCTATAACAACCGCCGGTTCAGTCACAAAAGTAAACCTGGCGATCCACGAAGACAAGAACCGTGTACCGTACGTGAAGGGAGCTACGGAGCAAGCCGTCAGTACGCCTGAGGAAATTATGGGCTGTATTGAGCAGGGAAAATCCAATAGAATGGTTGCCGTGACAAGTAAGTGTTGAGACTGCATTAAAAAATGCCAAATTAAACATAAAACTATAACGTATTAACTTTCAGACATGAACGAGCATTCCTCCCGTTCTCATTCCGTTTTTCTGATTCACATCCAACAGCGAGACACCGAAACGAACAAACAACTATCCGGAAAACTCTACCTCGTCGATTTGGCTGGTTCCGAAAAGGTAGGTCTGAAATAAGGAGCACCACATCATTGTTTTAGGTCTCAAAGACCGGCGCCGAGGGTAGTGTCTTGGAAGAAGCAAAGAACATCAACAAATCGTTGACAACCCTAGGAATGGTCATCGCCGCCCTGGCGGAGGGAAACAAAAGCCACATTCCCTATCGTGACTCGAAACTGACTAGGATTTTGCAAGAATCGCTGGGAGGTAGTGTTATTGTCCTGGAAAATCGAAATATTAGGCACAAAGACGGGTAGAAACGTCTATAAAACCACATTTTAGGTAACTCCCGAACCACCGTGGTTATTTGCGCTAGTCCGGCAGAATACAACGAAGCCGAAACAAAAAGTACCCTGCAATTCGGAGCAAGGTAAGACAAATCGTAATTCAAAACTGTTTCTATAGAGCAAAGACGATCAAGAACGTTGTGGCGGTTAATGAAGAGTTGTCAGCCGATGAATGGAGAAGAAGATACGAGAAAGAGAGGGACCGCGTAAGTTTTAAGTTATTCCGTTTTTTGTGCACTTTCTGCGCGGTCGAAAACCAAAAGTTATTGTAATTGCAAATATTGTTGGTTTCCAGGTTGCCCGCCTCAAGGCTCAACTTGCTGCTGCCCAGCTTGAACTTGATCGGTGGAGAAGTGGTGGCCGTGTGCCCGAATCGGAATGGGTCCGCTTCGACGAAGCTACGCTGAATGCACTGGCTGGATCTGCAATGACAATGAGTGGGTTTTTGGGTTTGAATAATATTTCTACACAAGGCATAGATGATTTAAAATTTTGTGTTAAGGCAGCGCCCCATCAGATCAATCTATCATGGAGCGATCCGTCCTTGCACCACCGCTACTCACTTCTGCCACTGGTCCCATTACGGACGAGGATAAAAAGAGGTCAGCTCAATTCAGCTCAATTAAAATGTTTGAAACGACTGATTTCTACGTTAAACCTAAAATTGATTAAATTTCCAGATACGAGGAAGAGCGTGCCAAGCTCTATCAACAACTCGATGAGAAGGACGACGAGATCCAGAACTTGGCTTCGAATATGGAGCAGACCAAGCAACAGGTTTACCCTCCTGGCATCAGCCATTATACTGCTATTTTAAGATCGTTGACCTCGAAGAACAAGTCACCCTCCTTCGAGAAGAGCGCGAAACAAGCGCCATGGAGAACCAGGCCATGATGCAAGCCAATGAAAGCGCAAAGGAGGAGACCAAGGAGGTAGATCCTTTGAAGATATATTGGAATTTTGACAATTTTGTTTAGGTCCTGCAAGCCCTAGAAGAGCTGGCCGTCAACTTTGACACGAAGGCCCAAGAAGCGGAGGCAAAGTCGCGCGAGAATGAACAGCTCAATGACGACTTGCAAAAGAAGGCTAACGAGCTGCACGAGGTTTGTGTTTCAATCACACAAAGCCTAACTGTTATAAATCCTAGGCTTCCGCTGAACTTGACTTGCTACGCGAAACCATCGGTGCCCAGAAGCGAAAAATGGGCGATTATGTCAACAATATGTTGAAGGAACTGCAGGAAGTCGATGGAGCTATCAAGGTATGTTTTTGAATTAAATTATTAAGCGTGAAATTCGGTTCAATAAAAAATGTGTAGGTTGCCCCCGGCGATGAAGACGAAATGCTGGCCCATATGCGAATCCAAATCACCAAACTGGCCACTGATTTCCGGACTGCCAAGCAGAAATACGCCAATTTGGAGAGCGGATCAGAGGGTGTGGACCAGAAACTGAAGGTAGAAAAATCCCACAGAATGCTCGAAGCCGAATCATTTCAGTCTCTGGAGAGCGAGCTCGACGAGGTTAAGCGTAATGCCGCGCAATCCGAGGCGAAAAGCCGCTCGCAACAAGAGACCGTCGAAAAGCTGGAAAAGGAGAAGCAAGAATTGGAGAAACAGGTTAGTTGGATGCGAATACCTCTAAAAATGTTGCTTTAATTAATTAAATATTTATTTACTATTCACATTCTAGATCGATTCATTGACTGTCCGTTTGTCTGGAGCATCAGCTGATGGGCCAGTCTCTGAAGAACAGACGAAACTTGTATCCCAACTTCGCAGTGAAATCACCGAGAAGAACAAGAAGGTCGATGCCCTCAGCGTCTCGATCAAAGAACTCGAAGCCGTCCAAGTCCAACTTAATGGAGAGCTTGAAAAACTTAAATCAGAGGAAGCGGACAAGGAAAAGAAGATTCGCGAATTGTCTGCAATCTCTGACAAGCGCGAGCAGGCCAGTCAAGATATGCGAGGCCTCCAAGAAACTGTTGAGAAGGAGTTGACTGCTCTCCACAATCTCAGGAAGCACTTTGTTGCTGATATCGCTGCTAGAATCAAGCGATCGGCTGGACCCGATTCGGTTGACGATGAGCTTGGCGGATCGCCGGCTCAGAAGCAGAAGATCCAGTTTTTGGAGAGCAACTTGGACAAGCTTACCAAGGTGCACAAGCAGCTCGTGAAAGATAATGCTGATCTTCGCCTTGAATTGCCGAAGTTGGAGAAGAAATTGAGGACAACGACGGAGAGGGTGAAGAGCTTGGAACAGGTATGTTTTTAACTTGCAGTTTCGAATTAATTTGAATTTTTTCAGGCTCTAAGAGAAGCCAAGGAAAATGCGATGCGCGATCGTAAGAAGTATCAGACGGAAGTTGAGCGTATCAAGGAAGCCGTCAGACAGAGGAATCTGCTCAGGAGGGGAATGCAGCCACAAATCGGTAAGTGTTATTTTGTTAATAGGGTGGTAGGTTTTCTGTTGCGATAACACACTTTAGATAAAAATAGAAATCGAATCTCACCCAATTTTCAGTGAAAACGATCCGCCCCGGCCAGGTCTACAATCAACCGGGCACTCCTGGAGCCCCGATTATCCGCCCACAGGGCCAGTAAATTATTCAAATAGCTTTTTATTCCCCTCCCCCACCTTTCCTTTTCCCCCCACCCGATCCGCCACGAGTACCTATTTAATGCGAAAATTTCCTTTGCGAAAACGCCCCGCGTACGATTCCAGTCACAATCCCATCAAGTCAGTTACAAAAGATGCCCAACTGTGTTCCAGTTCCTTTCTCCCCCTTTCCGCTTTTCAAAATGGGTTCCACCCGGCTTTCCGAGACAAGATTCAATTATTCACCGTCCAAAGGTTTAGCTGAAATTTTTTTTGTGTTGGAAATTAAAATCCTAGGGGTTATGTTGAGTCGGATCAAAAGCTCTCCCCTTTCGTCATTTCCGCCTTTCCGTTTGAAACAATAATGCAGCTTGATGTCATTTTCCACGCTATACCTGGGTTCTACATTTCTGCTTTTTCTTCTTGACATTGGTTGTGGTCGACTATCCGCAAATTTGCGATCTTCTCAATTTGATGCGCCTTGATATTATAGGGAAGCTTATGTGTGCCCGTCCAAGCAAATTGTGATTGCCCCCCTCAATTCTCGCATTCGTTGTATTTTCCTGATTTGCTTATTTATTTCCAATTTTTGCATTAATATTGAATATTGTGGAAGGTTTGGGATTGCTGGAGGTGTTCAAGATGATATTATTTTTTGATGGTATTTATTCAAAAACAACTAGGAAAAGCAATCAAATCACGCAAAAATTGCAAGAAAACTGGCTTTTGACCTAACTTCCCGCTCTTCAAGTGCATATTCCCAAATACGATAAGACGAGCTTCTGCTGTGTGTGTTTTCTCTTTTTTCCCCGTCGCCCACCAATCTCTCGTCCCATTGGGTTCCCTATGGCCTCAAATTAACGTCCGATATTTTCTTTTTTCTTTCTCTATCACCGCGAATGCATATTCCTTTCGTAATCCCCGCCCATCTGAAGTGCCCCCCCCCCACCCCCGCGTACCTTTTAGCCTTTATCGAAAACCCCCACCCCCAGCCCAGCATAGATATGGATTTTGAATTTCACACGTCTCCCCAACTTGGATTCATTTGGATAAAGAGATTTGCTTGCATAAGAATTTTTGAGAAATCGCCACAACTTTGCATTATTTCTAAGTTTAGAGTACCCAGCGATCGGGTATTGCCCTCCAGAGTCTCAAAATTTGAATTTGGACGCTCGAATTTCAATGTGTCTTAATTTTTGAACACGTTCCTCTCCAAGAAAATCTCCATTTCTACGTCACAATGACCACTGAACAACATGTACGCAATAATTCCACGCTCGTCCATCAGCAGCAGCTACACGCGAGATGCAAATTGTACCCCTTCACTGGCAGGAAAGGCTGGTAACAACGTTCCAAGTGTACCCTCACTCTACCCCCACCACCTTTTAAACGCAAACACTTTAAGCGCGTAGGTAGCCATGTGGCAGCAAGAAGGTGTGACTTCACCACTTCACCCGCTCCACCTCATCCTCCCAAAACCGTTTGAATTATTCCCGAACAGCTGCTCTTCCAAGACCAACAACTCCTCATTATCTTCACTGAAAAGCAGGAGGCTGACGGCTCGGCTTTGGCGGCTTTGATGCTTAGCGTAATTGTGTTTTAAACGGGCATTTGGAGTTGTGTCCAAAAAGCGGCGCGTAGCCCGGGCTCATTTAAATTTATTTTGCACTAATTGATGGTGACTTGTGAGTTGGGGATTTTTGTGGCATTTAGAGGAGTTTTATTATCGTTCAAAGGTTAAAAGCATTCTCTTACAAGGTTTTTATCTTAGAATTAGTACTACGAACTTTCAAATACTACAAACCAAACCTTGCCGTCACTTGCCGCTACGTTTATCATATTTTTACAGGCGTAAGTAACCCTTTCGTTTAGCGTTTCTCCATTTTCTTGGGTTTTGCGAGTGCAAAAAGCCTTACACGTTGTAATGCTCTCTCCTCTTTAATCATGGCATGCTCCGAAACACACTTTTTCACATTTCCCTCCTGACGGCGCGGAAGACGGCTAATGACGCTCGTCGCATTTTCAAAAGCATTGTGATCAGATATGCTTTGAAATTGTAAATCTCATAGTTTTTACCGTATCTTTCCATCTGTCCCATGCGTGCCTTAATGACCACATATCAGACATGATGCGATATCGCAAGTCTAGCTTGCGTAGTTCCAAATAACGATTTTTGACATTCCACCCAAACTCCATCGATGACGACATAGTCCATAGCTTCCGGAAACTTGAACCAACTCGAAAAACCCGGGAGAGGACGCAACTAATCTAGCTGCGCCTGAACCGACCCCTATTAAAACCCGGCATTTACGATTATCGTTGCCTGGGGCCAAATCTGGGAATTTTGTGGATGGGAAAGCTTTGGAAAGAGAGGTTGGGTGTTGATTGGATTGTAGGGTAGGGGGTAGAGATGGGCTGAACCGGGGGCGGTCCCCTAGCCCATCTCCGAGGTTTTGGGGTGGGCCCTAGGGGGCCTTCGGGACCCATTACTTCTGCCCCCCACCGGACCCTCATCCACCCCGACATCATCAGGTGAGAACATATTTTGAGGCGATTTTAAGGGGTTGATGTACGGAATGGGTTGTAATGACGAGGGGGGTTGGATGTAAATGTGATCAATGTTCTGGATATTTCATCTATATCCTTCGATACCGTAGCTACAGTAAGAAATGGATTTTTAGTTCATAAGGCGTAGGCTACATCATTGGTACGTATACACCCCTGAACGACGGCGTTGCGCTCTCCGACCGCGTTATCACGGTGTAATTGGGTGTATATGTGGTTAGGCGCGCTTAAGGATGTAAATATAAAAATACTAAGGTACGAAAAACATCTTGTTCTCCGTCCAACCCCGCTACAAAACGGCTCCCTAAATTTTCCATGAACTTCTTTGCACCTGACCCACGCCAGAAATTAGGAACAAACTTCATTATTCCCGACTTCCGCTTGAAACCTTTCGGCCTAGCTGACCCCCACCCCCGCCGAAAACCTTTAAATGTGTCTATTCCCATCTCGAAATTGCAATGGCGTCTTCCCATCAATCGGCTAAAATTCCAGATGTTTCCACGGCTGTCCCTTGCCCTGCTTGGCCTCCTCCTTCTCATTCTTCAATTTTCGTCGGCAGGTGAGCGATGGGGTCAAGGAAGGGTTTCCGGATTTTTTTCGGAACAATACGGTTGAGAAATTTCCTCAAAATGTCTGGCTTCAATTGAAAGAGAAGGAATAGCAAATCATATCCTTTGATTCCAATGATAATTAAATTTAGGTATCATGCTTAAATGCAGACTAAATATATTCTAGTTCAAGTCCAATGACGCTATTTTTGGCCAGTTTACCGTAATTAGGCGCAATGTTAGAGGTCACCCTGGGTACGTGGCTCACGTTTACACACGAGCAACCAATCATACATAGCCTCTCTCAACCCGTAGGGAGGATAGATTCGGAACGAGATGGCGTGGTTTATGGAGGGAAGGGGGAAAGCCATTTCGGCTTTCATCCCCGTGGATCTCTCAAATCAACACAACCCTTATCGAAAAACGGACTGCCTCACTCAGGCAGATCCACTCCCATTACCTAAAAAGGGAGGCGGGGAGCTTCAACTTTAAGCTGCTCGCGGAGTGGAAAAACAAATCTGGCCCCCCGGAAAAAAGGTTCAGGGTTTGAAGGGGATTATAAATGTTTTACTAGTTGACTATAAATAAAAATAAGCGTCCGTCTCTTTGTGCGTGCAAACTTTTGACAAGAGGCATTTTAAAGATGTATTTGGTACGTTATTAGGTATACGTAAGGGTCCCGAAATGACTGCAATCCTATCAGATGTGTAGAATTTGCTGTTTTCGGCATTTAACCCAATCCAATCGCCTCCGTGTTATGTCAGCAGGGGTGGGGAAAGAACTATGTAAATTACAAGCGATCCAAAAAGGCGCGAACCGGGTTTTCAACACTGGTTTTCTGAACGAAATTAATGACCTCCTTCTCCTTTGACACACCATGCAAAAACGTATAAATGACCTTCGCACACGCCATTATGCACGGAAATCGGCTTTTCCCCCCGGCCGGACCAACGCAGCGATTCGGCTCCCCTTCTCCCCATATTCATTACACGACTCGGTCAGCTCGCATCCATTATAAATCCTGCGCATCTTTTTTTCTGGTGGTCCGGGCGGGGTTGAAAAACGACAAACCCGGGAAGGGGCCCGAACGGCGTTACCAACGAGTGCTTTCATTCTGCTAATGCGCAGCATTTGTTTCCTGGGGGAAGAATGGAAAAAGCGGGGGGCTTACGAGTTGGGGGGGCAGAAAGTGGCGACTCCCAGAGGACATACAAAACCTGACAAACATCGCCAGGGATAACGTGGATTTTTTGTGCGGTGGGGAAAGAGGGGGAGATCAAATTTATGTGGTGCTGTTTAGTGAGTGAAAATGGTTGAATATATGTACGTAGGGTGAGTGGGAGATGGCGTGGGGGTCAAACGAGGCGGGGAGATTGAGTTTTGGAGCTTGAATTCTACGAATGGGTCATGCTAACAATGAGATCGAAAGACGAGAGAGTATATTGAATAATCTCTAATAATTTAATAGTTAAACTACCATTTTATATGGCTCATTTAAATAGAAAAATATCAATAACTTGTCGGTAAAAATACAAAAGTGCTCATGCTTAAAAAATTAAAGCAGATACCTAGGGATGGGTATGTTTACACCTATTAAAGTCTGCGTCTCCCTCTTTGTCGGCGTCGTCGGCGTAAGTAGGTGTACGTAGTAATATCTAAATATGCGCTATCTAATATCTAGTACCAAATGCCGAATAGATTAAAAAATATAATTCCAAATTTTTCTGGGTTTTTTCCCCACAGCCAACCCTCCCAATTTCAGACTTGTTAGAAGAGGATGTGCCGCTGAGCTGTAAGTTTTGCGTGTTCAACTTATTTGGAGTGCACCACCAGCACATTTCGACCTTTTCTGTCCGCACCCCGACTCGTTGAATCCTTCATCAGTTCTCGTCGTGCTTGCTACTTGTCAAAAAAATAGCGCACTTTTTGGGGAGTGGGGGATTTGTGGCGTGTAGAGGCGCAGAATTGAATATTTTTTTCTGTATTTTAGATGTGAAGAAGGCGAGGCCGCAGGGGCCACTTCGATTTGGGAAGAGGAAAGGGCCGTCAGGACCGTTGAGGTAGGTAGGGGGGAATTGAACGGTGCGTCTCTCTCTCTCTCTCTCTCTCTCGCTCTCTCTTCCTCTTCCACTTTCAACAATTTTTTCATTAGATTCGGCAAACGCGGAGGCGGTCCACACTCATCAATGCTGTTCGAGGAACCGGCAGGGATCCCATTGGATCTGTTGTATGTGTAAGAAAGAGGCCTCCAATATCGACAACCTCAGCCTCATCGCCAACACGTCCACCACCACCCCTCAGCCACTATAGTATCCGTTTTGTCGTCCGCCTGCTCGGTTTTTCGGTCTGTTCACCTCCTTCTTTGGGGCCCTTTGCTCGCTGTCTCTTGTCCTCTCGTCTCTGCTACCAGATAAATCTTTTGTTATCCACGCGGGGGTTGATTAAAGCAGTGTGCGTAAAGAGCAACATGGGAATTATTTAGGGAATGGTGTTGGTTTTGGGGTGTGGGCAATAGGTATAGAGTAAAAGGCTGGGCAGCGAAAATTAACATTTTTCGGCTTTTAACGCGTGGTTTTCGCGAAAAAACAAAGTTGGTTAGGAAAAAAATTATCCTACATAAACGGCCACTGAAACGGTTAGATAATTATTTCTCTTACTATATTTAAATCGTAATAAAAACCCAAAAACGTCACCTCACCACCGTGGGAAAAACCGGACTATAGTCCCGGAAGCTCCCCCCAAAAGACCGCATCCTCAATTGGCACACACAACCGCACGGATGAGCCACTTTATGACCCAGAGGGGCAAAACGGGCCGAATTTGATGGCTCGGTCCATCCAACGAATTGCAGCTGCACCAATCGTGTGTTGCCTTTTGCCCCCACAACTAGATGCCCGTTTTTGTTGGTGACGGAAGGGATTTCACAAAGACTGAGCCGTTCCAGTATTCATGTAAATGGAGAATCAAATCAAAGATTGGTAGCAAATGGCGGTGGGGTATGGGAGATTTGGAAACCGGATCCTTCTGGTTAGATAGGGTGACTAGAGGAGCTTGTTGTAGTCGGAGGGGTGGGATGGAAAGACGGGACAAGGGATTAGAAAATATTTAACGGGGTGGAAAGGAAAACATGACGAAGTGACGCGGGTTACAAAAATCGATATGTAGTCTGTACGTCTGAAGAGAGCGACTCCATGACAGTACGCTAGGCATCGACTGTCAACAGACTGCTCTCTTCGGTCATACAAACTGAAAATAGCGGGGGGGGACACTGAGCGGTAGTTGTTGATGCATTTTAAGGAGTTTCAAAATGCAAAAAGCACTGCTATGATTATAATGCAAAAACGAGGCTAAACAGCGCTCTTTTTCATGTTACTTGAAAGATCAAATTTAGAAAAGAAAGGGTAGTGTTTGAAAATTAATCAAAGTATGTGTGCATAATCAAAGTGCCAAATAAATAATATGTATTATTTGGAATCAACTGGAATTAAATCGATATCAATTTGAGCAACATAGAACCAATACAGACGATAGAACATAAAACCACCGTTCAAAGTCCGTATTCCCGAATTTTCAAGGAAAGAATCAATGATCAGTGCACAAACCCCTGGACGAGACAGGGGTATGTTTGGTGGACGGAGCGTGTTATGGGAATGGAATAGGAAGAAAGGAAAGGCGGGACTGTAACCGGACCAGTGGAGGAGACCTCTACACACCGTCTCCTCTCAACCCCCTCCTCGACAAAGCACCGTAACCACACAGAATGAGAGAGAGAGAGAGACCACACTCGACACTACATACAACCCATCCCCATTTGCTCACCTTTTTCAATCTTACATTGAATGAAAATCCCCAAAAATTTCAAGGGGCTTCTGGGTTTTAATGGGTTTAAAAAGTTAGAGCAGGTCCCATTAAATTATGAAAACTTAGCAGGTCTACTATAACCAAGGGGATATTAAAAAATTCAATCTATGGAAGCCCACTAGATCGCGCTCCATCAACTAGACATAACTTTCAAAATTGGTCAACAAAACGCTTCATTGTTACACCTCAATTGAGATTCTTATAGTTTGGATCGCGCCTTAAAATATTCCATGGTGCTCGTTATTACGATGTCAGTGCGCACTGAATATTCCAATTTCACAAATTTCATCTAACATTCCTAAAGTCCAAAGGTACCGTATGAATGAAAAACCAAAACTTCTAGAATAAAACACCTAAAGCCATACGGCTACACAAAATAACGCTTTTCGTAGCCCGAGATACACCCTAACACCTCCCGCCAGTCATATCACCAAATTTTGACAGCTCCACCACAATTTACGGCCGCCAATGAAGCTGTTGGATAAGGGCTTGCTTGTCCCTGCACGTTTTTAAACAGCTTTTATGGTCAGTGTCTGGAATTTGACGCGGAAATTGAAATGGGAATGTGCTGAAAAGTGGCAGCGTTTGATATATTACGTTTTGGGTTGGTTGTGGGCAGACGCCGGAAAAATTGTAGGATAGCGTGAGAAAAGAGGTAGCGCTCACTAGCTGGGATTCTTAATTGTTGGTACAAGGAGAAATTATTTGCTAGAGTGAGCTGTTTTAAAGCACGTTGTAACTATTTATTTCATTTGCGTGCTGCATAATTTTATGAATTTGCAGCCAATATAGTAAATCTACAAAAATAATAGTTACTTTCGAATCGAAAAGGAATGGGAATAGTAAAGTATAGTTAGATGATTCTCGTAGAAAAGGAAGATGCTAGAGCTTGCCTAGCGTGTGGATGAGGAAAAGCCAGTTGTAGCCGGCCACAGAGAGACATCAGGCAATTTTTAGCTATACTGTAACGCAACTGGCTGGATAGTTGCCGAAATTCTATCACTAGCTTCTACGGCTTTCTATACACGGCAAAATTAACTCGTAAGATTATTCTAACCCCAGAAAATGTGCACTAACTCAAACGAGGGCATTCTAAAGTTTCAACCGAAGCTTGTACCAACCTGTCAATTTGTCGTAAAATATTTAGAAAAATCAATCGATCACTGTTACATGGTGATGTAGATGATCTTGTGGGCTGTAGTTCTAGAGGTTGGAAGGAATGGAAATGAATGTCGAAGTGAGATGTTGGTAGCGAAGATGGATGGATGGGTGGAGGTCTGGGTGGGGGGAGGAGTGGTCGGGGATTGGAGGGGCGGAGACCTAGAGCTCCGCCCATTTTATCCTTCACCTTTTATCTTCTGGACCTTGGTCACGATGAGTAGCGAGGATGTGTACTGACGGATCGATGCGTAAAAGCGAAAAATCGATTGAAAATTTTACGCTTTTTGCGGGCATGTAAGGGACCATTTTCTAAAGCCTACCATAAAAGTTAATAAATTAAATCAAATTCTAGCGGTGAAGCTTTAGGCCCTTTGGTTTTTTATTTAATTTTTTTATTTTGTTGCTCAAAGATGACTGTAGTGACATTAAAATATCCAGCCAAACCACACATCGCCAATCACGATGGCCAAAATAAATTAGTTTAGAAGCCCTCCGCACAACCTTTCGCGAAGCTTTAGAATGTTGTTTAGCGCAACAACGGTGTTGCTAGATTGTGCTTGTATATTTGTAAGACCGGGACCACCCAGAGTGCTCCTCGACAGCGACCTCTGGTGTGTTTTGTCAGCTCGGGACTACCGGGACTCGGCGATCGGGGGAAAAGTACCTGAAAATGGGTCGGGTGGTCATTTGAGGACCTTGGGATGATGGGATTGTGGAGAATTGCGTGAGTTACGGTATTTATAAGTAGACTACGTTGCGTTAAGTGGCTAACAGTTACGGTTACGGTGGTTGTTCTTATTTTTACAAGGGATGTATTTAAACAGGGCTTAAAAAATCGCCAACAAAACGCCGTCTTGACATTTGCATATCAAGCGAGCTTACCTAGCACACCGATAGTTTTTTTAACCCGACTCATATAGGGTAAAGTTTATAAATTGTGTATAAAACAATACAATTTTTTTATTCCGCCCCGGGTTACAGTATACGCCACATCGTGTGGCGGCGGGCACTTTGCAACTAGAGCTATAGCGGGAAGGTCGGCCGATAGAGCCAATTTCGCGCCCCACAAATTGCCCTCGATTCGATCGGCACCACGCCTATCTATCCACACGCACAATATAGGACAGTATTATTTTCTCTCGTATTAAATGCAGCTAGAGAAGGGAAAGCGTACCCAGAATTACTATTGACGGTTTCAAAAACTCTTTTTTTTTCTTAATTCCAAGGTTGAAGTGCGGGTCAAAATGCGTAAAACCAGACATATCACCGGATAAAAAACTGTACGCAAGACTACTAGTGACGCAATAAGCCGAAGGAATATTCTTGACTCTTGCACGTCCTCGAAGCGCTGGTCAAAACGCACCAAAACAGGCAAATCACGCCTAAAGATTAACGCGAACCAGCCAGTCCTACCGCAAGCTTTCCAATTTCTCGCTAATAGGCCCATTTTTCGGCGGGTTGGCAAAAGGGCTGAGGGAGCAACAGAGGGAGAATGGGTTAAGGTGGTGGCCGTGACCTTCGTCTCGCCCGATTCCAGCACCTAATCAGCGCCCCGACGCCAAATGGAATAACAGTACAAGCGAGCGGGGGGGGAGAGGACCGTTTGGACCGGAGGAGGTGGAAGTGGAGTAGGAGAACCAGCAACCACGTCTCGCCAAATTAGGGTCGCCCCCCTAGGCCAATGGGGAGGAACAAGGTTGCGGCTGGTGCTGTGGCGATCGGGGGAGAGGGGGAGAGATGTTTATCTGCGCTTGGATAACTGCAAATTGACGGGATGTGGAACTGTTGGGGGGGGACACGCATCGTTGACTCAACTCAGCACCCGCACTTTGCACCTCATTTTGGGTGCTATTTGATGGGGACGTATCTAACTTGCTGAAAGCGTCGCACTTGTATAAACCGGAAGCTTCTAATGACGCAGAGCAAACAAGCTAAAAATAAATGCGGACTCATAAAGGCGTCTTTTTCAATTTATACTGTGTCGATGCCGGAACATAGGCTCTAAAAACGATGATTTGTGGTTAAAGCCGGCGTTTACTAATACGCTTCATGGACGCGTGCGGGCGCGTTGCATCTTGCTAGAGATTGTGAGCTAATTTTAGATTCAAGGTTTTGGAAAAATACCGATTCCTCAAAAAGTGAATTTGCAACTGACGCATAGGACAGAGACGCCTACAGGAGCCACGCCTAGTCCGATTGCCGCAAACGCAAAATTTATACCCTTGTCTTTCTGAAGTTATAAGGACTTGGTAAAGTTCTAGTTAGCTATTCGGTAGTTAGCTATGCGTAGTCCATCACGCAACGAAAAGCGGTTAAGGGGACGTACGGGACGTAATCTCACGTATGCCTTACCAGCCCAGTTTAGGTCGAGCAATTTTTTGTGCTTTAAAACTTTTCTGTGTCTCCTCCCTAGTGTTTCACCGTACGTGTTTGTCTGTCTATCCACCCACCTGCATCCGTGTGAAGACAGGGGGCGACACGACCACTTGTCGGCCTCTGTATGTATGTCTGTTTGTATGTAGTTGTATATTTGTATGTCTATCGACTGGAAGGGGAGGGTTTGAGGAGTAGAGGGGTGTGAGTGAGGTGTAGATACAATAGGGTGTTGACCCCACTCGGCAAACACCATCCACCAAATACTCTCGGCCACACCCCGGGCTCAACGGGTGGCCCCAGCCAACGGTGGATTTTATAGCTTCCGGGCAAAAGGTGGCAGGGATTTAAAACGTTATGTTTGGGATTTTAAGGCGGCTTTGAAGCGGTGAGATAATTAAAATCTGCTAACTCGTTAAAATATACTAACTTTTTGGCTTCCTTAATTTTACTGTGAAAAATAGGTTCTGCGTGCATATTAGCATGCACAATTCCGTAACGTTGTTCTGTACATAGAACCTCAAACCGGTCTTTTTTGGTTAGGTATGAACCGTCATTAGGTGTAGAATGGTCTGGAACCATTGCCGATATCAGCTTTTTACTAAAAGATCATTTTCTTTATGAAAATAATTTTTTGTGAATATATGGGTTGCGAATTGTTGTATTTTGAGCGATTTAACAAAGTATCGCATGAAACGAATTGCAGGTTCGTACCTCCCAATACCTTAAATAATGACAACCATTCCTGCCGTACCCTCAACCCTCCTAAATGACCCCCAATTAACCTCCTCTCCCAAAAAGGACACCGCTAAGGGCCCCAGAGGTGTAATACGAACAATATGGTCCTTTGTTATCTCCATTTGGGACATCCCTAGGTGTGCACAGGATCCGGACGTAGCCCCTCTCATTCATCAAAACAAATGGACCCTCTACCCGGGTGGTGCATCATTTAATGGACTTTTTCTTTTGGCGGCTAGATCTGGTTAAGGCCACCATACTCAGGGCCCGCTTCCTGCTCGTCGCATGCTTTAAAGGGACATTGAAATGGGAAAATCTATCTCTGTCAACGATTGGGCCCAGACGGGCAGTTCCTCTGGCATAATTCGCTTTTAGTTAAGTTTAAAAATCATAATTTCCAAGATTTTGTAATTTCTTTCCAAAATATCCGAAAAGACAGTCATCAAATCATAAAATTATGGTAAATAAACTTACACCTCAGCTGCATGAAGCACTTTTCCAAACGTTGGTGTGAAGGCGCCGGTAATAAAGCGTAGTGTTCTTTGGAGCTTCGCGTAGCCGTCACGACGTATCGATGGAAGACCGCAGTCTCTTTAAAAATGTTTCTCCGTCATTCCTACTTACTGTAAAGGTGCAAAAAACCCAGACCGACCCGTCAATCCAAAAATTTATTCCTACCAACCAAACACCAGCCTAAAACGTGCCCATTGCATTCCCATCATCATCGCCAACGGTATTTTATATCTGAATGGCTATATGTATATCTCTGTATGTATGTGTGAGTGTCGAGAGAATGGTTGGTGGTGTGCATTGAAGGGGATGCTCCTAATGGGCTTATCTGTGCCCGGGTGGACGGTCATCTTCTTCTTCTTTTCCGCTCAAAACCCATTCGAGCGCGCCTAATGTAATGCGAGTGTGAAGAAATGGGCTGCTCTTGCTCCCCCCCAGCCGCCGCCATCTCATCCTCCCCCACCTTGTGCTCCTCATCGTCCTCACACCCACTCAAGGGCTAGTGCGATGTGTTCAGACGGGCGTTGGGTGTTGGTGGAATGTAATGACAGCTACGGGAATTGGGGGACTATAGGGAAAAGTGAAAAAATTTGAATTCGGGGAGGAGGATTGACTTTAGACTTGAGGCGCGACCATTCGAAGCTGTAAAGTAAGGCCGATGGTAAACTTGGAATGTAAATGTTTTTAGCCCATTCCCACGATTGTACACGTTGCCTCAAACCCAAAAAACCCCAAACACTAGACCCTTCCGGATTCGGAGTTTCGTCTACCATCGGATTCCCATGATTACATCACAAGGGCGGCATTCATCGTCAGGGCCTCGTGGAACGATGTGAAAAAGGGAACAAAGAACTCGTTCGTACATGTATATAGAAGTCATGCGTGGTGTAAATTGCAATCTATTTCTAAACGCTATGTCTAGATGCCAGAAAAACACCTTACATTTAAGATAAATGTAAAAATGGTGTCTGTGTCTCTACCTTGCATGCTACTTCCGTCAGTGTGTCCGGATTTAAAGGAATGTGTGGGTTCCCCTGTTGAGGTGACTAATCGCCTATCGATGACTGCACACATAGCAGATCTTTGCAAAATTGCTATTCTCTATAATAAATTGAAGTCGTCGGAAAAAGCTTTGCTAGACTCTTTATTAGGAAAAAATTAGCGCACCTCGGAAGTGAAGGAGGTGGAGGAAACTTTCCATTTTTGCGTTCTCAAGAAGTGGATAAGGCTATGCAATGTATATACTAGCATGGTTGGAGACGGAACCAGGGCTGAAAAGCCAAGAAACGGCATTTCAAACTGGGTTTTTGGACAAATTTCAAAAAGTCAGTCGTAATAAAGCCCACCGGAACAAGTAAAGTTCGACAAAAGAAAAGTAGAGCTCGGCCCAGCGCAGACGGAGGGCAATTGGGCGATCGGCACCAATTTGTGGTGCATTTTACGATCTCGGATGGACAGCTGCAAAGGCGCCGACGGCCCCATCTGAGCACCATTCCGAGCATCTTATCGGACAACCAGCCAGCCGCCGCAAGGTCCACAACCACGGACGGAAAAGGCTTTAGGGCTTTTTACGAAATATTACCCTATGCCCATTGTCATCACTTGACCGCCCTTTTTCTGGTTGTCGAAACGGTTATAGTTTTTTATCGTAGCCGTAGTTCAAAATTAAAATATTTGACTAGTATTTGTGGTTTAATTGATGCATTTAGTACATTCTTTGATCCTATATCAGAGAATTTAAAACAATCGCAAAATACCAAAGAATCTATGACAACAAATTTGCCATGAACTGCGCCAAGACGAGCGGCGCGGAATCAAAGTAGCGGCGGACAAAGATGGACGTCAATTCTTTTCTACAGCCATTTTCTTGCCCTACTTTCCTTCTGACCATAGCAATATGTTTAAGTATTTTAAATTGTTTAGTTTTAAAGCCTCGCCAAACATTTTCATATCGTTATTTATTAGTATTGCATGTAGTTATAGTCCATCTGGTAGCCGTGCGTTAGTGTGCCGATTTTAGATTATTTAGCGAGAAGAAGTAGATACTTTACAAGGCAAAGGCGCGTACTTGCTTGACCAATTCGTCGAGCGGGCGCAGGGTCTCCTCGACGAGGGCATCATCAATGGTCGCTTGCTTGTCCTTTTTGGACAGCTGCTTCTGGCGACGGCTCGAGCTGGCGGCAGCGCCCCCAACGGCCCTGAAACGACCGTTAACTCAAGAAGCGCCTTTAATTCATCACATTCTGGACTTCGACGCGTTCCTGGGACTTGCTGGCCGAGTAAGACAGCCATTTGCAATTGTTGAGATCGCCGGATGGGCGGGCAACGTTCACGCTGAACGGCTAGAAATGGACGCAGCGGTCTGGCTTCGAAAATATCGATGTGGTCCCCCTTTTTCTCGAAAGGCACGCGAACCCAAAATTAAAAAAATCGTTAAACCCATAAAAGCAATGTTACGCCAGTTAGCACGACGGAAACAGCGTAACCAGCCGGTTCGAATGGGTCCAGGGCGACATTCTGACGATCTTTGCTGCGTAAAACTATCTAGCGTTAGCATATCGATATTGTTGATTATCCTACCAGACACACAAGTCCAAGCCTACGCGAAATCTAAGTCGAAGCCTAGGCCTAAGCCTAGGCCACCGTCTAGCCTAAACCTAAGCCGAAGCCTGACTGAAACATGCATAATTTCAGACATACCATGATCAGGAATCACTTTGATCTCCTAATTTTCCTTCAGGGGTCAATATTCATAATAATCCCCGAATGAAGCGTGTGCTTGATCGGACGTCTGTCTGTTGGTAGCCCCCTTTAGGCGGTCAATCACAAATATTTGCCAGAGCTGTCGGCTTTCCCCCTTCGTTGAGCCCCTGCGGTAATGACGCCGGCTTACAGGAAAGGGTCAGCCCCACCATTTACATTTGCTATAGTCTTCGAGATGGGTCCGTTGCTTTACGGTGATTTTGAAAGGATGTTTTTAGAAGATACTTTAAGGGTAAAATTACGTAGGTTGGTGCAGTATTCTCTCACGCTATTATTCCGGAATTTTTAACATCACCCAATCTAACATCAAAACATATTACTAAAGTTTGTAATAAAAGCCATACATAATTTATATAAAAGTCTTGAAATAAACCAAAATTGGATTTTAAATTATTTTTTCTGTGTTTGAAAAATGTCTCACAACTCCCAACTAGCCTTCTTCTCTCCCAAATTCCGCGTAATTTGGATGGTGATCCCCCCCCGGGGGCAGTTGTGGCTGTGGGTACCCGGTAGTGTTGATGCTCCATTCTGAGTAGCGGTCCACTCCATTCCATTCCATTCCATCGGGGCCAATTTTCGGCTCACTCCCCCGAATACGGGCCGTATAACCCGGATACGCAGACCTGTCCCATTCGTCGCCCTTCAGCTCTGTCCTCCAACTAGGGCAGTATATGGAAATAACGGGGTAGACCTCCTTATGGCACAATTTTAAAATCTTGGGCAATTGATGAAAGGAAAGGTATATTATCGTGCAAATTTACATGAAATTTCGGTCTCAAGGTTTAAGCCACTTTCTCCCCCCTAAAATCATCATACATCGGCCAACCTCGATCTCAAGCTTTCATTCGCCAAAACCAACAAAACTGAATTTATTCGCATTTATTTGAAGTCCTCTCCACCGGCGTCATTTCCAATATCAAATCTATTTCAGTCTACCACCCCTTCCTCGTCTTCCTCTTCTTTTTCTCCTCCTCCTCTCCGCCCCAATTGGAAACTATACATGCCATGCCATAAAACCCAGAAGCGGCCCCTCCGCGGATTGTCGGTTTTTTTTGTGGGTTTTGGAGAAGGGACGGGGGGGGGGGATTGAATTTGGAGGGGAGGGTGGACGTCTTCTTCAGCCGTTCCTCTCCCCTCTTTTTCTTGGCTTTTTCGTTGAAATATATGAGGCTTGGAAACATTGGGACTATAGCCTTTGGGGGGGGGGGGGAAAGGCCTCCGCATTCATGCTAGAAAGGGATATTAGATTACAAGGCGACCAATTTTTTCTGATCCTAATTAGGCGATATTGAAGTGTATGCTAGGGAGATGACTATTGGGGCAAGCTATAGTAGTGAAGATTAGACGTATCACTTGAAAGATTCAATCGCGCACTAAAGCGAGGTAAGAGAAGCTTTTTAGCAGGTTTGATAGTTTTAAATTCGTACTTCGAAATTTTTTAACATCAATAAACATTATCCAGCACAACTTTTGCTTGCCCTCTGACCTGATCCCATTTCACCTTTTTGCTGCTTCACCCTGCTCTTTACGGTTATCTTATCTACCCGGCTTTTCGTGGTTGTTAGCCACCACTACTGGAAAACACTGCGATCTGGCGGATTAGAGATTATGCTTCAACGGTTGGGAGGAAGCCCGTTTTAGAACAGAATTATACTACCCTCCTTCCCCTTCCATTCGGGATCCAGCTTCATTTCCTCTCGATTATGCGTTCCGCATCCTCAAACGCGGTTCCCTCGGAGTATAATCCTCAGACCCTCTTCAGCTTCTAATTTCCTGCCACATAATATGAATGAATTAATGAAACTCGAGGCAAGAAAGGGCTTAATTCATATTGGCTGCCTTCAGTTCTATACCATTCCCTTGACACAAACTTTAAGCCGATTCCCAAAAGTAAGTTTTCATTTTCTAAAATTGTCTGTCCTTCAAACCCCCCATTCACTTAAGCCAAATTCTTTTACCACTTAAAATGTGCCCCCAGTTGGCACTTCCATTTTCTTCTTTTTATGCGTTCTTTTCACCCGGTTGCCTCTAGACGTCCTCATTTCTACTTTACTGGCTGCTTCTTGGGGGTGGGTGCTCAGTTTTTTGAAAAATGGCAACGGCTCAGACTGGCTGGAGGAACGGGCGGGGGGAAGATGGGGGAATGCCCCGAGGGAAAATGAGGATGAGCATGAGAAGGATGTTGTGTATTGCTATGACCTTACTTATTATTCTAGATGTGTTTTTTGGAATCGGATTTGCCTGTTGTTTCGCGAGAGTTTTAAAGTGATTGGGCACGAGATAACTTTGCTCAGCTCTAGGCCTAAACTGGTCCAGAAATTTCCTTATGTTGGCATCTATCGTAAAAGTTCATTTAAGACCGTGAGATTTAATCATAGCATCGCTAGTCTCCAAAATCCTCATAAATCACTCAATTTCATGTTTTAAAGGGACAGTAACACCTCAATCTACGTGCCTTCGCTGCCCTCCATTCCTCCTCCATCACAATTTTTCGCTAAAAATACACTCTACGAATAGAATGGGATCATTGAGACATCAATCGTCCACCACGATGTCCAACTGGGCCCTTCCAGCCTCAAATGGCATCCCCCAAAAAAAGTCTACTATGGGCGGGGGAGCGATTTGTCTCGCTGTCACCCATCTTTTGCTCTCAAATAGAAGAGCGGGACTTTTGCCTGACCATGCAAAACGGGCCTCATGGGAGTATGTGACCAGCCAACATCTTCGACCCCTCACGTCTGAATTTTGTGGAGGGGAAAAAAGTGGTCTCTTCTTTTTGGGGCATCACTAGGGTTCAACTGCGGGGGTACACCCGGGGAAAGAGAGGAGATTTTAAAGGGGCTGGTAATGCAGTAAGTGGGGATCTTAAGGAAACTTAAGGTTTATTTAAACAGCTTATTTTTGAGAATTTATTCTGCTTAAAGCCGAATTTTTTTCGTGACGCATGGACTAATTAAGGAACTCCTTAATTTTCCAGGTAAATGAAATCGTATTTGGGGAGCTTTCACCAGATTAGTTCAATTTATGTAAAACGTTGAATTCAAGCTTATTCTCCTGCAAGATATTATCTATCCGTTTTCCTAGTGCCCTTAAAATTTGGAGTATTACATAACGTATAACAACCTGAGAGTCCCCACAGATCCTACACCCTTTTCGCGTTTTCCCATCCTCTTAAACTAGTGCATGAGAATGGGTGTTCAATGATTCCAATTCAATAGAAGGGGTGTTAGATAGTGCATGGCACGGGAGTCCTCTGATTAGTCTGGCGGCACGTTGGAATCGGATCCCTAGCACCCCGCCACTCCCTCCCTCCTCGTTGAAATCTGAAGCTGGGCCCACCAGTTTTTTTGCACTTGCGCCCTTGGCACCAAGGGGGCGACTCGACTGGTCAGTCCTTTTGGAAGCGGGCTCCTTTCTGGGGCCTCTTTTGGGCTTCTTTTCTGCCGACTGGCCGACCCGAGATGGGCCTCCGCTTTTTGTGCCGGCTACTCTGGGGGAGGGCCACTCTTCCACTGGGCCCTGGCCGGCGGGCCCCAAAAAAAAACACGCATGCGCTTATAAATTCGGACGGGCTCGGGGCGGTGGTAGTCTCCGCTTTAGGCCAGGATTATACTTTTTTTGGTAGTGGGGGTGGATGTAGGGGGATTCAGGGTTTGAGATAAGGGTTGTATTAGTGATGAGTCGGGGATTTAATATATAAATTTTATTGTTAGATTTTTTCTAGTTATGCCATTGAAGCCTTGGAAGTTAAACGAAGTGCACAAAGCTACAGGGTTTTGAAGATTTTCGAATTTTGAAACAAGAGATGCCACGATATTCTATTAATTTCAGGATGACTGGGAAGTTTATGTAAGGCAGTATAGTAAAGTAAGTAAGCCGATAGAGTAAGTTACAGAAAATTTAAGTATAGTGAATGGCTTTAATTTCCGTTTTATTCAATTATCTTCTCTCATTTTACTCGTTCCTTTAACAAGCGTTTTCAACCTCTTTCCAACGACTACTCCCTCCATCCCCTTTTCTTCCTCCCAATGCCAAATGGCAACATAGGGCCCTCCTCCCCTCCAGATGCATTAGGGCCCCTGGCCCCCCAGCCCTTCGGTCCCTATCCTAGCGAGAATGGACCCCCACAGCCCTCAGCCGTCCGTCTTTTTGCGGAAGAGCAGCGGTTTTTTCTGGCTGCGGGGGTCGGGTCGGCCGATTGGCAGTAGAGAAGACGGCGAAGAGGGACAGACAGCCGGAGAACAACTCGATTATCAAGTCCGCGCACCGCATCCGGCCGGCCCAGCCTTTTTGGGGAGGGCCAAACTTGAGGCCAAGCCACAGCCGCTTTAGCCTTTCCCTCTAACCGGGTTTAAGGGGGCTGGCACGACTTCTTGCCAGATGCATCCGGGTTTAACGTCATCTCGGCGAAAAAATTGGGCTGATTGTGGGACGGCAGTTTTCACATGGTGGTCGTGTCTTTTTGTGAAGTTACACGCAAGCTTTCCTTTTTTGTTGCACATATTAGTGCGCTAGATACCGCCAAATTCTAAAGGGGTTGGGACGTAAACGACGAGACTCTCTCTGTCTTCCTAATGACCAAGTGCCCGCTAAATTTTCTCTAATAAAGCACCAACCAAGCCCCCAAATGACTAGGCAAAAACAACTTCCACATGCCAGTTCATGTTTACCTCACATCCATTTTCTAATCGACCTCCCTTCCTGCAATTTCCAGGTCCCTCAATTTACCCCTCGGCCGTTCCCAGACCCTTAAAAAAATGTCTTCGCGCTTTTTTTGTTTCCCAAGCGCCCCCCCGGCATGGCCTTGTTCACCTTTTGTCCCCTAGGATTTCCGCTTTTTCATACGATTTTTTGGATGCTTTTTTGCGCCAAAACGTGGTAAGCACTGGAGGCAAATTCTCTATAGTTTCATCCCAAAAATATAGAAAAACGATGGCTTTGCAAAACTTGCAGCTCACCAGCATGGAAAAAAAAGCTTTCGGTGATAAATGCAAGGCCAAAATAAATCGCGGTGCGTTTTTACGGTAGTTTTAGTAGCGCGAGGGGGGAAAGGAGACAATGCTGGGAGGACGAAAGCCCTGGAGGGCTATTTCTCTTCCCGTCAGTGCCTTCTCCAACCATTTCGTGCCAAGGTTTTCGGCTCGGAGAAACGGACGGAACAAGTCTTTTCTAGATTTGTAAAGTTGTGGATTCTTTTGTATTTTTGGTGGAATTTATCCTTGATTTGCTTTAGTTTTTGACATAGACGCGCTTTTTCACACGTTGCGCTTCGTTTTTTTATTCCAACTACCATCCAAAGAACATTTGTAACGATGCGCTGCCTACAATCCAATTTTCAAGCGGTCCACCCCCCGAGCACTTTGTCCCTAGACCACTTTTTTCAAACCAGAACCCAATTTTATCAATTCCGCCAGGTCCATCAACGCTAGAAGGCGACTAAATTAAATCAAAGAAGCGCCGAGCAGTGGCTTTCTCCCAGGATTGCCTTACTGACAATGAATCTTCTCGAGCGACTGTCCAAAAATCAGCTGCAGGGCTGCAAATTGCATTGTTGGGGATGGGGGGGGGGGGGACAAGGCCGGGGGAGCACTTCCGAATCCCCATTTGGTTCGCCTAGCGCCATCTGGCACTTCTGCTTCTTTGGAGGAATTTTTCAATTTGTTTTGATCGAACTTTCCATTTTTTTGACTCTTGCCTTGGTGCATGATTTACCGAACTAGTAAAATTGATCGTTTATAGTCATGCGACTCGAACCGCCGACCGATGGTGGCTGCGTGGCTACCAGTCGACGCCAAATGACGCTGAGTAAATTTTTATCGACCCAAGCCAATATAGAATCAGAAAAACACCTCTAAATTCAATTTTCCAGGTGAACGACGAGCCCGCAATCGTTCGCTTTGCTCAGTGTTGTGCAGCCCAGCCCCATACGGTCTGGCTTATTCGGCATGGATGGGCAATCTTAGCCAGTTAAAGTAGGAAGCCTGTCTATGTTTAATATTCTTAATGTATTTATAGACTAGAAGACATCACAGCGGCCGAAGAAGAATTTTCTCGCGGCCCGCCTGTCGATTTTATACGGTAAGGAACGCAGGTTCGTTCCAAGCTGCTTCATTTTTCAGTTCTTGTTATGAAACTCGCGAGGTGACTTCGCCGGCCTCAATCCTCACCGTCAGTTCCATCGAAATTCCCCATTCGAAGACTACCGATGGTGTCGATTTACAAAACGATTTTGAGGTAATATATTTTTGAAACACCAGACTGTAATTTCAGTTGGACGGCTTTCCGAAGAAGAAATCATCCTCATCTAATCCGTCGGCTTCTTCTGGGTATGGATCGGCTTCGTCCGAAAGCGATCAAGAACAGGTATTCTAAAAAAGTTGCTTAAATCGATTTAGAGCCCAAATTCGGACACAGCTTCCCTTCGACGTCCAAGGTATCTCTCAAAATCGGAAAGAAAGGTAGAAATTTCGAATTAACTGGTTGGTAATAAGATGTTTTAGGCTGAGAAACAGCGAAGGAACAGTGTCCCCGCCAGTCTACGATCTCCATACCCAGGTGAAACTGCAACATGGAAATAAATTATTTTTTTGCAGAGGATGTCATGCGCGTGTTGGAGCAGGACGGCTATGTGCGGTTCGAGACGAACGTCGTGAGTTTCTTGTGTTCAGCCCCCATTCTCTGCTGTGTGACATGGATAATTTCGAGGGGGAAAAGTTCATTTTAATGGGCTGGTGCGGGAGGGGTGGACAGGGGTGGATGGTGGGGGCAAAAAGTGCGGTGGTGGGCGTGAAGGGATGGGACGGCCAAGGTCGGTTCCATTCCACACCTATGGAAAGGATTTTTGAGCTCTTTTTATAGCTATTAAAAACAAGCTTTTACTCTACACCGAGCCCGATGGTTCCATAATTATTGATATTTTCACCTAAAATACATACACCAAAAAATATATTAATCCTTTTAATCACAGGCCAAATATTTTAACCATGAAAAAAATTAATATTAGAGCAATATTAAAATTATAGCAAAAACAGAAACGAAAAACTACGCTTACTAATTTACACCTTGACTTGGCAAGAGAATTGGGCGAAACCCCCCTTATCTTCTTATCAGCGTTCCCAAAACCTCAGTGCATCATTTTGTTGTTGTTCCCTGACCCCTGAAGAAGCTCCCTCATTCGCCCTAATTAGTCATTCCGGGAGTGGTCTCCCATAATCAGTTACACCCTTTATTTACTAAAGTTAGCCACGGTCTCTCCCCGCCCACCCCCCTTATAATCCGACCCCCGGCTCAGCTAACAAACCTTGGCGCGTGTACGGCACAGCTGGGAGGTGGAGAGGTTAAATACCATCCGTACTCTTCTCTCCAGTCTATCTAAAGACTCCCATTCCGCCTCCAATGAGTGCTAAATACTATTTCTTTCGGCGGTCCAGGTGCTGGAATAGGGGGAGGTTGGGTGTGTGAGACAATGTCCTTGCTCATCCTCTTGCCTCATGCTCACAAAGGGGATTTTTTTTGCGTCGTTAGAAACAGTCTTTTGGGCTGCGGGATGGGTATTCGGACGGCTTTGGCGGTGTAGAATGGAAGAGGGGATAATCTTGGGATCCAGTTTTGGTGTTCGTTTGCGTTATTTTCCTTGAAAGTGCAGTAATGACCTGATTTAACCGGACCTATTAGCAGACGAAAATACCCCTATTCGTCAAATAGGAGGCTAGGGATAAACATTACAGCTTTAAAATCATGTGATGAGCGCCTTTTATTAACGATGACCTCTAACCTTCCATCCACCACTCCCATCCATCCATCCCATTCAGCGGCTTCTCGATAACATTACACCTGCGTAAATTCGTCCTTCTCCCCCTTCACCCCCTAAAACCACCCATAAATTGGACGGTCACACAACCTCCCCAACAACCCCCCGACCATCCCTCATATCATTGCCGCCCGCGGCTATTTTGCATACAATCTGGTTGACTAGGGATCGTGAAAGGACAAGTCATAAGGTGTTAAAAGTAAAGTTATGTAGGTTTTTAGATGAATTTCGGGCTATTTCCAATCTACCGCAGGTTCTGGCCACAGATTTAGCGTCAACTTGTCTTTATTACCTTATAAATAATTGTTATAATCCTGGAATCGACCTCCAGGATCAACATCTGGAAAATCCGCATCTCGAAATTTGCCGTCTGATGCACTTTCTCAATTCTGGACTTAATTCATATATTGGAAATTTTGAGCTAAGCAACTTTAAAGTTGTGGTTTTTCGGGCTATATTTTATATCTTATAATTCAATCGAAAATTGATCTTTTAATCTTCCCACACCCGGGAGATTTTCGATCATCCCCGTTACTGACATCCTTGTTTGTCCTCTCGAAATTTGCATGTGCCCGGACAGACCCAACAGGCGAAGGCCCGCCCGTGCCAGCCAACAAGCTTCTTTGCTTTTCCGAAGAGTTCCTTATCACGAACACTTTCTGAAATAAGGTATTCTCGAGAATACCTGTAGGTTTTTTTGTTCCCATGACTAATCCTCCAATCAGTCACAATCTGTCTCTTTGTCAACCTCACTTGACCTTTTGATACTATCTCCAATGAGGTCTACCCTGTGGATGGCTATATAGTCGGATATTACTGCATAAGATTGTCAAATTAGCATCGGATTTTTTATGCAAATTTCTCATGACTTGTTTTTAGGGATTCCACAATTCTAGATTCAAATTCATTTGGGATGTGACGAGATTTCTAAATCTATGAAAACGTAGAACTTTGCCGTTGCCCGACTCAAAAACTTCGAAGTTTCTCCATTTCAACTTTCAAAACTTTGCCTCCCTTACAAATAATTGTTGCGTAGCCCCCTCCCGGGTCCGGCGCGTGAATCGCAGGGCGCTGACACGCTCCTGACGAATGATCAACATCCCCCTCGGCCACCCACAAATCCACACAAAAACCCAGCAGAGGCCATTTCACAGTCGTGTTTTGAAATCTTATTTCGAACAATTTGACCGTGAGGTATTATAACCTGTCTTTTACATGCCTACATTTTTCCATAAAAATATCGTATTTTCAATTTTTTTGCAGGACTCTGGTCTACGCGTCGGAATCCCAGTGAACATGCGCACGGTGCGCCAAAATGAATCGGTGCTGGACTTGGCCCGGAAATTCGCCGAATTGAATGCGCAACAGGTAAATATAAAATCTATATAAAACTAATTAAATGATTTGTGTAGGAAAAAGCTCGTCTACACACATCCTGGCATGCCCCTACACGGCCACCCGGACCATCAACCACCCGCCTTGGTTCGTTATATTATTTCTTGGGTAATATTAATGTGTGGTGTGTTTCCTAACCAAAATGCATAATACTCTACGTAGTATTGAATCTTATGAATTTATTGCATGTCCGCATGTGGATGTAATGTATTGTATCTTTCCTACCAGGTTCCCCAACCTCATCCAAACCCCCGATTATCCCAAAAGGAAGAAGAAACTCGAAGACCGTCACTATCGAATTCATCCCGAACCTCAAACCAACAGCAAGTCTTGACAAAAAAGTGGTCTTCCTCCTAAAAGAAACGAACCCTGAACCAAAACTGAAAATCGAAAAGATCAGTCGACCGGTCAGAAAAACGATGGATGTCTCTCAAATGCAGGAATTACATAAGAAATCGATCATCGGTAGGGTACAATAGTTGTCCCTGAAATATCTGATAGAACAAGCAACTCTTCCCGATGATATCGATGAGGCTGAGAAACAATGGAAAGATTTGGGAAGTCTACAGAAAAGCCGCCGTCAAAGCCTTCTCGATTCCGAGAATCGAATGGGGAAGATTAAAGAACTCGAACAAGCGAAACTCGGTTTGGGATTGCTTCTTTTTGATTTTGGCTTATTGCATGGTTTATGCATGCTTCGCTTGAATTATTCAATATTTTTGAAATATATTTCTTTTCAGCCCGAGACAACCATCAAGGGAGCATTGCTGCATTGGGAGGTAGGTCATTCATTTTGACAGGGTATATTTAAATTTCTTACACTAGATAAGGTACGGGTCAGCGGGCTGACAATAAGAACACATGCAACGATATGGGGCCCACACGGGACGGGCCCTTCCTAGAGACCCAACCGATTTTACAACGAGAGCCCCTAGGCAGAGACCCACCTTGCTTACCCTCACCAAGCAACTAGAGATCAACGTTCTAACTTCTTGTTTGTCTTGGGTTATGTAGATTTTACGGGCTTGGATACCTTGAGCCGAACTAAAACTTGAAACATATATTTTTGAAGTCATCCTTAAAATTAACTATTAGCTATAATACCTTATTGGGCTTAATCATCGCCTCAATTTATTATTGCAGTAAACCGATAAAGATCAAAATAAACCAATTTGCCAGCGTCACACTTGTAGAGTGAATGTTTTGGCGGCCCCTTCCGGCGAACGTTAAACAAAGCGACCTCGAGATCGCCCCAAAATATGCTGTTTTTCCGCGAACCAGAGGGCCCCGGATTTCGACTCCATCTAAATTCCACTCCCTTAAAACTCAATTAGCATTTTAATGAAAGTCAGGAGGATAGTTAGATGTCTGACGGCCTCAAATCTCCATAAAATCATATCTGAAAGTCCAGCCATTTTCTTGGATTGCCGTTTTCCCCCTGACATATGGCGAACCACATTTCTGCCGCCATCAAAAAACGGCTATTGACGGTCCCCCTTGAAACAAAACAACAAATGATCTGCTCTGGGCCAGATTTCGCTATTCGGAAAAATTCCAGCGCCACTATCGAAATCGCTTCATACCTGATTTAAAACTAAAATTCACTTATAGATCGTCCAAAACCACTGAATCAGATGAACAACAATCCGTGGAAACAAATGCCAAAGGGTGGAGCATGGTATGCAATTTGTCAAATTATCAATCCCGTACTATTACAGCGTACGACCAACCAATCCGAACTCTATCAAAGAAGCGCTACTCCGCTGGATTCAAGCCAAGGTCAAGGACTATCCGGTATTTCATAAAACAAAGCTTTTTGACCAAAAGTTCAGATCGAAGTGACGAATTTCTCGTCGTCATGGGCTAATGGAATGGCGTTTTGCGCTCTCATCCATCGGTTTGCCCCTGATGCTTTTGACTTTGCCAAGCTGGACCCGGAGAATCGGCGGGAAAACTTGGAATTGGCGTTTAAAGTAGCTGAGTAAGTTATAATCATTCTGGTTAAGATATTTTTGATTTTTTTCAGAGACAATGGGATTTGTCCCCTCCTCGAAGTCGACGACATGATTATGATGGGCGACCGCCCTGATTGGAAATGCGTCTTCACCTATGTCCAATCATTCTACAAAGAATTCCGGAATCGCCCCTAAACTTTTCTAATTTTTTGGGAACAGCTTTAATACTTTTATGGGCCGCACTTTGCAGTTTTAGGGAATGCATAATAGTACACAGATTGCTGCCGCTTCTTCTGCCCCGATTTTATGGTGCCAGTCATTAAAAGTGCGTTAGCATTTTAATAAGTATATACATGGCGTAAAAGCCTAGCGCATTTTTAAATAACGCTGTTGCTTAAGGTATACTCGCACAATATTAGTATGTGAAAATCCTCTACTATCTTTTCAATAGTCTATGACACAATTTCTGGTCTATCCTAGTCGTGTACGGAATTTTTCCACAACCCTTTAGCCTTAATCCCCTTTCCCATTTTTATTTGAATTTAATAATTTCCATCTTCATTGTCTATTTCTTTGATTCGAGACGTGTTGTGTGTTGACTTCTTCATCCTTTGAGTAGAAAAAAAGCAAGCATCAGACCAAAAATCCGACGCATTCCCCCGGCTGGCGCACCCGTCTATTTCTGTAGTATAACAATTCGTAAGTTATTCCAATTTTTTATTTTATTTATGAACTAAATACCCCCACATACTTTCTAAGTATTTTTGAACTGAGCGGAATTGTGATGACTGCCCGAACGACACAGCTTTGTTTCTTCCGGGAAGCCCTATTTTCATGGGATGCTCATTGATTTGGTTGACAATTTCGATTTACAACTCGACAACGTTATTTCTTTCACACACCCCCATTGAATAAACCTCTGGATTTGGCTGCATTCGGTAAATTCCATTTGCAAAAATATGAGATTCCAATTGAAGACAAACAAACAAAATATGACAGCCAATTTTTTTAAACATTGCCTGCATATTGTAACAAAACTTTTGGCTAGACTTTACCTTATCCCCTCTCAGCCGGAAGTTTCCAAAATTTGTCGACAGTTCCGTCATTTTGTCGGGATTTAGGCTACGCGAATCGATAGTTCAATTTTGTTACCCTGACAGATACCAAAATCTTGCCTAGATTTGTTAATAATTACTTTGCCAAGCAAATTCGAGCTCCTTTCATTATCCGTAAAACCGACCGCCCCTCCAGCGATACCCTGCGGAATCAGGGCAGTTTACGATGGTCTGACCCAGGCAGAGACGCAGAGACAGCAGTGGGTGGGCAAGAGAAAACTCCAAAAATCTGAAGGCTCTGCAAGCAGCTTCTTTATCGTTTACACTCTATGTGATGTAAAAAATACTAAATGTGTATTTGATAAGCTTAATTTGAAAATGAACGATTACGACTGCCTTCGCACTTCCTGCCCGCTTTTAGAATTATTTTTGACCTCTTTTCCATTAGCGCTTTGTCTGTTCATAAAACCAGACGCTTTTACAGGCTACCATGGCTTCGGGTAACCGTGTTCCGGAAGGGTACAGCACCTTAACCCCGATCGTCCAGACTCCCATCAGCGATGTTCTGTCGATGCCATTGTCTCAACAGGGCAGAATCTGTGGAATGTTTGAAGGCCAATTCTGGCGATGCATGGAGGCTTATGGAGCCAAACTTGGCCGTAAATACTGTGACCTGGAGCACAGGTAGGTTTTTACTATTTGAAGTATGACCAAGCTTGCCCGAAATTTTAAAATGTTCAAACTGGGATCTGAGTATATTGTCGTAATCATCCAAAACTGCATTAAAACATCTCCGATATAGCGTCAAGACATGTATGATCTGCAACTATCTGAGTCTCGCTGATAATGCATATAATTATATACAAACTCGAATTTCGGAGCCCGCATTTCAAACTACTACTATCCAAATCTTTTTTAGGGACTACCACGAGTGCATGACAAACGAGAAGCAACTGAAACGTGCCGAAGCCATCCGGACACAACGGGAAAAGCTGTACAGGGAAGGAAAGCTGGACAAGGCCTACGAGACAAATCACCCGGCACCTGGCCAGCTACATCCCGATCATTTCCAATGGGGAAGGATCAATTAAGAATTTTATCTGTGCGTTTTGGTATGATTGGTTGCCTTTACTTTTTTGTGTAAAGTTTTTAGGATATTTTGTTGTATGTTTTGGTTTTGATAGAAGCAATTCGTGCACTTCAATAGTCAGCGAATAAATGTATATGAATTTGGCAATATATCGTCAAAATGGTATTTTTCGGGGGAGATGTCGTTGTAGACTCTTTGAAGGGAAAACGACATCTCATCCGGTGGTACTATGTAAATTGTGAGCTTTTATAGATCCCGGACGGGTACGATGGTTAAAAAGCTGTAAACCCCGTTTTCGAAGTGAGCATCGGTGTAGAAAATTAATGCTGATCTCACTGTCTGCTTTTCCTCTCTGAAATGAAAGCAACGTGCCCGGAGGCGCGCACTGTAATGTTGCCGCTTGATGTTTGCCAAGCGGCTCCTGTGCACAAGCTTCATCAGTCCAAGCGTCGAGAAAATGGCTGGCACATTCACTCCTTCCTGCGCACCAGTCCTTATTTAATGCATGTAATGCATTCATCCACAACTTATTTTCTACTCTTTACTCCCTGACATCTGGCTGGCGTTATCCGTTAAATAAGCCTATCGGCGTTGAGCCCCAGCTTGCTTGGGCCGATTCCTATTGACCTAAACGCCATATAATCCGAGCAATTCTGTGCCCAACACCTCAAAGCGTGACGCTCGGGCATTGCATAGCGCCCCTTGCCTAAAGTGTGCGCCCACTTGTATCGCATAAACTGTGTGGGGGTGTGAAGAGCTCTCCGGTCAGTGTCCACAATAACCCACCCCTTCAATGCCCCTTCCGGCTCGACAGAACCTATGAAAGCCCTTTTTTGGCTTGAACGGGCCTGCAGGCTATTTTCATGTTGCCCCTAAAACATTCTATCGTATTCTTTGCGTTGTTGGGAAAAGGTGGGTTAACGATTTTTGAAGTTGAAGCATGGACTTTAGTTGGATCATTGCTTTGCCAATTATGCGACTCGTTTGCTGGATATTGTGATTTTGACGGGTCGACTTGTGTTGGGAAGGCTTGTGTGACGAGGACTTCATTTTTGGAAGGTAAATGATTACGATTATATAAGTTGTTTTCGATTTTCATCGCGCCTTAAACATACGGGTCAGCTCACGATAGTTTTATCAATTTATCTTCGAACAGCTGTAAAACGACGGCGAAAAAAGACTGAGAAATCTCGTGACCGCAAAATTAAAATAAGCTATGGTCAATCCTCAATTTAAATTTTAGAAGGCATGACCCGAATCCAAAAACTATGCTCATCCAGCGATATTACCGGTGGATGCCGCCCTACTTTTCTATGGGCCGATAGTATTGGCCAAGAATGCGTTTGCCATGAAAATTTGTGCAACCTATGCCAAAATCCTGTATTTTCTATTCCAATTGTGATTCAATGTTTTTTGTTATGGAACTGGTTATAAAATTAAATTCTATTTACTATCCAAAAAGCTGAAGCCAAGGCAAATCACGGAAGTTAAGATTACTGTAGCCGGGTTGACAAGATCGATTTCGTAGCTTCTTCGCTGTGATTTTCGAGTGTCGGTTATTTCCGTTGCAAAGAAAAGGACAATACGAAGGAACTAAAAAATATATTTTCAGAGAAACACCATTACCAAAACCAGACGATACGCATAAAATGGTGCTGTTTTCCCGAAACACAGTCCCACCAGGGTGAAAACGTACAGGATTACGGTAGCGTAATAAGGGTACTAATTTGAAGTTTTCGCATGATTTGAAATGCTTACGCAATAAGCAGCTCTCGCTTGTTCGGTGTCAAATCTAAAGTTGGGTTTACAAATTAAAAAAGTAAACCTCTCCAACATCTGAGAAGAATTGGCAAATACCCACACAATACCTGCATCGAGCAATCCAGCAATGGCAAAACACCATTTTGCCAACTAAATTCAATATACTTAATTGGTCAAACTTACATGGCATGCAACGTGTTTGAGGTCATATAGCGTCACAGCTGAATGTTGTTTCCCTTTCTCAGGAATAGTTGGCAACTTGATCGAATTTCGCGCCTTTTCATCCGCCAAAGAAGGTTTATAATACGGGGCCTCAAAGCTCGGATACGAAAAATTGACCCCTCGTTTCAGGTTTTCCGAATTCAGTTCCTCAACCTCATCTTTCCCACGAAAACCTTTTGGATCCAAATAGGGATTATCAATCGGATTGCCACGTAGTGTCGGATCGTCCGCCAAGAAATTGCCGAGATCAACAGAAATAAAGCTGGCTTGTTGCTTTTGGAATTTAGGTTTAAGAGGTGTCATTTGCCGAATGGTCAAAAAAGGGAAGGCCGGGAAATGTCTCTTTGTGCATTTTGTTATGGCTGGCGATTCATGCTTTATTTTGTTGATGAATGTGAATGGAAGGGGGAGAAGACAGCTGGCGCTGCAATGATTTAATAAAAATTCGGTTGGGGAGTGATTTACGGAATTGGTATGGATGAGTTCAAGGGACCCTTTTTACTCGTGCAAGCCTTCATCCAGTATATTTATGTAAACTAGATGCTTCCATGCGGGTTGCGCGTTCGGAAAATTTTCCGGAGGCCCTCGTAAATAATTAACTGGTAACGCTATTCTAAAGGGCAGCTGACGGGGGGGACGACCGGAAAAGGCCAGTTCGTGGCTTTGTTAAAAAGTCTAGTTTTTGGTTAATTTTCAAGCCGCAAAACAACGTCTATTCGGGTCTGACCTTTTTTCAAAAGCTGTTGTAGGATGGACAAGACAAGCTCCCGGCATCCGCGAACCGGTATTTAAGGTGTGGTGAAACTGGCCGCCTTCCAGATATCTGGCCTATAGTTTTCAAAGCCACGGCTTTTCTCCTTAGAATCCAGAGGACGGCCGTAAGAATGGATTCCTCTATGGGCGGCCACCACCCATTCGTCCTTCCTATCCCCCCCCCCCAAAAAAAAAAATCAAAAGCCCATTCAACAAAACCCCCCTGGCGGATTCCCAATTTCACAATTGTTTTCCCGGTTCCTATTTGGGTAACCGTTTGTGTGTAATTCTGCTCTTTTTGGATAATTTCCCCTCATTCGTTGCCGCGCATTCTGGGTGGCCAGGGGCGGCCGAAAATGAAAAAAACCCGGCCGCTCGGCTCGGGTGGTGAAAAGTGACGCGGCGGGGGGGATGGCGGGTGAAAAAAGAGGGGGGTGGAAGGAGAAGGATCTCTCGTTGATAGAAAAGAGTCACGAGAATGCCCTAAGGCATCTTTCCACAGCCATCCGCTCGACATGCACACACAAGCACCTCTTAATTTGCGAGCTGCACTGGGCCCGCTGGCTAGGCTTTGGATAGCGGAGTTTTCTTTTTTTTTGCTAGCTGTGTGCCTAAATTGAGTTTATCCTGGTGGTCACGCGTATCAGCTGTTTTTATAGAATTTTGTGTTGTTGTTCTATCTTTCTCTCTCTCTCTCTCTCTCTCTCTCTCTCTCTCTCTTTCTCGTCATCCATTCGCGCACTAATAGGAGTTGTGCTTTACCGCCCCATCGCGTCATCGCATACGTTAAGAAACCTCGTAAATGCAGCTGCATCATTCCACATGCCATCCCCAAATCCCTAAATCCCATTTTCATAAACCTCACCATCTGCTGCCATGTCAAAAGACCCATTTTACCCCAAATCCAATTAGAGCCCCCCAGGGCCCCGATATATCAGAACAGAAAAAAGTGGCGCGTCCATCGGTCCGAGGATTGGCTGTGGTCAATTTTCCGGGTGACGCTTGGGCGCTGCGAGGCATTTTCGAGCCTCGGCTCATTGGAGCATTCGATCCCTCCGGCCATTTTCGGGTCTTGTATTTGTTCCGGAATGGCACAGCGGCGCCCCCGCATGACATCCCTCCCTTTTTTTATGCTCCCGCACGCTACTGCTATGACATTTTGATGTCATACAACGCCAGCTAGTTGATAGTAATTTTAATCAGTGGATTGTGACAATTGTTTTATTTTGCTGTTTTAATTTATTCTTACAAGGGTATTCAATAGCTGGAACCTGAAAAAAATCGATTCAAACACATGTCCCGAAAACTGCATTTTCCTAACTGCATAAAAACCAGCACTAATTGCATATCACAACCGGCAATTCGATTTCTGGAATTGCGAATCATAATTGGTACCTAGGATGGAGGCGGGCTGAGCGGAATTAGTGATGACATTCCTACATTGAGGATTCTTCCTTGTGATCAAACCCCTAGCCATTTTGACTATGTTAGGGAACGGTAGCTTTAACATAACCTTATGACAAGCTTTACTTTCTCCCCCAGGGGCCAATCCATTTTAATCAGATTATTTTATTAAGCGACACCCGGGGGGTGGCGTGTCAAAATGCGGTTGGGGCGGGAATGATGTTGGTTGGGTTGGAAGTGGATGGCTATTTTCGGTTTACTGCCAGTCCCTTTTGCTCCTTTTGCCGGCCCCCTCAATGACCCATTGACGGAACGCGGAGGGTCGTCATTTTCCGACTGCTCACTCCTGACTCACCTTTTTTGATTCTAGTTTTTGAATTAACAATTTAGTTAAAGTATTCTATTCATTTCAGGAGATAAAATCGACGATACGATTGGGTTAAACCAAAATAATTTTCCGAATAAGCTTGAGAAAGTTCTATCACTTAAAAATGGTTTTGTCGGGTCCGAATTTTGGGTTAACGTTGAAGATTTTAAAATTAGGAAATTCGGATTTTTGCCCCTGGCCAGCTCGGAATGACTTTGTCACTTTGCAGGTTTTCCCAATCCCAACTGTTTTTTACATCCGAAAAGAAGGTTGCTAGAGGTTATCCTGGCCTACCGTGGATGCTGATTTTTTACCTAACTAATTATCTAAAAACGGCGCCCAAAGTTTCCACACAAACTTGAATTTGGTTTCAATGGCTTAAGTTCGTGAAACTTAACACATAAACTATTTGTTATACAAATGTTAAAGACCATAATTCAGCATGCAATTAATTAAGAGGGAGCAACGCTGGAATTATTAATAATTCCCAACAGCATCCCGTCCGCAATAATCCTGTGCATTGAAACTCCCAGAAATTACCTACAGAAAACGAATTAATCCCCACCATCTAAAACAAATCCCCCCATGGGACCCCAATAATTTGCAATGCACGAACGGGGCCCGGGGGCATGAGATTTTCCATAGTATTCCGTTGTTCCATTGTCGCCCACGCAATTCCCTTTCGTCATTTGTTGTTTTTTTGGGAGGAGAAGGACTGGGACCCAAAAGGGGGTTTGGTGGCTAGCTGGACAAGCAGAGGTCCCAGACGACTCGACGGCAAAGGGCCCAACCAACCCAACAGGATCGATGGATGCCCCGAGGGCACGCGACGCTCCGCCCTTTTTTGCGTCGCGCGCCTATGGCCGGCTGACGACATTCCCGCGCTGGGGGCCCTACACCGGGGTGGGTCCCAACCCGGCCGCGTCATTAATTGCCCCCCCCCCTCCCTCCCCACTATCGGCGCCGCCTTTTTTCGGTGGTCAATTAACAGTCTAACCTGTCATTTTCCCAGCTCTACCTACCGCCGAGTCTATTTTCTTTTCATGCCTTTTTGTTTTGTTTTGAGGATTTTGGAAGGACTGTACTGGCATACTATTCGTTTGGTGTAGGAAAAGCCCGAGTTCGAGGGTAACTTCTATCCCGAAATTCTACTTTTTGCTTGGAGGCTATTAGAATCGAATTTCGGGGTCGCAACTGGTCTTTAAAGGGATGGTGACAGGTTGCGTTAACGTCAAATTACATCTAGCGCACACATGCTTTACCTTATTGTTTGATCTAAATCCAATAATTGGCTATTTTCATTTTCTGCGTGAACGATACGATTACGAGAAGTGAATTATTTGTGAAAATTTTGGCTTTCTTGCAAAACGCGCCGATACCTGTTAGGCTATTGAAACTTTTCAGATATCATTTACTTATCAAGATCACCAAGGTACGCTGAAATCAAAAATTTCTTCTCCAGGACTCATTTAATATCTAAAACAATTTCCCCCATCTCTCCAATAATCAAGCCGAGCCACCAATTTCCAACCGACCGCTGCGCCAACGTTTTTCTCCCCTTGACGCGTCATTCATCATTTTTCCAAGGGATGGATGGAGGGTGGGGGGTGAGCACATATTAGGATGGGCGGGTGTGATCCAAAAGATGGGACAGACCCTTCTCATTCCTCTTTTTCTCCTTCTTCTTCCCTTTTTTTGAATGTGCTCTCTCGTTTTCCAGTTGTCTATCACCGTTTTTCGTCGGTGATAATCTTCTCTGTTGGCACTCTCTGACGGTTTTTATTTAGAGCGCAACATTGATCGCCGACTGATCGCGACGGCCGCCCCGTTTGTCTTTGTCTTCGCCTTCTTTACACTGTATTTTGCCTCTGGGTACGCTAAATCAACCGTAAAAATAGGTGAGTGTTTTGAAAATTTGAAAATCGCCTAAAGAAATGTATTAGCTATTTTATTTTAGGGGGATCTATTAATGTATCAATTTAGGTTTCAGAGGTTATTAATGGCTTTAGATGAATTTAGATACTACGCTAAACACGATTTTCACCAAAAGCAACAGACGAATTTCCCCAATCCCGCTAGAAGCCTCCCAAAAAAATCGTGAAAACAAGCTGCTGACCCCCCACCCCCTACCGCGCTTTTTGGGACAACAATAGAAAAAGAACGGCACGAAATAGAGAAGCACGAGCGAGTGAGAATTATAGAAAACGAAAACGCGAAAATAGGGATACGGCCCAAGCGTTGCTGGCAAGCGATAGGACAGAAAAAGTGCAAATCAATGGCCCTAGCAGACCCCCTCGATTATTTGCCTTCAAAACCTCCCCTCCACTGACACTCTGCTTGTTTATCCCAAAGTCAGCTAGTCATTGTTTTCCGGCGTTTTCGCGAATATTCATTGCGAATTCCCTCGGGGGGCAATGCAATCTTTTTACGCACATAGCTTTTAGTGATATCATCATTTTACTGTAACTGCCTACACCTGACCTCGGCATCTACCACCGGAAATTCCCAATTAGTTCGTACTCATAAATAAGCTGACGTCAAGACGCAGCACGCCGAAAATACACCCCCGTTACTGTCGAATTTTCGCCCTGCAAAATAGGTCATTTCCCCTTTTGATGTTGTAGCTATACAGGTTACTGTGAATGCCCTCTAATTGGGCAACATATAGCCGTCCTCCCCCGGAAAACAAGGTTTATGGGCACGGTTTGCAAAAAAACAAGCGTGACAGTGCCGCCCCCCGGGGGTACGCTAGTTCCATTTTTGTCGGCACTCACCCACAAAATGATCGCCGCAAATATTTCGATGAAAAACGAGAGCCGCTATTTCAGAGAGGTCCCTGCTGAACGCGTTCCACACTTTTGTGGCCTTCGCCAACACGACCCAAGGTAACGTCTATTTGTTGTTTATGTATTTGTTGACTTCTTTACAAAATTCCACTCAAAATTTCTGACAAACCGAAGTCGACACCCTTTCTCACCCAATGGGCAAATGGAAATTGACAATGGCACTTGTGTAGTGTAGCACTTTATTGAATATTTTAGGGAAATTAGGATCAAATAAAACACATTTCATAATTAATAACAGAAATTTACTTTATTATTCAATCTATTCAGTAAATTTCAAATTTAATTAGTTTTTGTTTTGATCTTTCAGTTTGTTTTAATGTTTTTTTAATTGTTTTTAAAAACATTTTTTAATTTTTTAGGGTAATGCGGATGGAAAAATATGATGCATTAATAAGGGGGAAGGAATAAACTTTTGGAATTTTAGGGTTTTGGGCTTTAACTTCCCTCTATTTTCAATTTCTTGTTTAAATTCAAGATCTAGCTCGGTTTTTATTAATTTTCCACGACAGATTTGTTTTGAAAATCCAGAAAACCCCCAAAATTGGCCATCGACTCCTGCGAGCCAAAACATTTCAGGGTTGTTAGATTCTCGCTTTGGCTCCTTAGGAAGCTAGTACGTTTCCACCAATGTCGTATCGTGTTTCGTCTCCTGTTTTATTTTCCTTTATGAGCCTAGATAACAATAATCCTCAAGAATAACCTCAATTTTAGCATGACCATTGATGCTCACCGAGTAGCCCTCATCGCTATCGGTTCCGTGTCGGTGGCCGCATTTGTAGCATGGTACTTTGGGGTAGCCCGGAGAAAGCGCCAAGCAATTTCGGTCAGTTTTACAAAGTTATTTATTTCCCACTGACTTAAAAAAACGCTATTTACGCCTTTTCAGGCAAGAAGAAAATCAGAAAGAATAGAAGAAGAACCGGAATTGGAATTGGAAGAGGTGAGAAATTCCACCGAGAAATTTTAAATGAAAGTCGATTTCAGATTCCAAATGACGTCGAAACAGAATCTGACGTAGAGCAAGAACAACCCTTGCAAGTTGTCAAAAATAAATCCGTCGAAGAAAGACAGCCGCCCGACCAGGAAGAAGAAGAGGAAGAAGATGAGAAAGTGGAAGATTCAGAAGAGGATGAAGCGGAAGTAGAACAAGAAGTAGTTGGACAAAAGCCTGCTGCAAAGCAAGCAGAACATGTACAAAATGTATTTGAAAAACCAAAATCCGCAAATCCAAGTCGACATTCATCTGTGCTCGAAGCTGAAGAAGAGGATGAAACGTTGACTATCGAAATTCCCGATAATGAGGTGGGCTGAAATTCTAAAATTGTTTTTTTTTTGCAAATCCTCGCACTCTATATATCTATTCGAGCTTCAATTCCTCTCAGGTCATTTCAATTTACGACTTATTACAAAATTTATTAGTCTATCTCGTCTGATTTATTTTAATGAGCCCAGCATTCCCGTTTCCGCGCTTCAGAACACATTCGGCGTATTTCATCGCGGGGAACATCGTTATTTGCGCCATTTTCCCTGGCGCGAATAACATAAAACGGATCGATATCGGCCGTTCGACATTTTTCTTGCGACCCCCCAATTCAGGCGCGATGTAACCTGTGTACAGTCCGTGTATCGGGCCCTGTTGACAATTTATTAAGTTTGGGGAATTAGTTTATTCAATGATTTTAAAGTTTTCGATATTTAACGATTTTGTGGACATTTCTAAGCGGTGAATTTTATTTGAAATTGATCTCAAAATGGGAAAGAAAACTCGTGATCTAGCACGAGGAGGAGAGGGGGACCTGGGCTGGTGGTGCACTTTTGAGATAAGGCCAGGGGTGGATGGACAGGTTTGGCAGGTTTCGGCTGGAATAGCCATACGATAGCCACAAGTTTTGTACAGTTTTTGAATGACTTGAGATGATTTTAGGATTTTTGGGGTTGTTCAAAGTAAAGGTCTTAGAATTTACCTAGATCTTTGTTTTTGAAGTTACCATTCGAGATCTTGGAAACATCTTAAGAAACTATCGAAAAATTAATACAATTAGTATGCTTTTAAATTAAACCACCTTAACGCCTTATCTAAATTTCTTTAAGATCTGGGAGGCCACTAATAATTTGGTATAAATTTTATCATTTTAAATTGTAGCTAGCATTGACAGCCTGGACAGACTTTTTCGAACGCTTTTAATGTTGTTCCGGATATCATAAGATAGGCTTAATTGCTATCCTCACACCTTTTCCAGCCCTTCCCAAAATTTGCCGGTATCTGTTCGGGACATCGCGCCGGAAAGGTCACTACTTCCCCCTCGCCTCCTGTTTCTTTTTCGCTTTTTCTCTTCCCCTTCTTTCCTCCTTCCCCTTTTTCCTCCCTTTCTCCTCATCCACAAAAGAAAAAAGAAGATCAGACGAATTAATGGGCGGAGCGCAAAAATTTCGAATGGAATCGCTGAAATGGAGGGGGTAGGATAGGGTAGAGGGTAGGCAATGGGCATGGGAACCCTATGCTAATGTTATTGCGCCCGTCGGCGATCCGTGGTGCCCCGTATTGACGACGGCGCGGCGCGGAATCGCGGTTTTTTTTGTGCGTTCTCCCACTCGACGATGGGGTGGGCCATCCATGAAAAAATGGGGGTCGAGCGGAAGATGTCATAAAACGATTCTTTGTTTGGTAGTGGTGGGGTGGTGGGTGTACGGTATTTGTCTGATCATTTTTGGATTGGATTTGGTCAGTTCTATGAATGGAATTAGGCCTTTTTTAGGCCACGGTTCTGCGTTAAAGTTGAAAAGCTTTTGTAAAAGTGCGCCAAATTCAGTTTAAAATCTTCTAATCTTTTCTGCCTATTTTCAGCGCCCTTTTCCGTCCAATTCCTCCATGACGTGCACATATTAATTTTTCTCGGCCCCTCTTTTTGATTTGCGCGCTTTCACCGCCTCCTAGTCATCCATAAAACATTGCTTTCACCCTGTTATATATTTAGTCGGCATCGATCACCACCGTCCCCCCATATTTCACAGTTGTTTATCGGAATTGCGAAAGGAGGCGCCTGACGGAAAGTCTAGCTAGTCTACGCCGGCTGCTTCCGTAGTTTTTCTAAGTAGATACTAGGTATCAAGGGTCTAAACAATGAAGTTTTAAAATTAAGCTTTTTTGGCTGTAATTTTCAAAGTTTTAGTTATGCATTTAAAATAGAAATATTATAACTTAGATCCAATTTTATAAAAGCTTAAAAGATCAAATATTAAAGACACTTGCACTTTCCTTTCTTTACTGCGGTTCAAACCGTCCACCTCCCCCCAATTCCCGGGCAGCTGTCCAATTTTCCGGGTTAATTTAGCAACCAACACCTGCTCATGGCCAGACACTCTCTCTCACCGTCCAGACTTTTTCTATCCCCCTCTTTGACCGCAATTTCGTGGGATCAATTTCAACCCAATTTTTTATTAACTTAATTGCCCGAATGTTTCCATTGTCGAAACTACTGACGAACCCCCAAGCGCGCCAAATTTTTATGTCGGATGTCGGAAATTTTGACGCATAGCATCTGCGGCTCTGCAAACAATCGGCTAACCCGATGGCTTTTTCACGTTATTTTGCGAGTTATCGACTAGTCGAATTGGAATTGCGTGTTTGTGGCTGGGATGGAGTGGCGGGTGTCTGTAAAACATATGGTGAGTCGCTGGGGAGTGCTTTGTTCAGTGCTAGGGTCGCTTGCACTTGGCACCTTTGGTTGGCAACTTTTAGGGGGTGTGTTTTACAGCGCTGTAGGTTTTATATCGAGTTTTTTACCTTAACTAATTCAAAATTGAAATATCTATTTACTTAATTTTGTTCTAAATTCCCAATTCTTTCACAGAACTTTGATACCTTGATTTGCGATATTCAAATCTCTATTTTTTAAGGGTTTTTCGTTCTCACCAATAGCAAAATTATGATAATGGATTGCCTTAATTTCTTCTAAAAGATTCTACAATCACTTACCAGGAAAAAAACTGTTCAAGCCTTTACAATTTTTATTTGATTTAAATCCATCATTTATTTGATAAAACCAGATACCTCAAAGCGTCCTTTAAAAAAATTCCCAGTACTTTCCGATTATTTTGAAACACCAGATTTTCTAAGTCTTCCATCCCCCACGCTTAGCCGTCATCACCCAAAATCTGGCAATGAGAAAATTTGGCTCGTTATTCGAGTCTGGGCAGCCGAAGGAGGAGAGCGACGCGAGTCTGTGAAGAGATTTAGGGGGAAGGAATAGGTGAGAGGGTGATAGACTTTTTGGGAGAGTCAGACAGTCTCTCGCGCGGAGGAGCGTCCATGGGTGCCCCGCGTATTTCCATGCCCAATCGGTCCTTTTTCCAGTCCTTCGTCGGGGCCCAATTATTTGAGATTAAGCGGTTTAAGATTTGTACAGTATTGTTTCGGAAGTTTTATTGGATTTGAAGGCGGTCCGATGGGGATTTGATGGGTTTGGAGACAGAGGGAGGAAGGGGAGATCGATCGATTGACGGGGTCGTTGCCAGACGAGACCGGCACTCGGCCGCCTGTCTTTCTTTTTCTCTTTCGGTCTCCTTTCCCCGATCATATTTGCCTATTTTTGGGCCTATCACTCCTAAAGGCGGCTACTGCTGGCGTCTCGTTCCCCAGCCCACTTCATGTAGTCTAATTAACAGGGTTCGGCGCAATTTTGGAATGTCTAGTATTTATATTCTTAATAAAATAATTTTCTATCCAAACTAATTTGTTTGTATTTACAACTGCCACAATTTTTGCTAGATTTTCTAAAGCTTAGCTTGTAGAAGAGGTTTTCTTTGCTAGCAATACGGCTATAAATAATTTTATGTAGCAACAGGATTTCTGAATTTTCCATTTTTCAGCCGTTCTACACATTAAATGGAATTTAACTGACAACCATCTGCAACCGCCTACCACCCCCATTTTATACCTCACTTTTTTTTGGGCCAGCTGCACCCGACACCTGATCGGCTTATGACGTCATTTTGGGTCTGCCAGGCCTAGGAAGCACCTCTCGAATTTCTGTGATCTTTAAAGGATGACAAATACGAAGAAAATACAATTCCTCTGCGAAAGATTACCAAAAAAGTTCATAAAAACGGATTACCTAGATTCCCATCCAAATTATCCCTGGGTTTTTCAAAGATCGCTGAAAAACTTGCCACTTTTTAGTTCCATCAAAAAGAGAAAAAATAAAGATTATACTGAATTGTTCATTTCAGACCCCTGAAAACCTCGAAAACGATCCATCAGGAGATCTTGAGGAACATATCGAATCACAAAAAATACGTCACCAATCGACAGCCCCTTCAGAAGCGGGTCATCAGGTTTGTACATCAACCCCTAACCCCTATTCAATTTTCTTCCTCTAACCCGCAAAACAAATTGGCCCTATCCCATCCTCTATCCAAAAAACCATTGCCTGCCGAAAGCATGCATAATTTTTGTTGGCCATTTTAGGAGGCGAGCCCAGCGAATCCTATTCCTTTAATGGCATATGATATCGGCTCTTGGAGCGCAGAAGTAATTAGCATGGGATGTGGGCGGATAATAGTCTGATTTTAGATGAACGCCGAAGAGCCGATGGAAAGCGACTCATCGGTTTTCTACGAGGACCGGAATAAGAACGGAACTGAGAGTTCAGATCTGCAGTCGGAGAATTCGGAGGTTTGCGACAAATTTATATAAAATATTTATATATTTTTTAGGCTTCATCAAACGACAGTGGCTGTGCAACAGGTGGTAAAGCATCAAGCCCAGCCCTTCCTAACGACGACACGATGATCCCACAGTACGAGTTCGAAATCCCGAATTCCCTTGTTGGCCTCGTCATTGGCGTCAAAGGAAAAACCATTAAGGTTTGTTTTTGTGCTACATTTAAAGCAATTTGAGTACAAAACTCGGTCTCATTCCTTGAACCAGGAAAAAACAATTCAAACGCATTTTGGTTAAGCCCCGGAAACGGATTAGAGAGCAATAATTCGGCATTTGTTTCCGATATTTGAAAGACCGCGTCCGAAAAAAATGATAAATTCAAATTTCAGGAACTCTCCCAAAGAACAAACGTCAAGATTTTAATCAGGCCTCACCATGCTCAATCAAAAGCCGACTCATTCCAAATTTGCCAGGTAGCCATCTTGAATTTTCGAAAATAGTATTTAACATTGTATTTTATCAATATATAATTTTATTCCTAGGTGCGCGGTCGTCGCGAGTTAATCAACAAATGTTTGTGTATGCTGAGACGTCGTTTCCCCCCTCATCGTTTCCCGGATTTGAATCTTCAGCCAGTGATGCCTCCACCATTGCCCCAGGGCATGATGGACCTCCCCCAGATCTCATTTGTAAGTTTCAGGATATTGTGCGTTTTGTTGTCACCGCATGCTGCAGCTCAGTTCATCGAAAAGCCAAATAACTTTCGTTCAAATTTTTTGGGGTACTGTAGCATCTCACAATTTTTTTGGCTGCTGAATTCGAAATGCTGCAATCCGGGACGGTTTGCGGCTTTATTGAATATTCAATAAACCCTTGCCATCTCTACATCTTTCCGAAAAACCGTTCCACTTTACAACTAGGGCTGAAAATCTAGAAAGAAATGAGTAAATTTTTACGTCAAAAATTTGCATGCACGTGGTTACGTTCAGTTTTGTCCCCCTCCACTTTCCTATCCACAAAAGAGAGAATATTTCCTAGTCGTTGTGTTGTCCAAAAACAACAGTTTAGCCCCCAACAATTGCTCTAGTATCCTCCAATATTGGCGCTCTGATCACAAGGGACTGGATGGGTATAAGTAAAATGACTAGCCTCCCCCCCCAAAATCGCACCCAAACTAATGTCAATTCCACTCTAGAAACGATCGAATGAACGGAATTTGGTTCAGCTGAACCTGCCGGAGGGCGTGATGACGGAAGTGGTCGTATCGTATATGAAGGATCCCAGCAATTTCTCGTTACATCAACCGACGCATCCATCTTATGCGTCGTTGACCAATTTGGATAGGTGTGTAAAACTCGATATTGAAGTTTGGTAATTTTTAATAGTTCATTCTATGGAGCGTAAAATTTGGAACAAATCAGTCTTTCAAAAACTCCACTAGCGCCTAAAACGTCTCTTTGTAAGACAATTACTAGAAGTAATCAACGAATACCATCTTCAAATTTTCAGACGGATGCTGCAGCTCTACAAGGTTGAAGATGTCCCTGAATTACCGATGCCTTGCAATTGTAAGGAATTTTATCATAATTTACCATATCCAGTACATTAAATTTCTCATTAGCATATTCCGTAAATTTAGCCGGCACCCTCTGCGTAGCACCAGTTCTGAACGCATTCTTCCGAGCAGTCGTCATCGTCTACTACCCAGATACCGATGAGGTATTTTAATATAAGCCACTTTAATGTATGCAAATCACAGGTTCTCGTCCGTTTTGCTGACTATGGTGGCCACGCCAAGTTGCCGAGGAGGACGTTGAAACAGATTAGAACGGATCTGATTGGTCTCCCACTCCAAGCAACACAATGTTATCTAGCAAATGTACAACCTGCTGATGGTACGACTTGCCACATTGAAAAATAAATTCATATCTTTAGGCACATGGCAATGGGGCGAGAAGGCTACGGAATTGTTTAAGGAGATGACGTCGGGCAAGGTATGGCAATTTTTTTAAGTTTTGAGATAAACATAAAATATTCGATTACGCTATGAATTTTATTATACGATTTAGGTGATCGAAGCCCAAGTTGTCGGCTATCACATTGACGATCGAGTACCATGCGTCGAGTTGACAGTTACATACAACGAGAAAGTGGTCCGAGTCGATCAAGTGTTGATGGAGCTGGGCTTGGCAAAGGCGTCCGACCCGTCCAAGGTTGGTATCTGGCACGCTCCCTTTAAAGGCATCGCAACCCAGCCGCTCTGCCTCTTGTCATAGGCCCTTAAAGGGGCTACGAAATGCCAAAAATTGAGTGACGGCCCCAAAATCGGAGCCCTGAACGTCGGAGGCCTCTGTACACCCCGGGGCCCGGGAAGCTCGCAAATTTGAAATAGCCTGTTGTCACCTCCTGATCGCGTTCTCGGCTGTTTCTGGGCCAAATTTGATAATTAAAACACCAAAATTATTTAAAATTGAGTGAGGATTTTAAAAAATAGGCTCAGAATGCGCCAATTATAGTGTTTTCACAAAGAAACCGGGCAAAAACAACTTCGCGCAAAAATCGAAAAAGTGAGGGCTCTCGTCCCGCAGCGCCCGCTGGCAATTTGCCAGAAATCAAAGAGGCCTCCCAAAAGGGCTTTGATTTGGCAGTTCGGAGCCCCTTTAAAATCAAACAGTGTCCAAATACCATTTTTATTTCAGATGAGTCGGTTGATCTACCGAAAACCAACCTACAGCACCCACTGAGAACCAGCGCCGGCTCCCCACAGCAGACCGTTCTCGCTTGGTTTTTGTTGATTAGAATAGTGCTTTGTTTTCTGCAAGAGGCCTCTCTATCTTGGTATTGTCCCCCCAGAGAATTTGTCCTCCAAAAGGGCCAAACTCGACCGGGCCAACCCTCCCATTTCCTCCAAAATCCAGATGGCCTCCCCAGTTACAGGTTCGTTAGTTGTGCCCCTCTTTTCTGCCGTTTCTGTTAGCCTTTTTCTGTTACTGTTGGTTAGTTTCGCTTTTCTGTCAAAAAAAAGAAATCTAGCATAAGTGTCATCGTCTTTTTTCTGCTCCCCGCGCATTAATGAAATCCCCGGAGAGTCGAGCACCCACTTGTCCTTGCCAAGTCTAGTTCTAAACGAGTCCACCGTCTTTAAAGGTATCGAAAATTAATGAGAAAATTAGAAGCTACAAAAGTTTTCGATACCTTTAATTAGATTTTCACTTTACTTTTCTTTTCACCAAATTTTATATGCCCATTCTCTGTAAAGACATCGCCCCACCCCCTAATCAATCGTGACATCATTTCTCATCAAAAATTCTTGGGAAGCTGACATTCCTGTTTTTATTTGAAGACTGGTATAGATATATCTACCTAAATCGAGGCCAACTACGGTGGTTAAATGATTTTATGCCAGTCGCTGTTTTGATTTGTTTTTCTGTAAATGAGTCTACATTTTGTCCTCTCCCTTCCCTTCCCCTTCCCCGCTTCCCCCGTTTGTAGTAAAAATGCTAAAAGCAACGTTGTCACATTTTTGCATATCGCATTTTCGCGCCTAAATGGCAACCCTTCTGACATTTCCCCAATCCTAATCCACTTTTTTTTGGTTTCGCATTCCGAGTTAGCTTTACGAGCGCTTGAAAAGCCGTTCATGGGAATAAGGGTAAATTTAATCTCTCGATAAAATTCTACCGTAACCCTTAATTTCCATCCGGCTACCCCTCCCTCCCTTTTTTGAGTCCGGGATGATGTGCCAGCTGTGGCCATTTTTGCGAATTTCCTTTGGTCTTTTCCATCTGGGTCCTTTTCTGTCCGCTCATTAGTCTATGTTTCCCGCCGATGTGCGAAGGGTTTCACTAGCATACGTAGAATTCCCTAGAAAATCTCTTCGAACATCGGCCCTGTCAGCCTCCCGTGTGCAAACATACGAATAAAACCAGCCCGAGATACCCAATTCACCTATCTTTCCTCTCTTTAACCTCCTTAAAATCTACGAGATGCATACACACCAATACATTTGCCACTTCACAGCCTCCCCCTCTTTTCTCATCCACTTTTCTCCCCCAATTTTTCCTTTTTTTCTTTTTCTTTATAGTCTTCAGTACAATAAATTTACTTTTAGACAGAGAGGAAACACAGAAGATATAAAAACAAATGCAAGAAAAGACAATAGATTGTAAATAAATGAAAGATAAATGTATAGACTTGCCGAAATTTATAGCTATGTATAAGGCAGAAGTCTGGTAAAATACGAGCGTTCCAAACGCTTGGCACGATAATCTGATGTTATGGAAAGCGGAATTGGCGGAAAGGGGTGATGCACCGCCAAACCTTGCATGTATTGACATTTTGATACGCAAAGCCAGTCGTTGTCAAAGCACATTTTTCCTAGGATTGCTCCTATAGAAACACACTCTTTTCATGCTTGATTTAGACAGTTTTTAAGGGGCAAAACGCCAACATACCCACATCCAAAATTCGGGCAGGGCAAAATTCCGGTCTAAAAGGAAGCGCTATTCTAGCTAGCCAGAAAATGTCGAGCTTACGTGATTATGGCTGGAATTCATTTAAAACAGATTGGCCCGAAAAATCCGTTTTCCGAATGATCGAACAGCGCGAGGAAACCTTAGAAAACACTAATTTGCAGCTGGTGATCCGGCCCTCCAGCGATTCCATGGCAACTCGCTGTTTTGTATGGCCTTTTTTGCGGCCGCCAAAATATAATTGAGCCTGATTGCGTGGTGGCTGCTCTTTTTTTGTTTTCCCATACAAAAATTCTGGAAATTCTTTGAAAATCTGGGCCGCAAAGTTTTAGCGGCACCTCGGTTTCAATCGTTTGTTTTGGGGAATTGTCCGGAAATGGCATTTGTTATGTCTAACGCTAGGCGGTTTACAGCTTTTGGGGGAAAACCGTTTCAAAAAAGCAATTTATGTTAGGATTTCGAGGAATTATTTATGTATGCTTCATTTAGGTTGTTCTAGTTTTAGTTCATTTCCATCAGCCGGAGCGGGAATTTCCAAAATTTTTTAAGACTACCAAAGGGAAGTCCAAGATCCACCATGCCCCCCCACAAAAAAAAATTGCAAAAAAATACTAAAAATTATTAGATTAAATTTGTGTTTGTCAGATCTCCTTGACTTTTTTCTTTTTCGTTTTCCCCGTAACTATATTTTATCTCAGCATTTTGCATTATTTCGAGCTGAAATCCAAACCCGTCAAATATTTTTCGATGCCCTATCCAATCTTGTCTGGAAATGTCTAAAAATCTGGTTAAATCTGGAAAACTAGCGTTTCAACCCCTTTATCAAAGATGACTTTTGTTCCTGCGATAGTTTTCTCGGGAAAAGCAAAGTAACCAGTACTAGAATTTTTGTATAAAGTCGACTTGAATTTAAATACAATGCTTATACATTTTTGTAGTGACACACCTACAAAATGGTGTTGCCGCCTAGCCAGCTTAAAGTCCCATCGTTTTCATTCCCCGGACACTTTCACTAGTTTTGACAGGGATACTGATTCATCTTGGTTGGACGGCAAATATTCTGAAGATAAGCAGCCTTTCATACAGCCGTCCCCCCAAAACCACGCTTCGGCAAGATAGCGATCGTGTTCGGGTCAGAATTGATCTCCTGCATGCCCTATGATTTCTGAGAAGACGACCATTTTGGAAAGATGGTCGTACGGTTATTCGTGAAAGCGGGTCTGGCGCGAATATTCAGAAGATGGGAGCGGCTGCCTTTGCTGGGACTTGTTTTTGTACTGGTATTTGCGTTAGGTGAGTCGACTTTACTTACTTTGCCGACAGCTACCCAACCAAAACGAAAAGAATCCATCCATGTGGAGCAATTTTTTCCAATACCGTAACCTTTCGATGTGTTTTGAACAATTTTGTAAAACATTGTAAAACGGTGTAAAAGGAAACATTTTAAGCGCTGTCAAATGCGCTATTTAGTAGTGCCATAATCTTATAAGGATTCTTGTAGAAGCATCTATTTTTTATACGCATACGATATTTTATACTTTGAAGCCTAGCATTCAGCAGAAAATTGTGTTCGCACTGACTATTGCAAAAAAAAAAACGTTTTTCTAGTCTTCCTCCTCTACCAAGGCCAACTCTTAAACGGTGTCCAAACATCGTCTCAATGCGAAATTGGCCAAGTCGGTGATGTGCTCTACCAGGATGTTTTACGAAATTACTCGAGGTACGTATAGTCAGTGCGGAACTCGATTTGTCATCACTTGTTATCACCTAAAAAAGCGTTAACTGCAGCCCCCTGCCCGAGTCACAGATCACGTAAGACCACCGAGCGAACATTTTGTTAGGGGTTTGCTAGTTTAGCTTTCAAATATATAAAAAATAACTCATACCTAGCCACCCAATGGATGTAAATATTTGCACAATTATTAAATAAATTTTCAGATACGTTCGTCAAGCCCCAAAACTACTCCCCAATGCAGAATTATACATTCTCATCGTTGCAAATAACCAAGATCACGCCAATCGAAAAGTGATTTTGGACACATGGGCATCTCCAAAGCATTCAAAATGGGTCAAGGTCAGTAAAATTATTAATATTCTTGAATTATCGTTATTTTCCTAATTTTTGCTATAGACGAGTAGTAATTAGTTAAGTTCTACTAATCTATGACTCATACTACTGAATGCCAGATATTTGAACCATTTATCCATGCAACTGAAGTACTACTCCTCTCTTCCGCCTCCTCCTCAGTTCCCCTATAGCCTAATTGGCATCGTTTCTGGCCAAGTTGAGATCTTGGCCAACGAGTAATTGGGTTCTAATAAGACGCTCACAGAGTTTCCGACCTCAATGGAACACATGGATACATTTAACGAAAAAGGGGACTTTCAAAAAGGCTAGAAAATTCTTTGCCATGCTTCTTTCCAAGAAACCCAATTGAAAAGTCGTTTTCAGACGGGGCGTGCACAAATAATCTTCCTCTATGGCAAAGTGAAAAAGACCAGCTCGGTGAATATGAAAGAAAATATTCTTGAGATTGATGTGGAAGAAAAATATGGGAATCTTCTATTGAAAGTAAGGGAAATAGAAGATTTACTAATTTCGGCATTCTAGGAAATCGTGGCTTACCGATGGTTGACCGAACAAACAAAAACTGGCCACGTATTAAAGGTAATTTTAAATTGTTAGAAAAATAAATGCTGGGTATAGATCGATGGTAGTGATACGGTCGTTGACGTCGATCTGCTAGCTGATATTTTAAACACTACGCGGGGAAACAAAGAAATTGCCGTCCACTGTGCTACCTGGAAATCGGTACACCCGATTAGAGATGAGTGTAATAGATGGTAGGCCATATTTTTCTGGAGCTAATAGTAAAATTATAAAGTTTAGGTACGTCCCTTATTCGGCTGTAAAAGAAGACTATTTTCCTGATTACTGTGGTGGTCCAGCATATGCAATGTCCGTCGGAACTCTATCAAAAATTGTTCAACAGGCCTATAACCATAAAGTTTGTAATTAGGCAGAAAATTTATGAAATTCTAGCCGATCGTTGTGGAGGATGCGTTCTTTACTGGGATTCTAGCAAAACAAGGTAGTTCTTAAAATCGCGTTCATAAAGATTAATTTAGCGGGTGTTGCGTTGAAAGATCAAGCCGAAATCTTTTCTTCTCATGGTTGTCTTGTACACTTCTATCATAAAATTGGGTATTGGCTAGTTGGTGCCGACTTGTCTAAGGTGAGAGCGGCAGATCCTGATAATCTAAACTTTCAAATTCAGGACCATAGACTCACTTGCAATAGCGCTGGCAAAAAAATTACCGCCGTCATAAATTCACACAATTGCAAGGTAGGTGTAGTAACGAAAGTCATTAAAACAATATTTAGAACAAAACGCTCAGCTATCTATGGAACGTATTGAAAACCGGTGAATGTGATGAATATCTGTGATCTCATTAGTAACATCCTGGATGGGTTACGGCTGATGCGGTCGGCGGCATGATGAAGATGGAAAAAGAGGACTTCGTGGAGTGAAAAAATAGTGTCTTGCCAAAAAACCACTCTTTTCCATAAAAGCCCAGAAGAATGCCGTTAAATGTTTCAAATTGCGTTGATCTCAATTGACTTGCTTGTGAGTGCAGGTCATCTGAATAAAGATTTAAAAGACAATCATCTATCAAAAGACCACACAAAAATCCGAACCTTCCTGGCAGCTGGATTAGACGATGTGAGCTGTTCTAGAGGTGAGAGACGGCCGGTGTGATATTAAGCCCCCCAGGGATCAGCCGCAAATTACCGGAAATCCTGGTGGTTGTCCACGTAATAAGCTGTCCGTTGGGCTCTTTGGTAGCAACCTTTCTGATTTTGAGCAGGTTGCAATCTGGGCTCTGCTTTTTTACTTATATTTAACCAGCGCCCAAAACCCGTTTCGCCGGCCTTGGACGCTGGAATTGGGCCTTTGCATGAAAAACTTCACTATCTGGTTCCTGCGGACCCGCTTCCCCTCACCGACCACACACGCGCGTGCAAATTGCAAGAATAGGAAATTTGCCTTTTTTCACATTATACAAATTAGTCCCCACCAACCCCAAAAATGAATAAAACCGGCGGTAACTTTGTAAACTTGTATTTTATCGGAATTCTGAAAACGCCATCGGAAAGAAGATGGTCTATTAGCCCAAGTGACGGAAAATCAGGGCATCTTAGGCACAGGAAGGCCCTCAAATCGGGCCTCGAAAGGCTAAGCCTAAGCCTAAGCCTAAGCCTAAGCCTAAGCCTAAGCCTAAGCCTAAGCCTAAGCCTATGCCTAAGCCTAAGCCTAAGCCTAAGCCTAAGCCTAAGGCTAAGCCTAAGCCTAAGCCTAAGCCTAAGCCTAAGCCTAAGCCTAAGCCTAAGCCTAAGCCTAAGCCTAAGCCTAAGCCTAAGCCTAAGCTTAAGCCTAAGGCTAAGCCTAAGCCTAAGCCTAAGCCTAAGCCTAAGCCTAAGCCTAAGCCTAAGCCTAAGCCTAAGCCTAAGCCTAAGCCTAAGCCTAAGCCTAAGCCTAAGCCTAAGGCTAAGCTAAGCCTAAGCCTAAGCCTAAGGCTAAGCCTAAGCCTAAGCCTAAGCCTAAGCCTAAGCCTAAGCCTAAGCCTAAGCCTAAGCCTAAGCCTAAGCCTAAGCCTAAGCCTAAGCCTAAGCCTAAGCCTAAGCCTAAGCCTAAGCCACACACCAAGAGGAATACACCCCTAAATTATATATGGTAGGATATTTTCTCTACTACAACCAATTTTCTTGACCTACGCTATTCCCCCAAGATTCTCAGTACTTGCGAAAACTTGTCATAAGCTCGTGAAATTATGAGGAAACAAGGAAAAATAATTAACATCTGGCACTTGGGAAACCTACGGGGTTAAATCATTTCTACGAAACGTCCATGTATACCATATGCAGATCCAGCCCGGGCCCCCCATTTCGTAAACACCATTCCCACCTCGCTGCCTTTTTCCTGTGCAGTAGAAAGGCGCGACCGTCTGACCATCCTCTCAGAAAATCAGCTCCCAATCCATGGCTCATTTTCAATCTGGAGTCATCTTCTGGTCTACTGTCCCAAAGTCTGTAGCTTTCAGTTATTTAAGGCAATGGTTTCTTTTCCTCATTTCCACCCACCAAATTGTACTTCAAAGTGCCTCATATAAAATTCTAAATTCTCCCACCCCTGCGTCCCCGCGGGGTGATTGGACCAATCGATTCCAAGGGGGTAAATTTTATTCTGGTCCAAGCATTGACGGGATTGAATGATTGAACAACCGGCAAAGCTGAAATAGTCCCTTGGTGAAAACATCGACCTAAGATGATCACCCCAATTACTCTCCACACTCATTATCTTTTGCGTCGATTCACCCATTTCATTCGCTAACAAGGAGATCGTCTCAGCTTGACATCGAATTTCAATTTACAGAAGCTGGGACCAACTCCATCTCGACCTTACACGAAGTCGGTGAAACTGGTTCGAATTTACAAAAAGCTCACAGCTCCAGGGGGTATGGAATTATTTTGGCCGTAGATAGGATGGATCAAGTTCAGCCAGAGCTACAAGGCAACAACCCCTTTGTTTTAAGTTCAATTTTCTTTAAAGAGTCGCTATAGATTACGTAGCTGCAAAAATAGCAGAACTCACTTAGGTGAATTGATCACAGCTTCTCGCGCACGAAACCCATGGCGAAAATTTTAGCCCGCAGGGCGATGATCAGATTTTTAGTCCTGTCTAAGCGGATACTTTAAGGATACGACAATACGGATTTCTGACTGATCTCCTTGGTTGTGAATGACCATGCTTGGTACCTTCTTAAGGACAAAAACTATGCGAGGGCTGTCTCCTTGATAGACATAATATCGGATTTTCGTTTTCTCTAGATTTCCTGACTAATTTTACACTTCCGATGTTTCATTAGGTGTATACAATATACTGATGAATCTCAATGAAGCACCGTGAGTGCGTAGGATTCTATTAGTGCCTCTCTGGTTCTGTCTCCACAAGGCTAACGGCACCCACGCGGTCCCTAAGCATTGCCAGACTTACTAAAGTATAGCTTTATTTCAATACTGACTCACTCTGCTTTCAACCGTCCCCCATCCGATGTTACTCGTGGCAATGTTGTGTCTGCCTCCAATCACATGTTTTTGCGCGACCCGAAGGGCCCTTGGCCGTCCATATCTTGCCTAGGATCAGGGCTCATAAACATCGAACCACCCTCACCCAAAGGCTTCAGTTTTACAATTCATTTCGCGAACCTCAAACACCTCTGTCTTGACACCTCCTGTCTTACATTGTTTACATAATTTATCGATTTTTCTGACCACTGACCCTTTTATGGAGAATGAGTAATCATTCTCTCTTTCCAGCGGGATCCGCAGCTGCTTGTCCCGCGCCATAATTTTATCCAGAATATTTTTTTTCTGGGATCTTTTTCTAAATTAAGGAATTTTCCTGGAACATTATCGTTCTCTCATTTTATTAGAGAGTTATTATTTATTACCTTAGGGAGAATAAGCAACAATGCCCCCGGCCGTTATGACATTCCGTTGCTACGAATCGCCAAACTTTGGCGTCCCGAGGGATTTCACCCGCGGTTTCGAAGAGTGTTATACTGAGGTTGGCAGCTATAATTAAAACTGTATTCATCGATTTTTCGGGTAGGCATCTAAATTTAGATAAGGCCTCATTCTGACGCTAGCTATATCCGAATTCCGAGGGACTACCTTTTGGATAAGATGCTCATCCTCTCAAGCGTTCTGCCTTATGAGGCACCGTGTGCGGGTGTGACTTGGAGCATCAAACAATTTGGATCGGTTGGTTTAAAGGGAGGGCGACAGGTTTTTGGGTTTAGGTAAAGATTGACTTCTCATTGCCGAATGCTGTGCGAAAAGCGCTCCACGAAGGGCTTGTGAAGGAATATGTGGTGATGATGGAGTAGGAAAATCCAAAAACCGAGAATTTTTCCGTTCTAGATTTAATCAATGCAATCTGGGGCCTGCAGCGACACCACCTGAAACGCTTCTTACACTCAATAACATCGATCATGCGGCCGTGGTTTGCAGGCTAAAAAATCCTAATTTATTTTTTAGGCTCCTGGTATCTATGACCTAACCGTCGTCCTGCAGGTTGAATTTTTCGACGCTTTTGATTGTTTTTTTTAGCGCGCTATCCGTCAGAGTCAAGCCAATGAACATCGTTTGACCATCGATTATCTACTGAGCGAAACCAAATACGAATTCAAGCTGGCTTTGGTAAACTAGGCATTAATTACGGCAAAACAGAAGCTATAGTACAAAGCTGAGCGGCCGGAGCGCTGGCAGTGGCCCGGGATCAATCTCAACGAGTTCCGCATCACTAACCTGCCACGCGGCTACGAGTACATGGTAGGATTTTCCCTAATCGTCAGTTCATTTAATGTCTTAGGATTGGCATTTCGAGCTTGACTACGCATTCTCGGATGAAAACAAGATCCTAGTGGATCTGATGTGTCCGGTGAGGCCGCCAATTTCGAGCCCTAATTTTTTGTTATTGCTAGCTATCGGATGATCGTGTTATGCTACCGGGTCGTGGGATTCAATGTCGTCATTTGGAAGTGTTCGACGTTCACTATTACGTCTACAATTCGCGGTTGACCCAGAACTGGGTGTGCCCAATTCCTGGTTGCAACCGGGAGGTTCGATTCTTTGAGCTTCGTGTGGATCGGTTAGTTGCTTAATCCTACTATATATAAAAAATAGTGTCTGTGTGTGTGTGTGTATATTTGCATGCACTTCCGTTTGGATGTTCCGCACCTACAGCTTCAGGGAAGCATTTTTTCGATAGGGAAGCAACGTCATAGGGTAAAGAAGGGGCCGGAATCGACTGCACACACAAAAAAAGTTTTGAAAAACTTCGATTTTCGCTATTAAAATTAGGTTTTTGTAAAAATCTTGGCTTCCCTCTTTGTTAGGAAGCAATTAGCATACCGCGGAAGTGGAAATGGTTTATAAAAGGGAAGAGGGGGCGCGCCTTTCATTTTTTGGTGAGCTGTTTTCGGCAAGAATTATGCAAAGTCAATAACTTCATCGATCCTAGACGGGGCCAGGGTTGAAAAGCCGCGAAGCGGTTTTTCAACCCTGGTGCAATTACTAAAAAAGACATTCAGTTTGTTCGAAGAGATTATTCATGGGCTGCTTGATGAGGAAATCCCGGCCACGATTATCGAATTTGGAGCTGACATGACATGGAAGTATATTGTGAGCGACATCTGGGGGCAGGCTATAATGTTTTTTGTCTCGCCTAAAAGTAGCCTTGGGATTTTTGAACACGTCTGCGTGCCTCTCATGCTCTCATTAGTGCACTTGGATGCTGATAAAGGTTGTTTGCCGCTCAAAATCAACCAAATCTGGCAAAAGTGCCTCCACATCGGGCCGGGCCACCATTGATGATGGACCACCAAGCATTTTAGAAGCCCGATCCATCCACTGTAAGCGCCGCGAACAACATGAAGGGCAATAAGCGGATGCGAAAGCACGACACTGATCCGGCGTTGTCCATCACCACCAAGCAGCCGATGAGAAAGCTTTCCGGGGTTTCTTATGTCTAAATCGACCCCTTCTAAAGCTCTTGCTATACTAGAAAATCTATTAGATGATCAACCACGAATCACCGTATTCACTTGGCCTCCGGTGTATCCTTTTAACGTCCTTACAAACTATTTCCTTCTCATTGCTGTGCCTTTAACCTGGCGTGCCTTTCAGACTCTACTACGGTATGTAGCTTTCCAATTAATATCATGCCTTTTACGGTCTATTTCGATGCATCCACCTGCCAATATTGCCCGAGCTGCAATACCCCGTGCCTAAATATTGTTTAATACTGCCCTTTCTATCATGAAACATGCCACTTTTTGAAGGTTGTGCACTCTTTACGGTTTTCAAGTTAGCTGTTATTATTTCGGTTTCCAGTCTTCCGTAATTCTTGTTTCCCGTCGTATTAGCACCACTGCTGGTCCTACATGTGTTATAGTAATGAATAAATAATTAACACATGAAAGGAGGCAGACATTTTACTTTTTAGTAGTTGTTTTGTATTTATTCACTGCTTCTTTCGCAGTTTGAAAAATGAGCTATGGACATTTGGAGCTAATAATAAAAAAAAACCAGCAGCGTTTTCGGGTTCTATATCTAAATTTTGACCCGTTCGCCCAAAAAAAAACCGGCCGAACTCGTTTTGTCATCAAGCGGCCATCGTAAAATGAGTTGGTTTTTAAGCGGTCCGGTGTGTTGGGTAGTAGGGATGAGGGGGTTGGTGGGGGGTGAAAGTGCCGAGGGGGGGATTTTGTGTTTCGGAGAGCTTGCTGCCTCTACCTCTCCGAATATATGCAGTGACCAACGGGGGGGTGGACGGGTCGAATAATTGCACGGAGCACCAGCTAGCCCAGTCGAGCCCACCTTTTCACAAAGCCGTGGTGGGCGCTTCCTCTCACACACATACATACACGCCCACTCCTACCAAGTAGAGGTAGGTGGAGGGGTTGGGCACCAATGCAGGGCTTTGGTTGCCAGCTTATGATGCGTATTTCGCATAAATATAGTTTTATTAAATTACCGTATTTCCTATTGCCTAGGACACCGTCTAATATATCACTAAATGCTTCTAGATGTTTTTTTTTGTCAAAATTGTAATTGACAATTACAAATTGCGATAACTGCTTCCGTTTTTGCGCAAGCGGGGACCTGAACCTTTATACTTCTTGTAATGGCTGGGAATCAAAAAAAAAGATCAGATTAGATCTGAGACCTTAGAAAATGAAAACCTTAGAAACTGGACTCGCCTTTCCGAGACCTTTCGATACATACCTAAATCGTAAAAATCGGACAGGTCTGCGGCCGGCTAGAAGGGGGGGTTTTTTGGGACACCCTGTAAATGCGGCTGCTTCTGGGTGATGAAAAAGCAGAACCCCCGGGCTGGCCGGAAAAACTACGCCACTTCTTGATTCGAATTATATTTTGATTTGCATATTACCAGTTGAGGCCAAAAATAATTAAAATTGATGTGACCTGCTCTTTAGAATGTATTTTGGATTTTTCTACAAAATCTTTCGCGTAATTCAAGCTACCGTTGTCCCAAAACTTTTTTAAGGGTTATGTACATGGATCGACCACCACACGTTTCGTTTTACGATGGCCCTTACAATAACCCTGTCTCAGGTAAGTTTTTTAAACTAGACTGAAATTTGAATGGAAGCATTCTTTTACCATTATCCATCTCCCTCTCTCCCTCTCTCTCCCTATCTCTCGCTCTCTCTCTCTTTCTTTTTCTCGCTTCTACACCATTATCACCCGTAAATTTCCATTTATGAAATCCTCCATACACCTCGATACCCTTTACAATCAACGGTCTGTCAGCTACTGAATAGCCTAGCTGTTCAGCGTGCCCCCGATGAATGATAGAGCCATAAATTGGAGGGATGAACGGAGTAGAAGGGGTGGGAAAGGAGGGGGATGGATGTCACGTTTGATATGCAGATCAGATCGTAGTCAAGGCCGGCCTCGCGGCTGTCAGCTCGTCCATTCAGATCGGATCCATGTCTTTGATCCCTGACTTGAGACATTCCATTTTTGGTCATGGGTGGTAGTAGCATATTAGGTACCTGACCTCTCTGCCTTGTTAGCTCCTTTAAAGTTTGTCACCAGATTAATACTATTAGATATGTTATAGCCCTACCTCTGAGAAACATTTAACATGAAATGATATCCATTATGATTATTGTGCGTCCATTGAACCCAGGCTGTCCCTAGTAATCTACCGGATTATACCAACCGGATTAACGCACCCTGACCGTTAATGACCCCTTACGCGTTCGTGCCACCCGGCTGAATTTTCAAAAGCTAGGTTGGGACATCGGAACGGAATTATTTATCAGACTGTTTATATAAAAAAATAGGGTTTTTGTGTGCATTAATATTGCCACTTACTTGACTTTGTTCCGCACCTAAAGGCAAATCTCGTGTTTTATCACGGTGGAGAAACACCTAGGTTTAGAATAGACCGGAATTCACGGCCGAAATATCAGATGTTTATGAAAAAACGCTGTATTATGAAAACTAGGCTTTTTGATAGAAATCATCGGCCTTTTCCATTGCCAGGAAGCATGATATCATGGTGGCATAACTACGAAACAATCAATTCATGGTTGGATTGAAGAATTTATTAGATATTTTAAGGCGTGGACCGGGGCCAGGCGGTAAATTCACTCGATCTCCTCACCTTTAAAAACCCCATAAACAATCTGTACTACACTTCCTCCCAAAACTTCTAAGCTACCCCCAATTTACCTTAATAAATCTGAGCTTTGCGGCACCGGATGCCAGCTTCTCCCACCTCCCCCTACCGCGCCCATAAGTCAGTTCCCCCCGAGCGCGCGGGGCATTTTGTGGTCATTTATGTGGTGGAAGCAATCAAGTCCGAGTGGCTATGTGTGTATGGCTTTGGTTGGAGTTAGTGTATGAGAGGGAGAAAGAGAGAGAAGCATTGGTGCGTGGCCCGGAGGGTTGGACTGGTCTATTCCACCTCAACATCCCACCTCTAATTGCACCCCATAGTCCGGCCCGTTCACCTATGCTATGGGCAATGGTGCCCCCCTTCGACCCTTCAACTAACCCCGCAAAAGGGGCTTCAAAATTTGAAAAGCTGAGGGGCTGGACTGGGGAGCTATGGGAAAATTTTTTGGTGGTTTGGAAAAACGGTATGGGCCCTTTAGGATTCGCGGGCGAACCAATTTTTTTCCCTGGCGGTCCCGGTTGGCCTAGTAATCAAACATAAATTGTTTTTACATTGTTTTTAGTTTGTTTTAGCTATATTTAAAGCAGAAAACTTCCAAAAAGTTAGAAAAATCTTTGAAAACGTCGAAAATTTGGTCGTTTTTGTCGAAAAAAATAAGATTTTCTACCTAAAATTCGGGTTTTAATCGAATTTTTAAAGTTTTTATGTTTAGGAATAATCAAAAAATGTAGAAACTCACCGGTTATTTATAAAAAAATTTGATTTGCACCGAAAAAAGTAGCCTCCCCCCCGCGAATTCTCAGCAACCACGGTATGAATCTGAGGATTTCTCTAAAGTACGTACCGACAAAGAATAGACAAATCAGAACCTTGATGGACAAAATGTCAAATTAACGGGATCTCGCTGAAGTTTTAATATGATTAAAACCATAAAATCATGCATATGTATCCTGTAATTTCCCAAATTTTGTTTTTTAATCCGACCAGGACCCGCTAGCACTGAAAAAATCAGCGACTTGGATCGTTCGAAATTCTGTCACCCCAGCTTCCAACCTGTATTCAGACAATTTCAGGTTTTTACTGCATCTTGATCTCCACGCACCGCTTATCATCCCCTCTGCCCCATATATAATATGCCATAACTTTCACTATCCGGAAACGGGCACCGGTTACGGGCGAACAACCATTCAACAGAATAGCCCCCCCCAGGGGTACACGAGGCGATGCAATACTTGTTTCGAGTGGTGCTCACCGTTGCGACCACTTCCACCCCTCCTCCCCTCTTCTCTTTTCAACCACTGAACCATACCGATTTTGCCCCCGGGGCTATCGATTCATAATCCCTCACCGTTCATTTTGCCAGTCATAGAAATTCCAAAACCCGAAATATCCCCTGCATCCGAAAATCAGCCCTGCAATCTCACCCTATCAAAAACGCCACATCAAATGCCCACATAAACCAACGATGACGAAAGGCGAAAAGCCGCATAATGAGTGGATTCCCTAGCTGCGCACCGGTGTCCCGCAGCGCATATTCCTGATATGTGTATATTGGAAGAGACTGGAACCGGGGGATCTTCCAGGTCTCGGAATGCGAATCAACCCCGAAATCTTGTCCCTCTCGCCAAGGGGCATCCACGCTACCCCCTTTCTCAGATCCGATCTGTTGCAAGCCGGCTCGTTCTCAGCTGACGCTCTCCGCATTTCGCAATTTTATTGATGCTGGTTTTAGAATGGGCGTTTAGTTTACAAAATTTTTCGATCTCCTGGATGAGTCTGGCAAGCGGTATTGATAGCTTCTTTGGATTGGTTTTCAAAATGCGTCAGCGTCTTCTCCTTCGCTTGTGTGCCTTTCCAAGCCCTTTAAAATGCAGACGATTTTCCCCGTGCTACATCACGAGAGGCGATCGACCTTGATTTGGCACTTAACCCTCTTTCCGCTGGCTTCTCCAGCCACTTCTGTTGATGTTTGGCAATTACAAACGTTTCAACTAAAAGACTTGATGTAGTTTTTTTTTAATTTCCAAAAGCTCTTTGTGGTTTATATGCTACTTAAATCTATCCGGGGCGCATCATACCAAATTCAATCTTCTGGAAACCTTTCCAGGAATCGTGAATGACCTTATGGCGGATGTAGGTGAGGGGCTGGAAACGTCGTGTTTATCGATAGGCTGTATCCCCATTACACGATCCATTGAACAATCGTCCTCCTTGTCCGGTTGCCCTCCTCCTTCCTTTTTACCCCTAGGGTGGCCCACTTTCTGTCGGAATCTTCCACGTTTTAAACCGACATTTCGAGGCGACCGGTGTTCCGTTAACTTCATAGAATATTAAAAATATTAACGTATTTTTCATCTTTTTTTCTACTGGTTAATCCAATAGCCACCCATTTTCACACACGAACTCACCGCCCATTCACCCGCGGCTCTTTTTTCCAGAGTAATTTTAGCCGGTCGGGGTGCGAAATAGGGAGTGAGGATGAGAGTGGAGGGGCTGTTTACTAGAGAGACATTGAATATGCACAAAAGGATACGAGAACGACCCGGGGAGTGACACTCCTCCCAAATTCAACCCTTCCATTCAATCGATCTCAACTAGCTCGAAGTATTCTGGGTTTATTTGGGAGAAACATTTGATGCATTCCGTGGGATGAGGAGGAGTTATCGGCTTGTACCGCAGTATGTTAGAGATGGTAAGACTTTTCGCGCCTTGAATTTAGAGCATTATCAAAATGGATTTAAATTGTTTTGACGCTTATTCCACAAATCCCTAAAATCCTTCCCTCGTCCTCCTCTTTGTTGATTTGAGACCGAGTGAGAGAGTGTGAGAAAACGACCAGGTAGGGGAATGCCAAGGCATTTCCCCCGTCTTTTGCCTGACAGTCACTGCCTCCCTCAACCATCTCTTTTTCCTTCCACCAACCTCTGTTATTCAGCCCCATGGGATGGGGGCTTTTTATTTCAAGGTCTTCGCCATCCAACACCATCCCCTGCTACCCCCCTACCACCACCGACTGACGCCACATACCCTCAAACCCTATGAAAACAGTGGTGCACCATTTTGAATTGGCGTCTATGGTGTTTTGCTTGTTCGTTTAATTCTCATAATTCTTCTAGTGTAACCATATTTTGGTTCAGTGCCATTGAGTTACTTTAAGCTTGAGAAGATGCAAAAATCCCCGTGTTTACTTCTCATTAAAATTTTGTGTTTTAGGCATTCTCGATGGCTAGAAATCGAAAACAAATAAACAAAAAACAAAACAACAGGAGCCGTCCATCTAATAGAAACCCTTTCGTTTACGATATAATATCTACCTCGAAAAATTCCTTCATTTACCTCTGCCTCAACTCGAATTTAATTCATCACACCCCCTTAGATTTCTCAGAACTGCCGGAAACCTTCAAAAGTTTTTCAGTCTTTTACCACAATGTAAAAACTGCAGAATTGTTCTATATTTTTTAATTACACACGAACCGTATTTTTTAGGCGTCATGGAGCCAGGAGGGCCTCGACGCTCCGTCGAACAGTTTGAAATCATCGAGCACCAGGTGACCGAGGAAAGAAGACCTGCAGGTGGGTTCAGATAAAATTCCCTACGCATATCAATACAATTCCTCTCCTCGATGCTTATTGTTTTCCCCAGTCATTTTCTCGCTGAGAACCACCTCAACCCACTTCGAGCACGACCGATCTCTGCCCCGAGAACTGGTTTCATGACTCAAACGCAATCTGCAATTTCTCTCTCCCTCTCTCTCTCTCTCTCACTTTTTCTCATATCATCCTTGCAAAGTGGTACTTCCCTATTTCAGGCTCTTCCCTACCATACACGTCGGTGAGAAAAACAACAGAATCCTTTGAAAGGCAGGGAGATGAAATCCTAAATCGCAGATATGAAGTCACAGAAGAAAAAGACCTACCCGGAAGGTTCGGTTTTTATCATTATCCTAAGATTCCCCGCAAAAATCGACCAATCCCTTGAATTTTACGATCACCTTGGCACTTCTCCAACTGTTTATCCCGAAAGAACCGTCCCCCCGCCCTACTCGTAAAAAGGCATCCAATTTATCGGACCGCTGGATCTTCCCCTACTGAGCGGTTCCCCCAGCAAGTGGGAAATCTAGGCGGCATTCGGTTTTCAAATAAAATGGAGGATGAGGCAAAGCATTGAAAAGTTGCAGAGATGCTAAATATGCAGTTTTTCTAGATACGACTACACCGGTGAACGGGATGTTAGTCGAGAACCGTCCTTTTTGCATAATTCCGCAAGTGAGTGAAGATTTGGATATTCTAGTATATTATTCGGTACATGCAACATTAACGCATACAGAATCCTCACTTTCAAAATATTTTAGATTACGGCCAACAAATTGAATATTCCCCACAGAGGCATCAATTTTCCTCCTCTTCCGCGGTTAATAATTACGGATACGATATTCATGAAGTTCATACTTCCGGTAATTTAGTTTCGCAAAGTTTAAGTATATTATTTTTGGCAATATCCGTTTTTTTTACAGAAGGTGGTGCTCGGATCGTGGAAACCCACGGAGGTGGTCCACTGGCTAACGAAACCCCAACAAGCAGACCCGGAATTTCTTCGGCATTAAGGTATTTTGATTGTCGAAATATAGGCAAAAAATAATTTAGGTCTGGGTCATCATTGCGATCGAGTGGTGGCGTTTTTACCGTTCCGTCACCTCCGCTAGCAAAAGCCGAATCATGGCGGCATGACTCGAGCACGGATCATGAGTAAGATATTTTGAAAATATCTATATCTTAAAAAATAAACAGACGCATTAGGTTTAAACGGATTTGACAGCTAAACCCCGCTTTGGAAGGCGGTAAATGGGTAAATGATTTACACCCCAACAGGCCAACTAGTGAATGCGAGGAAAAGGAAAAGAATGATTGTAATTCCCCTATTAAAATCCAAATATACATGTTTTGCATATGCCTAGTTATGTATGTGAATGGTGGAACGTTGGCTGAGGCTGCTCGAACCCCACCCCCTGCTAGAGCAAATATCGTAAAGTGGAAAGTGTCCCATCGTGCTCAAAAGGCCACACCGTACATCCAAGAACTATCGATTTCACCCCTCATTCTCCCCACAACATCAATGAGCCGGATCACAACCGGTCCTAATCGATATCCCCACGCCAAGCCCATTCTCTACGAAACACCCAGTAGCTTTCAATATTCGTTTAGCGATACAGAGACTGTACTTGATGCAGGGCCACATAGGTAAGGGATTGGGGTGGTTGAATATTTTATAATACCTGTAGCTAATAGACAATTAAAAATTGCAACAATTAAACAAGAATTATAGATCCTTTGTCCGAAAAGACAGCTACAAACGTATGCAACAGACGCAAGACCACCAAGCCGCCAATACCGTAATTGCCCCCATTGAAAGCAGTCGGGTATATCAGGTAGAAGAACTTTCCATTAATGCGCCGTTCTTAGACCAAAAAAGATTATTTATTTGTTAATAATTTTTTTTAGCCTCGCTCCCAATCAACCCTTGTCTCAAATTCCCCAAGAGGCAAAAGACAAACTAGAGGAGAGGTGCGGAATCTTCAACAGTCATTCATATTCCAAATTTTAGAGCTGCTGGTCCCGAACAAAAAGCTTCATCGATAATCTACGATGGGCATTCAAGTAATTCATCACTTGAACGTTCATTTGAGTGTTTTTAGGCAAGCGGACAAAGACAACCGATTCTGGGCAAACATTTTCTGCATCTTGCTTATGCTGCTGCTAGTATTGTTGCTTTTTGGAATCATGATTGCCGCACTTTTCAGAAGATATTCGGTAGTATAATTATGAAGACCTTAATTTATGTCTGCTATTCTAGGTTCGAGAATTCCTACTCTATCCTCCGGTTTGCGAAGAATGTCGTCGAAAAAATCCAGGCTTGGTCTCGGCCCAAATGCCTTCTTCCGGTTTGCACAAAATTTATTCTCAAAACGGTGCTTTTACAGTATTTGTGCATCATTATTCCTCCGAACAGGCTCATTTTGAGTTACGAGGGAATCTTCCATTCCGAAGCAATTCATTTACGGCGGTGGATTTCCATACGGTATTCATCTTGCCAAAAATCAATAAGGTTATGTTAGGGCTACGTTGCCATTGCCGATCATGCTTTGACAGATTCTAATGGACGGCATACCACTTGCTTTTTGATGCCACTGGATAGGTAAGTGTGCTGCGCCTTGCGTTTCAATTCTAAATTTTATACTTCTAATCGGCACAAATGACAGCCAACTTTCAAAACGAATTAGATTTGATTTTTAGCAATGCCATTCCGAGCATGGATTCACTAATGGAAGCGCTGGACCAATCCGATTATGAGGTAGCTGGAAATCCTTTTCCGAAACTTTGCATTTTTAGATCCAATCGAATTTTGGTTGGCAAGAGTACTGGCAATTCGAGCCTGAAGAAATCGACTATTCGTCTGTCCGAATGAAATTTAGTGAACAGGTCAAGGATTGTGAAAATGCCAAGTGGTACCTTCTGAAGCAGACTGTCCATCCCAGAGGTGTGTTTTTCAACATATGAATACGAGCAAAATGAATTTTAGATGGTTCATGCTCGGATTGCTATGATTTCTGTCTTCCTGATTATGCTGTTGTGCGGAAGATTAAGTATGAGGGTAAGTAATAAATTTAGATTGTACAGTCAATCAAAACGTCAATGAAAGTTATAAAAACGTCTATTTCTAGATGAATCAGCTCTCGGTATCCGGAGATTGAACTGTTTCCGGTTGTATGTACCGGAATGGGGTAGCCATTCACCACAGGTTAGTTAGCAACGGAAATTTATTATCTTTCAAAGACCTACAAAACAAAACACAAAGTTGAGAATGAGAATATGTTACGAATTCTATAAAAACCGTTTTAGAGCGATCAATGGGGTGGCCACTGGCAATATCCACTTCATTCCGTCAACACCAGAAGAGACTCCGATTTTGAATGGCAAAACTGGTCTCCAGTCGGGAATCATCGAATGACACAAGTTCGTGCTCGTCAAGATGGACAACCCTTCGGACAACAACAACAAAACAACAATTTCTAAGCTTCACACTGCTTCACCCGAAACTATTTCCAACCTGAATTATGACCGAAGATCAAGAGATTTCTAGACCAGTTGAGCACAAAAATTCCTGATCCTTTTGCTCCTTAAGCTCGGTCTTTGTTCTTGTTGTTCTGGATTGTAGCCCAAGCACATTGTAAAAATGACAAATCCCGGATATCCTCCAGCCGTGCCTCCTATTTTTCATCTACACCCCCTGGCACCGAGTAAAACTAACAACGAAATCCCGAAAAATCCCGTGACCCCCCCCGAGGCTTTTGTCACTAATACCTACACCCTGCGGATCCCATATAAGCGCCTTCTCCCTATATGCCCCGGTCATTTTGCCTTCACTTTCTTCGATTTTCAGCAACCAATTTTCCATATTTTATCTATTTCGCAGCATTTCTTTATTTTGAATCCCAATCTCTGGAAAACCTTTCCAAGACAACCCCTTCCATACTTTATTATACCCGCGATTTTCACTTTGATAACCTTTCATATTTTCCTACTGCCAGGTCCTGAAAGTGCGTCTTTTACCCCCAATTTTTGCTCATTTTTGGATACTTGTGGTGTTAATAAAGGTGAACTAATGATTTGTATGGTTATTAGAGCACGCGAGATCTATGGTAGTCTCAATGGATTCGATGCGGGAGCGCGATGAAGAAAACATGCCAAATGCGGCGTTTCGGGCTGATATTGTCGAGAAACTGTTAGTTTTAGCACTTGTATAGACTCGGGAGATCTGTAAATTAGATAAAATAGAGCAGTCTTTCGTTTCTGTCTGGAGATCTGCTTTCGATGAATAACAAAATCAGAAATCAAATTGATGTAAAGGTTGATATAGTTAGTTAATTTTGCTAATTAATTGAAAACAACCTTTATATCACGAAGTCTAAGTACGGAAATCCGGGATTTGCTCGTTTGGCAACTTAAATAATTCTAAAAATCCTAGAAAATGTAGGCTTCCATCGTATAAATATATCCCTATTAAATTATAGCCAGCCCGGCTTCGCTAGAGCGACGACCGAGCGTGGCCGCCTCGGCTTCCAGAGTGCCGTACAAATGGAAGAGTTCATCTTCCAACGTACTGGCAGCCGTGAGGAATACTTCCGCGTCGTCGTCAAAGTATCCGATTTATTTTAGGCTTATTAAAATTAACCGTGTTTAGCTGATCAACGCGATGACCCAGGCCCGTATGTTCTAGGGGATCATGCAGTGCTGGAGGGAACAAGAATTCATCTGTTGATGTTATGCATAATAAATTATATAAAAGGCCAAACAGTACATCATAAATAATACTTAAATCAAAGAATGGCATTGAAAATAGACGCATTTTACGTTTTTTTTACGGGGAAAAAACTATGCATTTGTTCTTCGATCCACATTGCCGGATTACAAATTGCAGAGTCTCACGTGGAACAGTCGTCGCTTGACCGACCAAGTTCTTAGTCATCAGCTAGGAAGCGATTTTTGCGCAAAAATAAGCCACACAAGCCCTTGATATTTACGGCCTCCCTGTCAACGAAACGGGAGAATTCTTCGAAAAAAGCGATTGCTGCTGCCCGGAGAAGGGTTCGATACGTATTATCAAAGATTGTGCAAGATGGGGGTACGTATTGTCGCTGCAAAAACCACAATGATGAGGTCACTGGGCGGAGATCCGCAAAAATATTGCCAAGTCTAAAATAGAAACCGGATTTTTATTCTATACAAATCAATTTTCTGGCCGGCTATCGGCAAGATTTAAAATTGGGAAAAAGGCTAGAAAACAAACGATTTCTCTGTAGACCTGGGTTAGCCTGACATGGGATTTTGATTAGTAAAACCAATATAAACAAATTTTGGGCGGTTGGAGGTCTACTAGTGTTAGCAAGGGTGTTTACTCAGTCCAATATATATGCTAGTGCTTTACGAAATTTGCTGGGTAAGGAGGGAAAATATATCAGTTATAAAGTCTTCCTAACCTTCCTAACCAAGCCTAAGCCGAAGCCTAAGCCTAAGCCTAAGCCTAAGCCTAAGCCTAAGCCTAAGCCTAAGCCTAAGCCTAAGCCTAAGCCTAAGCCTAAGCCTAAGCCTAAGCCTAAGCCTAAGCCTAAGCCTAAGCCTAAGCCTAGGCTGAGGGTCAATCTTTGGCCTACTCAGTGGAAAGCTGGAGAATCCCCTCCACACTAGTGGGCCAGGTGGGGGGCGGGTGCGAAGCAAGCAGTGAAGCCCGCCCTGCGATTCCGCTACGAAATAGCGTCCGGAATGCGGAAACGCCCGATTTGGCTGAATTGAGGATTAGGGGTCTTCGAGCTGCTGTTGCGCCAAGGAGCGATGTGACGGCCGAGCCAGTTAGCAACCCGCAATGAGCGTTTCAAAGCGCTTCGCACGGTCTACTTACAGTGAGCGGAAGCGCGCTGCCCGTTTTGGAAAAAATCCATGTGGCCCCACTTTAGTCGTAAACCATCAAAAATAAAAGTTTCAAAAAATCGTAGCAAGAAACCAGGGCCTCCGGGGCTTCGGAAGAAACTGTTTTCGGTACCATTTTTGGTGCGCTTTCAGCTCCACATCGAAGTGCGTGATGAATTTCTCGAATTTTTTTTGGTAAATTCCGAAAAAATCCATGTGGTCCCCCCTTTAGTCGTAAACCATCAAAAATAAAAGTTTCAAAAAATCCTAGCAATTAAACCAGGGCCTCGGGGGCTTCGGAAGAAACTGTTTTCGGTACTATTTTTGGTGCGCTTTCAGCTCCACATCGAAGTGCGTGATGAATTTCTCGAATTTTTTTTTGGTAAATTCCGAAAAAATCCATGTGGTCCCCCCTTTAGTCGTAAACCATCAAAACCAAAAGTTTCAAAAAATCGTAGAAATTAAACCAGGGCCTCCAGGGCTTCGGAAGAAACTGTTTTCGGTACTATTTTTGGTGCTTTTTCAGCTCCACATCGAAGTGCGTGATGAATTTCTCGAATTTTTTTTGGTAAATTCCGAAAAAATCCATGTGGTCCCCCCTTTAGTCGTAAACCATCAAAAATAAAAGTTTCAAAAAATCCTAGCAATTAAACCAGGGCCTCGGGGGCTTCGGAAGAAACTGTTTTCGGTACTATTTTTGGTGCGCTTTCAGCTCCACATCGAAGTGCGTGATGAATTTCTCGAATTTTTTTTTGGTAAATTCCGAAAAAATCCATGTGGTCCCCCCTTTAGTCGTAAACCATCAAAACCAAATTTTCAAAAAATCGTAGCAATTAAACCAGGGCCTCCGGGGCTTCGGAAGAAACTGTTTTTGGCAGCAAAAACAACGCTCACAGATATATCTGGTTGATCTAGGGGGGTCGATATGATTGCGAATTTCGTCGTAAAAAAGGTCGCATTCAGGGCCGGGTCTCAGCAGATCGCAGCTCAGGTAGTTGCTAGAGCTACTCTACGTACGGGAGGGAAGGTTGAGGGAGGAGCATCAGCAACAACGACACCTCCTGGGGACCACCACCCTATTCTTACTAAGGTAGCCGGCGCCGTTCCGGAAATCTCTCGGTGTAGTGCTTAGGCTAGGGCTGCTATGGACGGCTAACTTCGTAGCCCGATCCAACAAAAATCAACAACCAGGTATCTAGCGGTGCAACGCGCCGAGAACAAATGCCCCAACAAATCCGGCCGGCCCAAACAAGCATACCAGTCCGGGGGCTCGTCCTAAGCCTAAGCCTAAGCCTAAGCCTAAGCCTCAGCCTAAGCCTAAGCCTAAGCCTAAGCCTAAGCCTAAGCCTAAGCCTAAGCCTAAGCCTAAGCCTAAGCTGAGGGTCAATCTTTGGCCTACTCAGTGGAAAGCTGGAGAACCCCCTCCACACTAGTGGGCCAGGTGGGGGCGGGTGCGAAGCAAGCAGTGAAGCCCGCCCTGCGATTCCGCTACGAAATAGCGTCCGGAATGCGGAAACGCCCGATTTGGCTGAATTGAGGATTAGGGGTCTTCGAGCTGCTGTTGCGCCAAGGAGCGATGTGACGGCCGAGCCAGTTAGCAACCCGCAATGAGCGTTTCAAAGCGCTTCGCACGGTCTACTTACAGTGAACGGAAGCGCGCGGCCCGTTTTGGAAAAAATCCATGTGGCCCCACTTTAGTCGTAAACCATCAAAAATAAAAGTTTCAAAAAATCGTAGCAAGAAACCAGGGCCTCCGGGGCTTCGGAAGAAACTGTTTTCGGTACCATTTTTGGTGCTCTTTCAGGTGCACACATCAAAGCGATTTCGCACGGTCGATTTCTTGCGGAATCGGGCTTGGAAGGCCTGGTCGACGAGGGCTGCCTAGTTGCAACATTCAAAAAATCCTAGCAATTAAACCAGGGCCTCCGTGGCTTCGGAAGAAACTGTTTTCGGTACTATTTTTGGTGCTCTTTCAGCTCCACATCGAAGTGCGTGATGAATTTCTCGAAATTTTTTCGGTAAATTCCGAAAAAATCCATGTGGTCCCCCCTTTAGTCGTAAACCATCAAAACCAAAAGTTTCAAAAAATCGTAGCAATTAAACCAGGGCCTCCAGGGCTTCGGAAAAAACTGTTTTCGGTACTATTTTTGGTGCTTTTTCAGCCCCACATCGAAGTGCGTGATGAATTTATCGAAATTTTTTTGGTAAATTCCGAAAAAATCCATGTGGTCCCCCCTTTAGTCGTAAACCATCAAAACCAAAAGTTTCAAAAAATCGTAGCAATTAAACCAGGGCCTCCAGGGCTTCGGAAGAAACTGTTTTCGGTACTATTTTTGGTGCTCTTTCGGCTCCACATCGAAGTGCGTGATGAATTTCTCGAATTTTTTTTGGTAAATTCCGAAAAAATCCATGTGGTCCCCCTTTACTCGTAAACCATCAAAACCAAATTTTCAAAAAATCGTAGCAATTAAACCAGGGCCTCCAGGGCTTCGGAAGAAACTGTTTTCGGTACTATTTTTGGTGCTCTTTCAGCTCCACATCGAAGAGCGTGATGAATTTCTCGAATTTTTTTTGGTAAATTCCGAAAAAATCCATGTGGTCCCCCCTTTACTCGTAAACCATCAAAACCAAATTTTCAAAAAATCGTAGCAATTAAACCAGGGCCTCCGGGGCTTCGGAAGAAACTGTTTTCGGTATTATTTTTGGTGCTTTTTCAGCTCCACATCGAAGTGCGTGATGAATTTCTCGAATTTTTTTTGGTAAATTCCGAAAAAATCCATGTTGTCCCCCCTTTAGTCGTAAACCATCAAAAATAAAAGTTTCAAAAAATCCTAGCCATTAAACCAGGGCCTCCGGGGCGTCGGAAAAAACTGTTTTCGGTACTATTTTTGGTGCTCTTTCAGCTCCACATCGAAGTGCGTGATGAATTTCTCGAATTTTTTTGGTAAATTCCGAAAAAATCCATGTGGTCCCCCCTTTACTCGTAAACCATCAAAACCAAATTTTCAAAAAATCGTAGCAATTAAACCAGGGCCTCCAGGGCTTCGGAAGAAACTGTTTTCGGTACTATTTTTGGTGCTCTTTCAGCTCCACATCGAAGTGCGTGATGAATTTCTCGAATTTTTTTTGGTAAATTCCGAAAAAGTCCATGTGGTCCCCCCTTTACTCGTAAACCATCAAAACCAAATTTTCAAAAAATCGTAGCAATTAAACCAGGGCCTCCAGGGCTTCGGAAGAAACTGTTTTCGGTACTATTTTTGGTGCTCTTTCAGCTCCACATCGAAGTGCTTGATGAATTTCTCGAATTTTTTTTGGTAAATTCCGAAAAAATCCATGTGGTCCCCCCTTTACTCGTAAACCATCAAAACCAAATTTTCAAAAAATCGTAGCAATTAAACCAGGGCCTCCGGGGCTTCGGAAGAAACTGTTTTTGGCAGCAAAAACAACGCTCACAGATATATCTGGTTGATCTAGGGGGGTCGATATGATTGCGAATTTCGTCGTAAAAAAGGTCGCATTCAGGGCCGGGTCTCAGCAGATCGCAGCTCAGGTAGTTGCTAGAGCTACTCTACGTACGGGAGGGAAGGTTGAGGGAGGAGCATCAGCAACAACGACACCTCCTGGGGACCACCACCCTATTCTTACTAAGGTAGCCGGCGCCGTTCCGGAAATCTCTCGGTGTAGTGCTTAGGCTAGGGCTGCTATGGACGGCTAACTTCGTAGCCCGATCCAACAAAAATCAACAACCAGGTATCTAGCGGTGCAACGCGCCGAGAACAAATGCCCCAACAAATCCGGCCGGCCCAAACA